ATGGTTCTTTGGGCAGTTTGTGTGTGAAAAAAAGATTTTCCTCCGAAAAGCTTGACAATGATGTCGAAGAACTGCTGGTCTTCTGAAAACATAAGAAAAAATATATCTAAACATATATATATATATATATATATATATATATATATGCATATGTATGTATGTATGTATGTATGTATACATATATACACTCACCGGCCACTTTATTAGGTACACCATGCTAGTAATGGGTTGGACCCCTTTTGCCTTCAGAACTGCCTCAATTCTTCGTGGCATAGATTCAACAAGGTGCTGGAAGCATTCCTCAGAGAGCTTGGTCCATATTGACATGATGGCATCACACAGTTGCCGCAGATTTGTCGGCTGCACATCCATGATGCGAATCTCCCGTTCCACCACATCCCAAAGATGCTCTATTGGATTGAGATCTGGTGACTGTGGAGGCCATTTGAGTACAGTGAACTCATTGTCATGTTCAAGAAACCAGTCTGAGATGATTCCAGCTTTATGACATGGCGCATTATCCTGCTGAAAGTAGCAATCAGAAGTTGGGTACATTGTGGTCATAAAGGGATGGACATGGTCAGCAACAATACTCAGGTAGGCTGTGGCGTTGCAACGATGCTCAATTGGTACCAAGGGGCCCAAAGAGTGCCAAGAAAATATTCCCCACACCATGACACCACCACCACCAGCCTGAACCGTTTATACAAGGCAGGATGGATCCATGCTTTCATGTTGTTGACACCAAATTCTGACCCTACCATCCGAATGTCGCAGCAGAAATCGAGACTCATCAGACCAGGCAACGTTTTTCCAATCTTCTATTGTCCAATTACGATGAGCTTGTGCAAATTGTAGCCTCAGTTTCCTGTTCTTAGCTGAAAGGAGTGGCACCCGGTGTGGTCTTCTGCTGCTGTAGCCCATCTGCCTCAAAGTTCGACGTACTGTGCGTTCAGAGATGCTCTTCTGCCTACCTTGGTTGTAACGGGTGGTTATTTGAGTCACTGTTGCCTTTCTATCAGCTCGAACCAGTCTGGCCATTCTCCTCTGACCTCTGGCATCAACAAGGCATTTCCGCCCACAGAACTGCCGCTCACTGGATATTTTTTCTTTTTCGGACCATTCTCTGTAAACCCTAGAGATGGTTGTGCGTGAAAATCCCAGTAGATCAGCAGTTTCTGAAATACTCAGACCAGCCCTTCTGGCACCAACAACCATGCCACGTTCAAAGTCACTCAAATCACCTTTCTTCCCCATACTGATGCTCGGTTTGAACTGCAGGAGATTGTCTTGACCATGTCTACATGCCTAAATGCACTAAGTTGCCGCCATGTGATTGGCTGATTAGAAATTAAGTGTTAACGAGCAGTTGGACAGGTGTACCTAATAAAGTGGCCGGTGAGTGTATATACATATATATGCATTTTCACTATCAAAAGATGTGGACCAGTGGTGTTAAAAGAAAAAAGACATTGGGTGTGCCATAGCAAAAACTGGGTGTGCCAAATTTATTTTTAACAAAACGTCTTCCATGCAAACCTCAATGTATTCACACTAATACCACTCTTAACTAAATTAATAATAGGCTAAAAGAATCAAACTTAGTGCGTATTCTCAGTCTAAAAAAATAATCGTCAATTGCTACAAAGAAATTGTTTTGTTATAGTCCAGCATAAAACTGTGCATTTAAATGACATGCATATAGATTCTGCAACTGAGCAACAATTGTGTGTGATGTCGCCTCATGGAGGAGTAGTGGAGATGCTTGTGATGAAGAAGACTTCTGTACAGCTGGATATCAGTTCATGTTTTTTTTTTAATGAATGATCAGTAATCTCTGTTTCATGATCGCTGTTAGCAGCAGAGCTGTGATACTACTACAACTACTACTACTAGGCCATCCTCAGACGAGTTGATGATGTTTGTTTATGTTAACAGTGCTCCTATGAGACAGGAGGATGCAGCAGGTATCACAATGCATCTTGTCAAAGCAAGTAATGGGTTAGATGTGAAAATAATGTTTTTTACTCAAAACTATTCTGAACATCATGATTATAAATGAGAGTACAAGGTGTACATAGAATTACAATGCGTCAATATGACGATAAAAAAAAAGCATCGCCTCTTGGGGTGTGCCAGCTGCCTCTTTGGGTGGCACTAGCAGACCACTGCCATACACTTACACAAAATGATTTCATGATTCAAAATTTACCTGTTGGCCGTCATGTAGTGGAGAGAATGGAGGGCCAATTGGTGAAGATGCATCTTCAATGCTCCCAAGCTGAGACGCACAACTGGCTGAGTCCGAGGCAGGCTGACTGTGGAGTTCCTCAGGCTCGGATTGACTCGCAACATCCTTTATTATCAGAGTAACAAAAGAGGACATTGGCAAATTGTTATGGATGAAACAAATGCCCCTTTGACAAGGTTACATATCTATTTTCACAGGAAATCTCTGAAACCACTGGATTTTACCTGCTGAATGTCATGTAGTGGGGACAATTGAGGGCCAATTGGCGGAGATTCGTCTTCAGCGCGTGGCGGAAGAGACGCACAACTGGCCAAGTCCGAGACCGAATCATTTGGAGTGTCATGTGTGGCTCCTAGAGTGTCTGTTTTTTCCTCAGGCTTGCTGGATGGGCCTGTATCAGCACAGCCTACATCACTTTGTTTCGTCTTTGATGCTAATGTGGTTCAAGAAAGAATTCAAGAATAAGTTACAAAATGCTTTTAAAGTGAACATGATGTACTATTTACGGAGCCCCCCTGGTGACATGGATGAAAAAAAAATAAAATGCGTCACGGGATAATAACGCGTGGCCACGCATTATTATTTTTTCATCCATGTCACCAGGGGGGCTCCGTTAATATTCAAACTTGAGTGCAGGATGGATTTACCTTGAAGAAGCACATCCGTTCGCAAGCTCCGTCCATCGTCATTCTAAATGATCTTGAGCCACTTCAGATACTCTTTCTTGTTTGACTTGAATACGTCAAGGGCGATTGCTAGCCACTGTTTTTGAGAAATATCTTTTCCACCAACATTATGTCTGATAAAAGATTTTAACGGGGCATCCCGATTTCCAGCTAAACTCCATAGGTCAGTGGCTTTCTTTTTCTTACCTTTTCTGTAGCGACCCATATTCGCGAACAGGCTATACCAGGCAGCTCGCCGTAACGGCACTGGCAAAAACTAGACACAGAAGTGCTGTAGCATTCAGGTAGCGAGGCAGGTTTTATTTCCAACCCAAAACTACACCAGGTGATTTCACTGATTAGGTAATCAGTGAAATCACCTGGTGTAGTTTTGGGTGGGAAAGAAAACCTGCAGCCTCTCGACCCTCCATGGCACATGATTGCCCACCCCTGCTGTATAGGCACATCTTATTTTTAAGCCGAGACATAGCAGGTGACTAGTGTAAAAAATTAACCAACAGCTATCACAATTAAACTTCACAGATGGTTACTTACATTAAGACTAAGATTTTTTGTATTTTTTTCTGAAATGATATGCTTGAATATGCAAATTGGGCAATATATGTACTAATTTGCGTTCATTTGAATATATTTCATAAATATGAAGTTTGGGTAAAAAAGCCACTTTATATATTTTTTTAAATCATTGGAGCCAAGAATATGTGTATAAACACTCAACAGATGCTTACTTTAACTAAATTATAATGGAAATCCTTTCCTGAAGTGACAAATGCCTTCATTGCCATGGCAGCTGAACTTCACCTACTTAGCCAGGAATCAAAGACATTTGCATTACTGGAAAGATACACCTGTGTTCTGTACGACAAGACAACTGACATTGAAAATGTCAATGACCTAAGGAAGGACCTGTTTGCTAAGAAATCTCTGTCAGTGGAAAACATTTCTCCGACACAGGCTGCATTGCTAGGGCATGCACATCGAGCAGTTTATCAGTCTAGGATTTGGTTCAACAGCTTAAAAGCTATCCAGTCTCTACTATCTCCTGACAAATTTGGATGGACCAAAGTCAATGATTTGTGGAGACCACTATGGACACGATTGCCAGAGGCTGCAAAAGTTTGCAGAGAACTCTTTAAGTGTGGCTGCAAAGCTGAGCCCCTCTGTTCTCGGAAATGTCGGTGCCGGGATGCTGGATTACCTTGTACAGCATTATGCCAATGTGCTGGTAAATGTGAATGGGACATGTGAGTCACTTGGCAAAAAGATAAAGAATAAAAGACGAAAAGAGGGGAAAAAGACAAAACAACAGACAGACATACAGTAGCATGCCCACTCAGGATGGATGGAGATGGGTGGAGAGATGGAGAGATATGATGACAGACAGACAGACAGACAGACAGACAGACAGACAGACATGAAGATTGATGGATGGATGGATGGATGGATGATGGATGGAACGATGGATGGATGATGGACGGATGATGGATGGGTGGATCCAGCCTCAATGGGACACAATTCAGATAGATAGATAGATAGATAGATAGATAGATAGACAGAGTAGATAGAGTAGATTAGTAGATGGATGGATGGATGAATGAATGCAGCCTCAATGGGACACAAGCCAGTGTTCTACTTGTGCCGGTCCCAAGCCTGGGGAAATGCAGAGGGTTGTAATTCAAATAGTTTTGTATGCATTTATAGGGTTTTTGAAAAATAATGCCTGCACCATGAGCGTCATCTCCCTTTCTTCTGCCCCTTCATTTGCATCACCTATCAATTTTATCAATATCTCACTTCCTGTGTCAGGTTATTTTGGGCGCCCTTTCTAGGATGTTTTGGATAACCCAAGGTACACATGTGAGAAACGTTATAGTTTTATGACATTCTTTAGATGACTTTTGGGTCAATCAACAACATATTTGCCAAATAGTATGCTTCTCTGAGATTCTATAGGTTATTTGAATCAATCGGCAACACTTTAGGCGGCTATTTTGAATTTCATCAATAATCCACGTCCTGTTTTTGGCCTCTATATCTAGGATGTCTCAGAATGACCCAAGGGTCACGTGTGCCAAACTTTATGATTTTTGGACATCTTTAGGTGTTTTTGGAGTAAACTGTCACCTGTTTAGGCGGCCATTTTGAATTTTGTCAATAACTCACTTCCTGTTTTACATTTTTTTTGGGCACCCCTTCTAGGATGTTTTGGGATGACCTGAGGGACATATGTGCCAAATTTCATGCTTTTATCCACCGTGTAACGATTTTTTACCTAACAGACCCTACTATTGGCGGTTTGGCGGTTTAATCACCCTACGTCTGAGCAGACCGAGCCCAGGCTGGCTCGTCAACCTCGCACTCCCTCGTGTTGTAAACACAATTTTTATCAAGTTTTTCTCAAGGCCTCTTGAACAAGAAATGTATTTTGTGGTATGAGTGGTATTCTTATTTTTCATGTAAATGGGGTATTTTCGCTCAATAGCTCTGAGGTCATGTGACCCGATGACCCAAAAACAGTGCAGAATCACTTGTCTGGACAGGCTGTGTGAGACACAGCTCTTGAAAGCAGCATTGAAAGTTTTGGGAAATTAATATTCATATTTTCTATAGAAAATGAGCTATTTTCGCTCAAAAGCTCTGAGGTCATGTGACCCAATGACCCCAAATGAGTGCAGAATCACTTGTCCAGGCAGGCTAACTCCAACACACCTTTTCAAAACAGCTTTATTCATATTTTCTATGAAGAATGACATTTTGGCTTCGTAGCTCTGAGGTCATGTGACTTGTTGACTCCAATGAATCACTTGAACAGACAGACTAGCTCAGTCACAACTCTTAAATGCAGTTTTTAATGGTCTCCACAATTACTATTTATATTTTACACAGAAAAATGACACATTAGCTCAATATTCCGGAAGTCATCTGACTTGATGACTCCAAATCAATGCTGGATCACTTCAACAGATACGCTGGTTGAGACACACCTCATATAAAACCCCAAATGCTCTCTATTCAAAACCTTTCAGACAATGTGTCAACATTTTCTCGTACAATCCATTTTATTTTGAAAGCCGGAAGTCGGTTGCGTTCTCCGAGGCACGGCGAGGGGAGTTCGTGAGATTACAGTAAAGGCTGCAGTACGAGCGCACTGAAAATCCAGAAGCGGCTGGTTTGACTAAGCCACAGCGAAAGACGGCTGGCTTGACCGCAGTCGGCCATCGGTGTAGTGCTAGCTTCACGGCCCGCTAGCTTCATGCCTTCTCCTCACTGTATGAAAAATGCTCAAGTAATATTTTTTTTGTAGCAAACACATTTATTTTTGAAATATAAACAAATTCAATAAATTTTTATAACAAACTGTGTTTCTGTGTGTGTGTGTGTGTGTGTGTGTGAGAAGAAACTCGTGGAACATTTACATAACATTTACATAACTATTTCAATTATTTTTTTCCCTTCTGCCCTAACTTTGAGTAACCCTTCTTGGATAGCTGCATCAAATGATGGCTCCCATAAGCCTTCTTCAATCATCAAGGTCTCCCCACATGCCAGCACGACCTGGAAAAAAACGGAAGAGGCTGCCCCTTCACCGTCCTTGAGGACACCAACCACCTCAACATTTGGTCACATCATATGTTGTTTTCTCTGTAATAACGGCCCAATACTGACTAATATTTAGAGTATTATTGTTCTGACTTCTCAATTCATAAGGTCTGGCAGTAATCAGGTCTGGGTGTTCATTGTTAAATTTAACTCAGCTTGCAACTGTATGTAGGTTTTTCTTTCTTTAACATAAGGGTGTTAACAATTCTGTACATGTGTCTATGTCTTGATATTAATTCAACTGTTAAACCTTTATTGTGGTTCTGTAAACCACCAATTGTAAAGAGGACAAATGAGAGTTATATTTAAAAAAAAAAATTATGTCAAACTGAAAACAGTGACAACAGCAAATTACCTCAATTTTGGTAAAGCTTGTGGAGTTCACCTGTACCCCATACTCTGTGTTACTGGCCCTGACGTGGATCACCCGTACCATTTCCCCAATTGTAAGGGGCTCCACCACTGCCTCCCTCCACAGTGATCGTGCTCTTTTCCTGTAAAACATAAGGGAACACCTTACTGTCTGAAGTCACTATGCATGTGACACTAAAAATACTTCTGGCTCTTGTCTCATTTAAATCAGAGGGGCTGAGCACATGCATGGTGCGAAAATAAACAATAATGTATGAGAAATCTAGCTGATTAGGCCCTGTAATTCAGCATCTTTGTATTGTCTATTGACACACTACTATACTTTAAAGTGTGAGAAACACCTCCTGCAGGATGATCTTTTTCAGAGGCACAGCCTTTTTCCCAGCCTCCACCTTTCTGACTGCTGAAAGCTGAACAGGAGAAAATTCATCATTTAGTAATGTATATATATTAAGGCTGTCAAAGTTAACGCGTCATTGTCACGTTAACGCGAGTGACTTTTATCGCCACTAATTTTTTTGACGCACGATTAACGCAAGCCTTAGCCTGGCTTGACCAAACTATACACACACTGCGTGGATATTCTTGCCGTTGTAAAAGGGTAGAGGAACAGTTGGTGAGGTGTCCAGGCTATGTGAGCCTCGGGGCACTCCGTAGTTTCGCGAATCAGGAAGTGTAGCACTGACCGATACCGCAGCAGACATAAACAAATCCACGTGAGCAGTAACTAGGATATAATGGATAAGAACACGATTTTGAACAGAAAGTTCAGCTACAAAGCCTTGCCAGATGGCTCTCTTGACAGGACAAAAGTCATTTGTGTTTCTTGTCGAGCTGAATTTAGTTACCACCGGAGTACGTCTAGTCTTAAATATCACTTGTCGGCCAAGTACACAGCTGATGCAGAGATCCCCCCCCCAGCAAACAACGCTGAATGTGCAAGGTAAACAGATGGAGAGCTCTAGTAAATGCAAACTTGAAACAGAAATCGCTAAATGGGTGGCTACCGCTTGTCGGCCGATTAGCATTGTGCAGGACGTTGGTCTGCGTGAAAGCATACGGATCGCATCCAATGACTGGACATATGAATTACCTTGAAGGACCACCGTTACCATGAAAATCCACGATCTGTTCTCATGTTGATTCTTATGTTGATAAAAGTATAACAATTTGAAAAATCGATTTAGAATGGATCAAAAATATGCGATCAATTTGCGATTAATCATGATTAATTATGATCACAATTCGATTAATCGCGATTAAATATTTTAATCGATTGACAGCCCTAATATATATATATATATATAAATAAATGTATATATATATATGTGTGTGTGTGTGAGTATGTACATATATATATATATATATATATATACCAACAGAGTCTCTGTCACTACAAAAAAATACACCTAAATCGATTTTACTACTGGTCATTGACATGGCCCAGACTCTAATTATTTTAAAAAAAAAAATCCATCTAGGTCTTATATAGTAAATATGGCAATTTTGTGTTTTTTTCCCATTAAAAATAACATGGTGCACCCTTTTTAAATAGCATAAAAAGGGTGTAACATTGATTTTTTTATTTATTATTGTTTTAATGGTGAGGGCTGAAGTTGTTTAAGAAACATGAGTTGAAAAAATTTTAAAAATGTAAAAAAAAAAAAAAAAGGGTTGTTTTATGAACACTTATCTGCATGTCCATTTTGGGGACACAGTAGGCTAGATGGAGTTTAAAAATTAACAGGAATCAAGGGTTAAAAATTGCCCAGATACATGGCTGCACCATAAAAGTTAATACTGACCTCTACAATCACTCCCTCAATTGTCATCAGGCCCTGCTGCTCCTGGCACTGACGGATCCTTATCACTGGTGAGGCCGGGTGCAGCAGGGCCTCTGCTCTTGCTGCCAGATCCTCAGGGCACTTCAGTTTGCCGCCACGCAAAACCTGAGTCCCGGCACCAACGTTAATTTTATATGGGGGGCACTTACCAAACAGAGTGTGTCCCCTCATATAAAAGGACTCTCCTACTGCCACTCTCCCTGCCATGGCCTCAAATAAAAAAACGTTGGTTTCCCCATCACTGATAACAGCTACCTCATTGTTTTTTTTATGCAGGTCGGGGTAGCATGGGCATCCTTGAAGTCCCAGGAGACCACTTCAGGTGAGTCTTCTATTTTTATGAAGAGGATGTGCAGGGGCGGTTGCCTGCCCTGAGGATCTGGCCAAGACTCCAGCAGCCTTGACCAGAGCATAACACCCTTCTTGGGCTTCTTGGAAGTAGGGACTTGAGATTCTCAGCAATGGAATGTCTGTCATCTGCTCTGATTGGTCTTCTTCTGAGCATTTCCCTTCGATGTTGCACAATATCTCCATGAAAAGAAACCATAGCCTTTAAAGATTTGTCACTCTCCACTGTCACATCCACTTTGACACTGCAGTCTTCAAAAAGGCAATATCCTGAGCAGTGGAACAGAGGGCTGTGAGTGAGGCTGCCAATGGTTTTCACTGTGTGGCGTTTAAATCCAAAACTGCAAAATGGATGAACAGTCTGTATGCCTTTTGCAATGACATTTGTCCGCTGTAATGTTTTGAATTGTCTTTTTTTGGGTCCTTCGAAGGTTTTTCCAGTCATCCAGGGATATATAAAAAAACATGGTTCTTTGGGCAGTTTGTGTGTGAAAAAAATATTTTCTTCCGAAAAGCTTGACAATGATGTCGAAGAACTGCTGGTCCTCTGAAAACATAAGAAAAAATATATATAAACATATATACATATATATACATATATATATATATATATATATATATATATATAAAATTAAGCTTAATTATAGCACTATCGAGAAGAAAGCTCTCGCCCTCCTGCTTGCCTTGCAGTATTTTGAGGTTTATCTCAGGTCTAGTTTGCAGCCTGTCCAAGTATACACAGATCACAATCCATTAATATTCCTCGCCCACATGCGCGGCTTATGCGCTGGTCTCTTCTCCTGCAGGATTTTAACCTGCAGATATACCACAAGAAGGGCACGGAAAATGTAATAGCAGACGCTTTGTCAAGGTGTTCCTCAGATCCGTAGGAATTAAACATTTAGGGGTATGTTTAATTCTTGGGTGTGGGGGTGTCATGACTGTGGTCATAATTTGTAGACTGTCTGCTGTGTGTGTGCCCTGTGTGTTTTGTGTCAATCTCCTATGCAAATAGGTATGTGCCACAGCCGTGCAGTCATTGGTGGGTTGGTCTACGTCCTGGACAGCGATTGGCTGAAACAGAAAACCACCTTCTATATGAGGAGCCAAGATGGTGGCCCATGTGTGCAGGGCTGCAGGCATTCCTCATCCTCATCCTCTCCCAACCGGCCACACTGTTTGCTTCCTTAAACCGTTGTGTATTTTGTAGTGTTTTCTTTGAGTAGTAGGGGTTGGGTAGCAGTTTAGTTAAAAACTGGCAGCCGTTTTGTTTTGAAACTAGACACAGAGGCACTGTGGCAATCAGGTAGCGAGGCAAAATCGGAAGATGTGATTGGCGGTTTGGTGGTTTGGCGGTTTAATCCCCCTACGTCTGAGCAGACCGAGCCCAGGCTGGCTTGTCAACCTCACACTCCCTCATGTTGTAAAAATAATTTTTATCCGTTTTTTCTCAAGGCCTCTTCAACAAGAAATGTATTTTGTGGTATGAGTGGTATTTTTATTTTTCATGAAAATGGGGTATTTTCGCTCAATAGCTCTGAGGTCATGTGACCCGATGACCCAAAAACAGTGCAGAATCACTTGTGCAGAAAGGCTGTGCAAGACACAGCTCTTGAAAGCAGAATTGAAAGTTTTGGGAAATTAATATTCCTATTTTGTATAGAAAATGAGGTATTTTCACTCAATAGCTCTAAGGTCATGTGACGTAACGACCCTAAACCAGTGCAGAATCACTTGTCTAGACAGGCTGTGTGAGACACAGCTCTTGAAAGCAGCACTGAAAGTTTTGGAAAATTAATATTACACCTCCCCCTGCCACGCCCAGCTTGGCGGATCTCGGTTCGCCTCCGTGCGCCTCAGTCCACGAAAATACCAAACTGGCTGTATGCCGGGCTCCGCCAGATGTAAATACAACTGCGTGGGGTCCACCACCCTCCGCCGCTTCACCGGCGTACACGAAAATAGAGCCCAATGTGTCAACATTTCTCGTACAATCCATTTTATTTTGAAAGCTGGAAGTCGCTCTATTCTATCCTATCTCTGCAAGAGAAAGCGGGCGGTTGTGTTCTCCGAGGCACGGCGAGGGGCTGCCTTGGCTGACCACACACCTCCAGGGATTCCCTGTTAAAACCGGAAAGAGCCTCGGCACTAGGTCCAGAGCTTGCTTGATAGCGGCACGACTGGCAATAGCTCACAACTGTGAAGTCCCGGAGTGGGAGAGTCTGTGAGATTACAGTAAAGGCTGCAGTACGAGCCCACTAAAAATCCAGGAGCGGCTGGTTTGACTAAGCCACAGTGAAAGACGGCTGGCTTGACCGCAGTTCTCTTGTGGGGGGTATCTGTACTCACGAGTCCAACAAACAGTGCCGCAGCCCCACGAGCCGACAGCCGAGCCCGAGCGAGCGGGACAGTCACACACACACAAAGGCACACAGCTGCTGCTGCAGCCAGAGGCAGAGAGACAACTATTAAACAATAAAACGAAATAAGAATGAATAGAATTGTGTGTTTGTGTGTGTGTGTGTAGTATTTTCTTTTTCTATTGCACAAAGCACATTTAATATTTAATATAATACATACTTGATATTTATGGCGTTTAGTCTTTAAACATTTGTATTGTTTACTTTAATATTTTTTGTATGTTTAATACGCATATGCACTGTCTGTCTGTCTCTCCCTGTCCTGCTGCAGCTGCTGCGAGACATGTCCAGGTTGAGCTGCGCGAGAAATAAGAGGAAGAAAGAAAAGGAGGGAGACGAATTACATATCTAGTTAACTTCATCATGTGTGTTGTCTGTTGACATTTTGAACTTTTTAGGGCCCTATTGTAATTTGAAGGGCCCCCCCCCACGTCACTTGGTTCGAAAAGTACAGCAACTAGCTCGAGTTGCCACAATATAAAGCGGAAAACTACTTCGTTTTTTAACTTTTCTGGTGAAGGGACTGCTGGGGAAAGGACAGATATGTGTGCATTTCAAATAAATCACAACAACACGTCGCCATTCTTTTCTTCTTCCCTGAAACCGCATTCTGTAGCAATAGTAAACTCAGCTGTAATGACCCAAGGAGCCGGTTGTAAGTGCATAACAAGGTGAAATAATCCAAGTTTTCCGTACCACTGGATGGATTCAAAAAGGTGTGCCTTTAATGATTTCATTCAGCCTATGCAGAAAGACCGAAAACAATAGCCCTCTGATTCGGAATATTTGCTGTCCCGAAAATATAATGTTCTCTACCTCGACAGATTGCTGTACAGTTTCTATACCCAAGTACTCTTATATGTGTACATTTTTGAGAGACATAAAAACGGAAAGAATATTTGACATGTTGTCATGATCCAATACTCGTGTTTTTTTTTTTAATATAAGATCATTTTCTTCCACTTATAGAGGCTCATGAGTGGATGGATAAATGAATAAATGGATGAGTCAGAAGTCGACAGATGACAATTCGGTTTTCGGACGCGTCATATTTGAACGTACACAACTTCGGCACCAAGAGTATCCAATTAAATGTGCCTGATGCTGAGGTACAATGTATGGAGAATACATTTCATGGCAGGCTGTTGAGGCCATTGCTCAGAGATGCACCCCCTGTCTATCTCTGGCCAGGAAGGTCAGTGGGCCATGAAACTCACCCTGGTTACTCCTCCTAGCCCCCTCTGTATATTGTAAAAATCATGTGGTGCAGGGTCCAACAGAAATGCATTTATGGTGGGGGTGCATTTTCCGGCAGAAAGTCTTTGATTTCTACCTGAGAAAGCACCCCTTATCTATTTCTTGGTATGTACAGTGTCCCCAGCTTATGCTACATTGGTCTTTACTCACAAAGTTTACCTTACAATAGAGAGGAAGTCCCTGTCACACAAAACATCATAAATAAATCAGCATCATGATGATTGTATCTGAAACCTATCTTTTAATCAAATAAAATCTTTAAAGGTCAGAGAAGAAATGTAACTTCTTATCAAACAAGGCTAAATATTTAAGTTTATTAAAACCAACAAATAATAAAAGTCACAAATAATTAAATAATTTAAATTTACAATATTTAAAGTCAAACAAAGTTAAATTAAGGGAACACAAAGCTATTTAATAAAATAGAATAAATGCCTTTTATAAAATTTAACTCTTCATAAGAAAGAAAATGTCTATGAACAGAAATTATAATAAATACTGGGCAGAAGGTCATGACATAGATACAGTACAACAATCCCAAGCCCCCATCCCGGAGAATCCAGGGTTCAAGCTTTAGTTATGTGCATGCAGGGCACAGATAATCCCTTTTGATGTCTGGCCTTAGGACACACTCATGGTGAAACCATCTGTCGCAGTTGTCACTGCAAATCTTAAAAGACAGAGAATTTCGTGTCATCCTTATCATGTACATGCAATTTAATTTTGGCACCATTACTTCTTGGACATTTGTAGGTTACATTTACTGATTACTTTCTGATTATACTTGCATGTAAAATTCCTGTTTCAAATATTTAATTCCAGGTCCTCTTATTCCATTATTTATACTTGTACTGTTAAAAACTTACCCATTGAGGGTTATTGTTCTCCTCCAACCCACAGCAGTGGCAGACCTTGCTGAGGTCATCTGTTCAGAAAGAGAGTATGCGTCAACATTCACTCTGGAATTTATTCCAAAATTTTGCAGAAATTAAATTAAACTCTATTAATATGTAATTGTATTAGGCTGTCCTGATTATTTGATATAAATTTTGACATCATTGTTTTTTATGGTTTAACAGAGTTAGTGGCAAACTTCATTTGAGATCATTTACCAAAAAATATTTATATGTTAGAAACTTTTTTTAAACTAGTTAAATAAAGTAAGGTGTAATGTTAAGCAATCAACCAATTTTCAAATACACTTGATTGAGACTATCTTGTATTACGTAGATGGTTAAAAGAAAGTGAGACAGGAGGACCCCCTCCACACATGCACTGTTTTTGTTACTTAATGAATTCCACAAAAATATCCAACATTTATAAATTGATACGATATAGAGTCCTGTACCAAGGTTATGGGCCATTTCAGGTGTGAACAAAGCATTTATTTTGTATAGTACTGTATATTCCACAGTATTAATTTACTACCCTCCCTGTCATTTTAACTGAAGGGCATAGATTTATAACTGCTAAAACATGAATAATTAACATTGATCAGCTGGAAAGAAAACTCACCCGATTCTTGGAGCAGGACAAAGGCTATATCTAGCCTCATCTTGTGAACTGCCGCTTGTGTGGTCTTGATGCCAATTTGCTCACCTTTTAATATTTTTTCTGCAAACTAAAGAGAACTTAGGTTAGCATATAAGCATCTTAAGATGAATACATAAACTAGCAAGATGCTAAGATCCATGTTTTTACATTGAGCAACATGTGAATACACATAAGTGTTTCTTGTTAACATCAAAATTACAGTTTCTGTATGATACATATCACAAACATCCATGATCATGTAAGAAAACAGGTTAATAGGTCATGGTTTTGTTAATGACCCTGAGGTTGTCCACATTGTTTCAATGGTGTATTGTACACTCACTTTTAAGGCCAGGACACCACATGATGTTCCATCTTGCTGGTGTGCATGAGTCAGGGTGCTGCATGCCCACCTTGACACATTGCAGCCTTTCTTGCACATAAAGGCCCTTAATAATAGAAATATTGTTAGTGAAAACTATTGCACAATCATCATTTAACAGCTCTTAGAACTGCTTTTTTTGTCTGACATCATAGTGCAAGTACTGTGTATCAGAAAATATCCGTTTATGGAGAAAAATTACCTTGTTGACTCCAGGCATCTCTTCATGTTCCTGTCAGACTCACCCAATGGATCCAAAAAAGGCATCTCCTCTCATGTGGGTAGATGACCTTTGTATTCTTAACATGGAAACACGATAAGTTAGGCACAAACCTACCATTGGACGGATTAATCTTTAAGATTGGATGGGTACATGTACATTTTTTTTATACTTCAGAAATGGCCTTTGGAAGGGAGTTCAAACCTTGAAAATAGAGAGGGCCTTCAGAACCACTGATACAGATCTTAAAAAAGCAAGATTTGCACAGTACTTCTCATCTTACCGTCAACATCCACTGCTGGTGTTCATTTACTATTCCCACAATTACAGAGAATGCCATTGGATCGAGCTGAAAATAGGAAGAACTAATGAACATTAATTGCATAATCAGAGAAACAAATTCCACGTGCATACTGTAACAGTCCACTACATACAGTCCTGAGTCTTGGTGTTTTTCCTTGCCAAATTGCAGTTATCATAAAGCTGTCGATGACCTCAGCCTTATCTGCATTGATGTTGTTGTAGTCCCGGACAAGCAGGGTCAGGTAGGCATTGATTACCTATGAATAAATTCATTGTGTGTGAGACATGCAGTTCCATATACTGTTGACTGACTCAGTGTAACAGCTACATAGATTCAGTATGGAGGATGAGTTATCAAATAATTTCGCAGGTCACTGAATTACAATTTATGCACTATTAACTTCATTAATAGAAACAAATCCTTGTCAAAATGTGTATAGTCCATAATTGCTCATATGCGGAGTGATGTAAAGGCGTCAGACAATGATGACAGCATAATACCTCGCTCTTAAGCTCCCGGTTGGGACCAATCCTTTCAATGTCCCAAAAGTACAACTTGTACTTCCCAATCAGGGACAGAAGGACATGGGCCTTTTTCCCTGCAAAGGCCTCTTTTACATCTGCAGAAATTGAGGCATATCAAACTATATAACGTGCTGAATTCATTAACCTTTTAATTACAACATAAAACCCCTTTTCAAAAACATATTTTTCATTTTTCAATTCAACCACAATTCTAAAAAATGTTATGATTGTCTTTTCTACGGAAAATATTATTTTAGTTCATTCTGTATCAATGCAACGAAGGAGTTACAATCCTTATGTTCATTTCTTTTTAAAGAAAGCAAGACTAAGTAAGCATAGTATAGAAAATACTTACATTTTTTGATTGAAGTTGATTTGTATTTTGGAGTTGCCAGAGCAGATGAAAGTGCTGAGACTGGTGCAGCAGGGGGAGCAGAGGCTGTTGCAGCTGGAGGTCCTGAGGCTGTTGCAGCTGGAGGAGCAGAGGCTGGTGCAGCTGGAGGTGCAGTTGCTGTGGATTTTGCCAACTGAATGACAGAGGGCCGGTATGTCTGGGGTGCAAATGAAGCAGCAGGTGTCTGGGCATGTGTGGATGGGGCCACAGAAGATTTTATCTTATGTGGAATACGTGGCTCCTCCTGCCTTACTCTGATGAGGTGGTCAACATTTACCTTCGGAAACACTGCACCACCCTCTCCCTTGAGATCAGCACTTTTTCCCTGCAGTGCTGTGATGGTAAAAGGACCAAGGAAGTTTGCCTCCAGCTTTCCACCCTTCCTCTGCTGGTTCCTTATATTCTGCCGCCAGACCTGGTCTCCAACTTTGAATTCTACCTTTGGAGCACCTGACTGTAGTCTCCGCCGTGTCTTCTCCTGCTGCTTCTCCACATTCCTTTGGACAATAGCCCGAACACCTTCCAGCCGCTCAATGTCCTCCGACAGAGCTTCCTCTCCCACAACAGCCTCAACACTGCTGTCCAACTGTGAAAGAAAATCATTTAGCAGGAGATTTTGTAAAATGTCTTTTATAGAAGACAATATAGCTTGATTTGCTTTGCACTGACACTGCTTCCGGTTGCATTTACAGAACATTAAAACTTGTAATAAAATCATTTTAGGATTTTTTCACTAACCCTGTAGTCCTCAGGGATCTCTGATGGATACCGGGCCTCTCTCCCAAACATCAGAAAGTAAGGGGAGTATGATGTTGTAATTTGTTTTTTTGATCTGATCCCAAACATCACGGCATCCAAATACTCGTCCCATGTTTCTGGATTGTTGCCGACCAGCTTGCTGAGAGCCCTGAAAAAATAAACACAATTTAAATTTTAAATTAAAATTTGCATTTGTCGAAAATCCCTCATTTACATTGTACTAGTGTAAACTGAAGACCATATACGTCATATTAAATAAATAGATTGACCCTTGAAAATTTTGGACCTATATATTCCTCACCTTTGGATGGTCCCATTCATCCTTTCCACCAAACCGTTTGTTTGGGGATGATAGGGAGCACAAAGGCTCTGTTGGATCCCCAGCTTTGCACACACGCTCTTGTTAATCTGTCAATGTAAAGTACACAAAAGTCTTAAACAGTAAAACATAGTTGTGATTAAATATTTTGTTCGGAAGGTGCAGGATTGTAAAGGGAAGCATTTTTTACAGGATATGTACCATTTTGTATCAACCACAGGAAAGTTGATATTTAAAAATAAATGTGGGAATACTTATATTTAGAAGCTGTTATACTACACACAGTTAAATTAATTCTGTCAAATAGTTGTCAAGGTTTCCATATTTACCTCATTCACAAATTCTGTCCCTTGGTCAGTTAAAATCCTTTTTGGTGCCTCGAACTGATGAAAATTTTTTACAATGCACTCGGTCACCTCTGCTGTATTTTTTGATTTTAACGGATAGGCCTGTGGCCATTTTCAGTTCAAATGGGTGCTTGACCTAAAAAAGCATAAAAAAGAACATCAGATTAGGAGCAGCATCCCTAGGGACAATTTAACTAGTTATTGGGTGTAAATAAAAACAAATGCCAACTTCTATGTTAATATGTTAACATGCTGTTGTGTAGAAGTAGTAATTATCCTTTCTATTATATTTCAATTGACATGTTTTTAGAGCTTCCTCTGTGACCCCAGGACTCAGAGCAAAGCCGTGGAAGAAAATGTTGATCTAAGATATGTTTACCTTTATAGGGGTATACTCCACCTCCTTTTTGACCATTTGCTGGCCAGCCTGGCAAACTATACATACGGACACCTGCAGACCACATTTCACATGAACAAGTTTCCCGTCAGCTGGCAACATTTTGGTTACTGAAATTTCATATTCTGTGAAGTAACAGAAGCACCAGTCCTCCAAGCTGTGTAATAAAACAAAGTTCTGGTAGGATTATATAAAAAGCAAATTAGCTTCCAGTATCATTCAATTACCCATTTATCGATGTCTGCAGCCATTCCAGGCCAGAAAAATCGCCTGGAAATGGCATCCCGGGTCTTCCTTTGTCCAGTGTGGGCTCCTCTGGCACTGGCATGAAAATCTATAAAGATTTCTTTGGCCTCTTTCTGTCCACACACTACTTCTGTTCTGGAGGATCTGGCCGCACCTCTGTAGAACGGTTCCTCTCCTAAGGAATAAATTGGAAAATATATTAACCCCAGGAAACATTTTCTTGTGAAGGTTGCTACAGCTGGATGGGATTGTTATCATGTTTAGACACCCAATGTTACAGATAAATTGGATAAAAAAAAATAGCCAGGGAGGCTCCATGTTCAGCTACAACTACATGAAATGTTTAAAACTTCCTGAAGAAAAGTTGTATCATGCAAAATGATTTGCAGAGAAATCTGTAACAAAGTAGAAGAAAAAATGGAGACACAGGCAAAGCAAGTATTCCCACATAAGGGATTATTGTGTGAGATTTCCTGCAATAACCATTGTCCCTTCTCTATGGCGCTACTTACCCCTTACCAGGGTCACAGGTGGTGCTGGAGCCTATCCCAGCAAATATTGGGCAAGGCAGGAATACGTCCTGGGCAGGTAACCAGTCCATCACAGGACACACACATGATTGACTCACACATTCATACCTAAGGGCCTATTTTTAATTAGACTCTTCATTTCAAATAATTTGCAGGTTTTGGATTTAAAATACAATGACAGGTAATCTAAGAAAACAATTAAAATGTCTGTGAATGATTGATAACATAATTATTATTGTTTTAAGGGGGAAAGTTCTGTATCTGTGAATGTATTACTCGTTTTCATGTTTTTCTTTACGTTCCCAGAGGAATAACATGAGCACATGTCAGAAAGAACATGAGATCAGCAGCCAAACTTGTCAGGTAAGCTCTCTAACGCCACCACATCTCGCGTTTGCTATGTGTCTTGGATAATACTTGGGGAGACACCCCCGCATAATTACATAATTACAAGTAGGCCTATATGACATGACATAAAAATTTTTGTAAGTTGTGGGAATAGGTTTATGGGTCGTCCCAATTATTCCACCTTTCCTTTTCTTCCAGCTCAGGAAGCACTCTGAAAGAAAAATATATTCTGTAGACTGATTTGGCATTAAACTACCTTATTTATGCCGTCCTCACAAGTTACAGTAGAAAGACATAAGCAAAGTGCGTGCGTGATCTTTAGTCGAAGAATCTGTACAGAAAACTCGCTCGGACTCCATGAAGGCCTGCGCCATTTGGCCCCTGCCTGAATATAAAACGATTTCTTGAAATCTCCTGAATATAGAAGTTCATGAAAATGTCACTCACCTTCAACTTCGTATTGTGCAGCCTTTCGGCGAATTTCATTTTTGTCGGATTTTGCGATGCCCGCTGAATACAGGCCTTTGGTTTTGTGATCGAGAATCGCCTTGTAAAGTGAAGGATCCATTTTCACTAGTAAATTAAAAGGGGAAAAAAACACTTGGCCTATGTTTGCGTCAAAGGACAGACAATCAACACTTTTATGACAGAATGTGTTAAAGGGCGTTTTAATTTTGTTTTAAAAACATAAATGCTGACACAAATTAGAAAACTTACCAAGCAATCGTTTTTCCTACCGATCTGCAAGCAATCTATCAACTGCTACCGCGGATTGATACTTGGCAATGGAAAAACACCAGATGTCGCTTTCTGACAATTTGATAATCCTGAAGGGTTTTGGATGATATTGTTGCAATTCAACATATAATAATGTCATAATAATGTAAAATCAATTACAATTGGTTCATTCAAGTTTACTCTAGAGTTTAATCTAAAAAATGTGCCATTAATTGTGAGAATATAATATGCCTTCCCATTATGGTCTTTGACAAATAAAAACAAACGCTGTAATTTCGGTATTGAAGTTTTCATTTTATTTTTATTGTGTTATATACAAATTACAATGCACTTCTTCAGACATCCATAACTGGTCTAACGTGTGTATCCGAGTATCCAAACATTGAAACCAAGGCCTTAAAAACAACCACACCATTTCAATGAAAAGAGATTTCGTGCTTTCTAAGAATGGAACCCAGAGGAAGTAGATATAAAGTGAACAGCAACGGCCCAAGGATTGAGCCCTGTGGAACCCCATAAGACAGAGGAGCGAGGCGGGACTCACGACCAGCAAGGCTTACACACATTGTTCTGTCTGCCAGATAGGACCTAAACCACTCCAGAGCACTACCACAAATCCCCACAAGGTGCTGCAGCCGAGTTACTAAAATATTGTGGTCCAGTGTATCAAATGCTGCAAGTCCAGAAGAACAAGAATCACATTGTCCCCAGAAACATTTGCCAGGAGGATGTCATTAAAAACCCTTTTCAAAGCAGACTCAGTGCTGTGTAGGGTTTAAAAAGACCACCAAATTATAATGTTCATCCAGATATGATTCAAGCTGTGTATGACAATTTTCTGTAAGATTTTTGACATAAATGGCAGCTTGGCGATGGGCCTGAAAGAGGCTAGTATAGTGAAATGGAGGCCAGGTTTACTAAGTAGGGGTTGTACTTCTGCATGTTTAAAAACTTGCAGGTACAACACCAGAAAAGACATGCTGCCGGAAAACGCACCCCCACGATAAATGCATTTCTGTTGGACCCTGCACCACATGATTTTTACAGTATTAAAACAGCATGAGTATGAGTAACTAGGGTGAGTTTCATGGCCCTCTGACCTTCCTGGCCAGAGATAGACGGGGGGTGCATCTCTGAGCAATGGCCTCAACAGCCTGCCATGAAATGTATTCTCCATACATTGTACCTCAGCATCAGGCACATTTAATTGGATACTCTTGGTGCCGAAGTTGTGTACGTTCAAATATGACGCGTCTGAAAACCGAATTGTCATCTGTCGACTTCTGACTCATCCATTTATTCATTTATCCATCCACTCATGAGCCTCTATAAGTAGAAGAAAATGATCTTATATGAAAAAAAAAGTGTATTGGATCATGACATGTCAAATATTCTTTCAGTTTTTATGTCTCTCAAAAATGTACACATATAAGAGTACTTGGGTATAGAAACTGTACAGCAATCAGTCGTGGTAGAGAACATCATATTTTCGGGACAGCAAATATTCCGAATCAGAGGGCTATTGTTTAAGGTCTTTCTGCATAGGCTGAATGAAATCATTAAAGGCACACCTTTGTGAATCCATCCAGTGGTATGGAAAACTTGAATTATTTCACCTTGTTATGCACTTACAACCGGCTCCTTGGGTCATTACCGCTGAGTTTACTATTGCTACAGAATGCGGTTCCGGGGAAGAAGAAAAGAATGGCGACGTGTTGTTGTGATTTATTTGAAATGCACACATATCTGTTCCTTTCCCCAGCAGTCCCTTCACCAGAAAAGTTAAAAAACGAAGTAGTTTTCCGCTTTATATTGTGGCAACTCGAGCTAGTTGCTGTACTTTTTGAACCGAGTGACGTAGGCGCGCTCCCGTCAGGGGGTGCATTCTACGGCGGGGGTGCTTTCTACGGCACAACACCGGCCATGAGTGTGTGGCTGAAAGAGGGCGGAGACAGAGAAAAACTCTGGGTTTACTGAGGAAAACCTGGTCCCGACCAGGGGCCTGTTCTACGAAGCAAGTTCAACGTAGCGAGGTAGCCTTGGAGCTACCTTGCTCAACTTAGCGCGGTAGCCAGCGGTCTGAGAGGGACTCAACTGCAGTCAAGATGGCGGACCCAGAAGATAAACTTCCGCAGTACTCACTCAGAATTACTTCCGGCGAAAAAATTCCGGCGGACGGGCTTTCTCGTTGGCGGACTTCCGGTGCCGAAATATTTCACCAAAAGTTTGTTTTTTGGTCACATCCATGCTGTACGTTTCTAACGGAATTAATTCGTCCAGTTAAAAAAACAAACAACATGTGGGAAGGTTATTCCAATGATCGATTTTTTTTCGTTAGAAGGGACTTCCGGTAGTCGGATTTACTCGCCGGAAGCTTTTTTTTTCGCTCCGTTCATTCTGTAAGAATCGAATTGAATTTATTATTGAGCTAAAAACCAAAATAAAACCTTTATGTATTATTTATGACTACCGTTTTGTTCTGATTTAATTCTGAAGTTTACAGTTATATGTATATATAGACTGATGTCCTCATATTCTGATAATTTGTCAGAATAATATGTATAAATGTATATAGAAGTTATCATCTTACTCAAATTCTTATGTAAGAGTTTGCTACAAGTATGGACTGTTTTAACCTCTTGTTACACATCATATAAGAGTGTTTTCTAACTTCTCTCTCCAATAGCTTTATTACACAGCACATGAGTGTTTCTTAACTTCTCTGTGACCTTGTTTCTCCTATTAGCAGGTGTGTGTGTGCGATGTATCCTCCACTGTGAATCGTGGGAAATAATGAGGAGGACCTTCTATCAGAAGGAGCTCGTTTAATGTCAACAATGTTGCCTTGACCCTCACATATTATCTGTCGTTCATAATTATGTTTTGAGAGTGCTTACATTGCTGCACATATTTTTCCCCCCATCCTTTAGTAACATTGTGTAACCAGGGACAACCCTAAATAAAAGAGACTGGGCGGAAATACCTTCAGAATGGTTTTGAGATTGCAACTGAAACTATCTCTGTCCATTCTCCTCGAGAAAGAAACTATTGTCTTTCTCTTCTTTATATGCTATCAGTCATTTGTTGCAGGTTTTAGACCCAACATAATTATACAGCAAACATAATTTATGAAATGGTGTGCTTCCTGGTGAGCCTCTTCAGGATTGATTGACTGTGCAAAATCCAAGTATACAATAATTGTAGAGACACAAGCCACATGATCTGTTTAAGGTTTAGAAGAGCCATTTAGCAAAAACAATTGAATTGCGATATCATTACAGACTGTGTAAAGAAATGGGAAATTGTCATACAACTGCTTCAAAGATTTCTTTAATATTTTCAAAACAATAAATTGTAAACACAGTAAAAAAAATATAATCATATATACATATACAGGCTTCCACGTCCCATAATTGAAAGCGTTGCCGTCGGTGTGGTGGGTGGCTTAAAATACATTGCCACAGGCCATCATCTTCTCCGCTCTGAGTCAGGTGATGCCATGCTCTTGAAGTGCTTTGATCAAAAGCTGAAAAACAGTCAAATAATGTGAACAATTGAAGTTATGCAGTATGGGTTAATTGTTGTTCTTGAGCTTTCCAAATGAATAAAAACAACCTCTTAACAATATCATCAATTTTCAAAGCAAGCTATATAGTTTGATCTACTCACCTCTGGGAGCATGACATCAAAGACAAAATCAAGCAAGTGAATCTCGCCTCTCTTGATGTTTTCTGATATGGCTGTTGCCTCCTCAATTAACCGCAGGAGCTCAAAGATCTATTGAAGAAAAACACAGAAAGTAAACAGCTTTCAAATGTAACACCTCTGAGAGTAAAAATACTCATGATGGATGGCATTTTTACTTACGCGCTGCTCACTCCAACATAGTGACCTTATCTTTAGATGCTGCTTGAGCCGGAGTGAGGTGGCGGGTTTCCTCCAAAGAAACATCCTGTTGGAGCAGATGTTTCCAGAGAGCAGATCATCGTGTAATGTCTGAAACCAAAGAGCAAGAGACAAAAATGTAATCATCTGAAAAAGAAACGGTGGCTTTAACAACTGATAGTGCATTCAAAAGCAACCTTGATCTGTGTCTTAGAAAAGACAGCATCAATTCCTCAACTGTCAACAGCATCCTTGATCCTGCAGAGAAATAAGAAAAAGAGCAAGCCCTCATTTTTTCATCCTTTGAGCCTCGTATTTTTGACTGATACTATGTTTCCTTGATAAATTATGTTGTACCGAGGATGCTCAATGGAGTCCTCGTAGCCACAGTCAAAGGGCTCCATGTCAATCTCGGCACAATCCTGATGCAGCCAGCCCCTGCACGTCTTGCACTGGACCCATTTTACAAATTTTACCTCAGGGTAAAGCAATCTGATCAAATGAGAGACAAACTTAATATTAAACACACATGCTGTCCGAATGATTATACCTCTGCAGCACATTTGAATGTATAAATAATTTTCGTGCACATGATTCGTGCAAATAAACTATATGTAAAAGTGGTCACTTCATGGAAAATCACTGAATAGGCCCCGATAATTGCATTTATTAAATTGAGTCTGCAACACACCTCTCTCCTGTGGTGTCGGATGTCTGGTAGACACAGAATTTCATGGAATCTGCCATGCACACTCTTTGGACATCAGATGTCGTCTGCGTCATGGTTTCCTGGACAAGTCAATTTGAAAAGTAACATCAATTACCAAATACATCGAGACAATGTTGATCCATACAACTGTGTGCATTTTGAAGGACTCCCACTGAGATAATACTGTTTTTAGAAGGCAATTTTCTAACCTCTATGTCCTGCTGCTCGGCCTTCCTCTTAAGCCTGAAGACCGGAGTATGCTTTCCAGCAATAAGCTCCTGACATTCCTTCATCCAGTGGGCAAAGATTTTCCCATAACTGTAATGACAATATATCTTTAAGTACAATATATTGATTGTCTTCCAGTTAATTAGGGCATCTTATTTACTTAAACTGTCTACCTGTTCAAAGAATTGTTTTTCAAGAGCAACAGGCACCACCATCTCCGCAAAACAGGCATGTCATGCTGAAATTGTTGTTCGTATTTCATTTTAGTGCACAATACAAAATACAACCTTGAGGATGACACTGCGTGTTGAAAAGTACTTACAACTGAGTAGTCAAACTGTGACTCCATAACAATGTTCATGGCAGACTTAAAAAAAATTATGAGACAACATGTGAGATAACTTTAAAAAAGTCCATGTTGGAAAGTTATTCTATATACGACAATATTTGTGCATTACAGCTCATTTTGACCTACCATCAACATGAATATGCCACAGTCTGAGCCGAAGTCCTGGCTGGGGAGGCCCTGATTTAACAAAAGCAAACGTTAATCATCTTGTCACATACACTTTTCAACTGTAATATAGAGCATGCACAAATACCTCTAAATCTCTGCCCGTTTTCTCAGTCCATTGTCCAGGACATATCATCAATGTTCCTGTTAATTTGAGAGCGTCACTTAGATTTCCCATGATGGAAACAATGGAATGCAGGGTTAGGGTTAGTTTGAGTGGGTCGGAGGTGAGATTGAATGAATGCGGATGGCTTGCTATTTTCAAACTTCCTGAAAGTTCTTCTTCTTCTGTAAATTTTGCCGCAAGAAAGTTTAGGTGCATACCGCCACCTACTGTTCTGGCATCGCAAAGCCCGTCCGCCGGAATGAATACAAGAATGACCCGGAAGTTATTCTCTGGAAGCATTGCGGAAGTTCATCTTCTGGGTCCGCCATCTTGGCTGCAGCTGGGTCCCTCTCCTGTTGGGGCGGGTGTTAATCGAAACAAACCAGGCTGACCGGCAGCCTGTTGAAAAAAAAAGCTAGAGAAAGAGAGAGAGAGGAAGAGAGAGAGAGAGGCCGGGCCGGCGCTTCGGGAATACGCTCGGTTCTCCCTACGGCCAGTCCGGGTCTGGTCCAGCCCCAGTGGTCTTAAGTAAAAAAAATATATACATATAATATTTGTGCTGGATGAATCGTGGTTCACTACGTAGCCTTCCAGTTTGGCTTTATCCGGTACCTGGCGTCAGTTGCGTGCACAGACATTTTGGGGGGCAGGTGCTCAGTGAAAAATAAGGGCACTTTATGCGGCATGTAGAACTGACGGCTGCCTTTTTACAGCAGTGTGATATTTAAAAATTAAATAAGGCACATGTTGAATGTAATTGCATATTTATCTATGTCAATATCTTAATAAAATTACTTGACCTGTGAACTGGTACAGTTTCACACGATAGCACTGATCAGTCATTGTTTTATTTCTTCAGAATGAACACACATGGAGAAGTTTTAAGCAAGTTACAAGCTACAGGGACAGATTATCTACCACTATGGTGGATGCAGTGGCGATTGCTCTAAGACTGCAAGGGAAGCTCAGCTTCCCTTGCAGGGAAGTGGTGAAATACATACTGCTGTGTGTACATTTCATTAACTAAATACGCGCTAGAAAGCCTTCATCTTTTGTTCAGAATCAGCTTCTTATCACACTGTGATACATTCTTGTAGGTGAATGTATCACAGTGATATATATTCATACATATATATATAGAAGGGGGGTAACAGGGGGACAGAGGATGGGGAGGAGCAGCAGCAGTAGTAGTTGCTCTAGTAACAGTAATGTGCAAATGTCTGTACACTGAAAAATGTGACTTTTTGGTGCAGTAACCTCTGTTAGAGTAACTATCATAATTTCTACCTTGTATTTTTAAGATTTAGTAAAAGCAAGGTAGGGGGTGGCAGTAGCTCAGGAGGTAGAGCAGTCGTCCAATAGGTTGGGGGTTAATTCCCCCCTATCCCTAGTCTGTCTGTTGTGTCGTTATGCAAGATACTTAACCCACCTTGCTCTCAGTGTGTCCTCCACTGGTGTATGATTGTGAGTGAAGTTAGGAGGTGGTCACAGAGGCCATAGGCGTGGATTGGCAGTCATGTTTCTGTCAGTCTGCCCCAGAGCAGCTGTGACTACTGAGGGAGTTTACCACCACCAGGGTGTGACTGTGTGAGCGGATGAATGATGTATCCAATGTAAAGCGCTTCGAGGGTCTCTGATAAAGTGCTATATGATTTCTGATCAATCAAGTAAATTAAAATGTCAAGCACAAGAAAATAATTCATATCTAATTAATTACTTTATAACAGCAAATACTACAGAGATATAAAATGTACTTGAAATTTTGAGTAAAATAAGGCTCCTGTCTATGAAAAACAAGTAGATTTCACTCAATTTGTTTAAATAAATATAAATTAAAACTTGGATGTAATTGAGCAAATGTTACTTAATATCTTCACAACTGCTTAACTGTTTTATGGAAAGTAAATCAAACTTGATACTGGCAAGTGAGTGTTGCTTGAAATAACAGCATTAAATTTTACATCTCAAGAAAATCAGTTTGGCTTTCTTCAGCAGTATGAACCTGAAACACAGAGTGAAGACCCTGAGAGACTATTTACAGAGAAACTGAGACTGAACACAAACAGGTAAATAGCTGTTTTATTAAAGAAAGCAATGAACCAAGGAATGACAGTGATTTCATTTGGCAGATGTGGCAGATTAGAACAGTCATGATAATGCGTGAAGATTAGATGCACTGTTTAATTTCCACCACAGGGTGGTGCTGGTTAGTTAGGACAAGGTAACACAGGGAAGTGTTAATTTAAGTAGAAAAGCCTTTTTTTTTCTTTTAGAAAAGGCACAATTTCATCTTTAAAAGTACAAAAAGTTCAGATCCTCCAGTGTCCTCTTGGGTTTCTGGCTGCAGCACAGACGTGTGGAGGGGTGAATTTTTCAGTTTAGTTTAGTTTTGGTCCCCCCCAAAAAAAAAATATATATATAATTACACTTTTCATTTCATTTAAATCATTGGAGCAAAAAAAGGTGTAGGCTGAAGCCCATGGCTTATTGTACCTTATTGTACCTACCCTTTCTTCACTTTTATGCAGAACGTAAAGAATATACTTTCAAAGATAACAAACAAGAAAAGCAAAAACAAAAATAAACATCTGTACAAAACAGAAGCAAAAAAAGATAATAAAATAAAATAAGTATATCTGGTGTATGTATGTACACAACATACATGTGTACATACATACACCAGCATACACATACATATTTCTCTTCACTAGAGATCAGGACACACAGTCATTTTTTTCAGACAGTAAATAACACAGCGCATAGAGAAGGAAGCTTTATCTTGTCAAAGCACTTCGTACACTCTTGTTTCAGGCTGACCTCCAGATGGTAGTTGATAGATCCCCAGATGCAAATTAAGCATAAAACAATGTAAATATGCCCTTTCACTTTAGGGGAGGGGGCTACAACAATGATATATGTGTGTTATAGGTGATTTTAAAAAGGGAGATGAAGAAAGTGACCATCAGGAATTAGAGATATCATTCACACCTAAATTTTGCCATCATCTACAAAACCCAGGACAGCTGGGTTGACTGTCTCTGAGTCGATCGACTTGACCGACGCCATCTTCCTGACCCCACTCTCATCGTGCTGGCAGCTCTCCACATAGCGGTGCAGGGTGCTGTAGTACTGCTTTCTGTAGCTGAACTTGAACAGGGAGGAGATCTTCTCCCAGTCTCCGTTAGACGGGGTTTGGATGTCATCAGGTGATCTCATGGTGAAGAAGCTCGTCACGTTCCTCTCAGCAAGCTCTTTGGCATGTTTGGTGGCGTGAGAATCGATTAGGCTGTTCTCCGCTTGAGTGTACGTCCTCCAGAACTTGAGCTGCAGGTAGCTGATTGGAGAGGCGCAACGGCCCAGGCAGGTCAGCAGCAGGTTGGTCAACATGATGGAGGCGATGAGGAGCCAACCCAGAATCTGTGGGGCAAAGATGTTACATCCCTTAAAACACAGTTATATCAAGTATTGGAGGAATAAATAAGTCTGCAATATAAATACTCTATTTGTGGAAATTATTGTCAAATATTGGTAATAATTTCTCTATGCTTGTCTTTTCATTGTAGATGTTCAATAAAATGTTGCCATATCCCCATGCTTTGTCAGTGTGATCAATATTTAGAATTTTTCCTTTACCTAAAAAACTTTGTGGCACCATAAAAACTACACAGGCCACAGATAATACTCATGTAAAAAATGACAGGAATAAGCTTAAAAGAATATATATATATATATATATATATATATATATATATATATATGTGTGTGTGTGTGTGTGTGTGTGTGTGTATATATATATTTTCAACATCTGTTTTAAATTCAAGCTCACATCTTTTTTTTTTTTTAATCAAAATAAAAAGAATAAAAAAATCACATTTTCAGAGTTTTCTTGTTGTCACAGGTGCGTAAGAGCACATGAGGATCACTGACCTGGGAGCGAGCCTTGAGGGTGAGAAGCACCTGGTCCCTCTCAGCCTCCTGGACCCCACTACCCATCCCGCAGGGGAACCTGAACAGCTCCTTCTGGCACTGCTTCGGGGAAGACGTGTCTTTACACAGTTGTTGCGTGTTAGAGCTGTTCATGCTGGTCCCGGTCATTGCGCACTCGAAGTAGTTTCCGCTGAGCAGAGCCACTGCGATCCAGGACAATGGGGCCACCAGGGCAAAAGCGGTGATCTGGAACAGGACGTACATGGCTGCAGACATCCTCCTGCACCCGCACGACCTCTCTCCTGATCGGCACACACCTGTGAACAGCTTCCAGGTCTTCTTATTGAGGATGTACCCAAGCAGCAGCAGGGCCAAAGCGGGAACCAGCAAGAACACGATTCCGTAAACAAAGTTGAGGTCTGGGCTGCAGGGACACTTGAAGACCACCGTGGAGAAGATCTGCTCCCCTCCGGCCGTCAGCAGGGCCACAACCCCAAACCCGAGGCTGGACTGTTGGTTGGCGATGTTCAAGACCGTCTTAAACTTGTCCATCATTGTCAGCAGTGAGATTGAAAGGCTGAAACACAGAAAATCACTTTCACTTTCACTGTGACACGAAGTCTGGGTCACAGTAGGGACATAGCACTACCAACTTTCAGGATGCTCAAATTTTCCCCACCAACTTTTAAGCAACTTAATTTGCATTATATAATGAGTGCAGTTATATAGGTAATTTAGATTGTCTTCCCATATTTTGTAAGGACAGAATCGACCCTGCCATTATTAAGTGAATTATTTTCATTATGTTCTGACTCACATTTACCCCTTTTCACTTGTTGAATGTGCCGATCCATAGGTGGAACACCCCACCCCACCCCAGTGTTTTCACAGAAAATCACTTTCACTTTCAATGTGACACGAGGTCTGGGTCACAGCCAAGGGCGTAGGATTGCATAGGGATGGTAGGGACATAGCACTACCAACTTTTCAGGATGCTCAAATTGTCCTCACCAACTTTTAAGCAACCTTATTTACATTATATAATGAGTGCAGTTATATAGGTAATTTAGATTGTCTTCCCATATTTTGTAAGGACAGAATCAGTGGCGATTGCTTTAAGACTGCAATCTCAGCTTCCCTTAAATTGCCACCCCCCCAAAAAAAGAACAAATGGTGAAATACGTGCTGCTGTGTGTAAATTTCATTAAATACGCGCTAGAAAGGCTTCATCTTTTGTTCATAATCAGCCTCTTATCTTCGTTCTCATTCATCCTCGCAGCGCCTCAGCGCTTTAAACAGCCGGACGCTGGGCTTCTGCTGACTTCAATGTGGAAGCACAAAGTGGGTTGTTCCAGCAGCGAAACTAGACGCTCATTGGATAATGAGATGCTAGGATGCTCATTGGATGCTAGGCTTTGTCCCGCCCATCGGAGGCTCGGTGTCTCTGGAGTTCTATGGCGAGAGGGCGGTCCCGACTTTCTCCCGGACTCCGAGCTTCTGCATCCATGATTGAATGAGCTGTCTGAGGCGAAATCCTTTTTTGATTGACAGCTAAAGAAGCGAATCAGCGATCTTGAAGAATAAAACATCTACCAGAGCATTTTCCAAGTTATTCATTCCGTTGTTCTTAACTGCTCCGGAGACTTTAGCGATCCTCAGTGACTTTTGTCTTTGTTAAAAACGACTGCCGTTGTGTTTAGCGACTCTGTTCTGTTACATACAAATAAACAAACACAATTATGATGTAGGCCAGAAAAATGAGCTTCCCCTCCTTGTGAATTATTTTCATTATGTTCTGAAAGACCCCTTTCACTTGTTGAATGTGCCGATCCATTCCCCCATTAGAGATCCATTAGAGAGAAGTGCCCTGTATGTGTTTACTGTTAACTTTAAATGCTGGAAACTATATAACCAAATAAGAAGTTGCCCAGAGAGAGGTCCCAAACAAAAAAAAAAAAAAAAAACAAACAAAAAAACATGTTGCTGCTTTTCTTCTTGTAAACGGCCTGGTTTAGAAGGAAAGAAGGCTAGACCATGTTGTGACTTCACATTTTTTGATACCAAATGCCTATTAGTGCATGTATTTATTCATTAAAGTTATTTTTTCCTGAATTATTTATGATAAATTATTTATATTTTATTAACGTCCCTTCCCCAGCAAAAAATATACATGCAGATTATGCTATTCTATCGTCCCTACCAATGTTGAGACCAAACCTACGCCCTTGGTCACAGCTGACCAATCAGCCACTGACCTACTTTCTGTCCTCCTGAAACTTTGTGCTTTTATTTGAAAGAGACAAAACTTGAATCATTTGTTTATAAAGACAACAATTGAAATAACAACGGTGTTCTTTAAATATTTCAACATTGACTTGTAAATTTGTTGTCTATGTCTCTTGGTGAGTTAAAAAATACTATGAAAGACAAAGATCACATTCTTATATCACACCAAGCAAACCATTGTGAGAATCAGTTTACCATCCAGTGGTGTACAGATAGGATAATACATGTGTCCTCTGGAGACCCTCCCTGTTGAAAAAACAAAACAAAAACAAAACATATGTACAGTTGTATACAAAAAAATAAAGTTTACAAATAAAGTTTGTGAATCCCCTTAAAAAAGCATATGTTATACATTGTAACAAGAAGAAGAAGTAAGAATCATTAAAGGATTGTTTTTTAGCTCAGAGTTTTTTTTAAGGATACTCAATTTAAAGTCTCTCAGGTATTTTTTTCAAAGACGATATTATCAGGAAACATGTATGCATTGCCAAATTTTATTTAATAAACTGAACAAAAATACAAATATAAAAAAACATCATTTTGGCATTTGCAAAAGCTGGTGCACCCTACACACTCTGTACTTTCAGTACTCAGTAAGACCCCCTTTGGCAGATATCACAGCTTGCAAATGCTTTCCATCACCAACTACAAATCACTTTATTCTGCTCTTGGGTTTTTCCGCCATACTTCAATACTAGTTCTGCAATGTTCTTGGGTCGTTTTGCATACACAGTTCTTTTGAGATCTTCCGACATATTCTCAATGATGTTCAAGTCTGGAGACTGTGAAGGCTATTTAACGTCCTGTTTTCACGTCCTGTCCTGGCCATCCTGGTCGTTTTTTTTAAAGTGATGAAAACGTCCTGGTTTTCGTTGTTTTTCATTGGCCCACAAGTTTGGGCTTCTAGATTTGTTTGTTAGTTTTTGTTAGTTTGTGAGAGCTATTTTTGTAAAAGGTGGATTGCTACTATAACAGACGTATTGTATAGTTATTTATTATTAACTTATTCATTTACTGTTCTTTTACCGAGGAGAAATTATTTCTGTCATTATATCATTTGTTATTTTTGAAACCTGTGTCATAATAAAAAAATTCAATAATCAGATGTCATTGTGTCCTTTATTATACTCTAATTCCTCTGCACTGCAGTCAAGAGCAGTCAATTTCACAACATCAAGTTAGTGACACCACCTAGTGGTCAGCAACAACACTGAGTGTAACTGTTAAAGGAGAACTGCCAAATTTTTGTTCCTACTGGTCCTCATTAACTCCAACCTGTAGACGGATACAATTGAGTGGGGAGATGGCATGTGTGAGCTTGTAGATATATTTGTGTGTGTCTGAAATAAAACAATTGGAGAAATCAGACACACTGTCTTCGAATGAATGAACTGCCATCAATCATACATGCTACAACACTCTGTTAGCATATCACACACAAGCCATACAACTCATTAAACTGCTGTCATTAAAGCAAAGATAAACAAAGGTGCATACCTAAAGATACTAACACACATCTCAGGAAGGTAATTCCATATAATCAACTGTGTTAATCACCAGCATATTAATCTCTAACAGTCTGGGAGCCTGGTGAGTGGGAAGGTACCCGAGGTGGTCCACAAATTTCAAGACCCTTGAACTTGTGAGCCCTTCTTAAACGGGAAATTTACAGTGAAAGAAGACAGTACACCTCTCTGAACAGTGTCTGGAAGGCTTTGGTTACTGCAACACAAAAAGTTGATCGTCAACAGATCAAGAAACTGAAAGACTCCATGAATGAGAGGCCTATGACTGTTATTGAAAAGAAGGGTAGTTACATTGGTCACAGATTTTTTTTTTTTTTTTAATTTAAACAATTTTTATTTGTAAATTGAGTTGTTTGTTTATCATTCTCACTTTAACAAGTGAAAATAAACAAGTGAGATGGAAAATTTTTCATTTTTAATTTAGTTGCATAAAAATTCTGCACGCTAATAGCTGCCCCCAATAATTGTGCACGCATAGATATTCTCCTAAGGAAGACAAAATCTCACTTTTACTCCCTTAAATATTCAGGTTTGAGGTTTATCAACATTTTGGATTGACCGAGAGCACTGTAGTTGTTCAAAAATAAAGTTTATCCTCAAAAATACAACTTGCCTAATAATTTTGCACACGGTGTAAATGTAAAGCACTGGCACTGAGTAACATTTGTTGCCAACATGAGCTTTTGTACACCTGATGGTATAAAGACAGTGGAAGTCTTCATATAAATTAAATTTCCATGCAGACATGGGCTGAGCATAATAAAAATTGTAAGTTTGCATGAATTTCGCTGGCGTATGCCCCTCAAACAACCAGAAGTTATGCCCAGTATATAGAGGCTCAGATCAAGTCAGATCATTTTATGGTAGGTAATATAATGGGGGAAATCATGATGATTTGTGAGAGTTAACTTCTATCTCATGCTACCAAACGGTAGACTGTTGGACAATAAACTCTTTGACACATCCCTCTTTCATGAATTTCTGCATTATAAACACTTTTACTAATGGTGATGCTTCTCTAAGCACAATTCTTCATAAGTTATCGGGAACTATATTCATCACTGTCACCCCAAGACAGCCTGAAGAAACCAAAAGCAAATCTACTGTGCTGTGAAATCCCTGTCTGAAGAGAATGGACAGTGATTTTCACTAGAGACTCGCTAGAGTGATCATCTTTCTTGAGATTTTGAACACATGCATCATGAAGCTAAATAGACCCTTTGAAGTAGGTTTGTATTTTACAGCCAGAATTAAGCAATAACCATCAATAGGCAATCGCAAGACACTTTGACTGTAACAGGCAGGGCAAAGGTCCCTGCGGTTGTACAAGGCCAAACAGGAGAAGCAGCTATATACAAAGTCACTATCTGCTTATGTGAGAAGAGACCCAGGCGACAGAGGGAGGACGTGGTTTGGAATTAAAAGTCAACACCTTGGGAGAGAAACACTGAACTGTGTCAGGCCTGGCATAAAGAATTACTTTGCTAGTCTTTAGGGTTGTTGTTTTGTCAAGACGCCTGAGAAAGGAAAGAAAACCAAAACTTAAGGTTGATCTTGCGAGGACAAACAAAATGAAAAGTTCAGAATCTGTGTAGCTTTTGATTGTAGCACGATGAAGCCTTTATCTTTCCACATCATCTCTGACAAGACTCTGCTGAGTGTCTTCCTGACTCTTCTCTGGGTAAGTTTTTCTGTAAGCTTATATGTCAGTAGTCCTCAAATAATGAATGATCAATCCAGTGAAGAGGGTAACCCTCAACAGAAGGAGACTAAACCACAGTTAAGATTCCCCTCATGATACCACTCATGACAAAGTTTAGACAATAGAATCAGTTGTTTGGAATATAAGTAGCCTAATTACATAAAAGCAGACTTCCTTAACCTAAGGACGATGGATTTTTTTCAGATTGTGAATTAGTTGCATGAGAATTTATTATTTTTCAGCAGGAAATGGCTTTGAATAAAACATTAACAAAAGCTGTGCATTCAGCATTAATAATTAATCTTTAATTTTAGACAGCGTTCCGTGATTTGAAGTTTTTATACCAGTCCTTGCTTTTTGAGAGGAAAAAAAGTTACAAGTTTGTAGTTATAATTTGGTAAAAAAGTGTAGGTCTTAGGAGATGTATTTTGTCAGCATGGTCCAAAAATATCTGAACTCGATAAATGGGACTTTCTGTCATTTTGACAGACAGTGGTTAGCAGTAGCTTCTGTGTCACTCTTTTGCCAACTTCTTTTAATTTTGTATCTGGGGTGTTTTAACTTTAACATGATAATTTAGAGGCCGAGGTAAAATAAAGACATTTCTGAAACAATTTCAAGAATTATTTTGTGGTCAATTGTACATTCAAGGTCACAACAACAAATATATGTTTCTGTTAGAGGATTTAAAAACCTGCCAATAAGCCTGTTCACTTTTGAACAGGATTGAACATTATAACAGGGTCAAACACCTCTAAATAGTAGTGTTGTCCTAAACTTTGACATAAGTTGACATTTAAAGGTTGGTAGATAGAGTATGATATGAACATTGCATGGTATAGTGACAATTCTTGAAGACACAGAGAATTTACACTGAAGTTTTCCCAACCTTGTAGACTGTATAGACCAATGAATGTGTCTGCAACACTGGGACTGTTTTAGTTTTACAGTGTTTAATTTTGTCTTTAGGGTGTCGCTGACTCTAATGCAGAATCGACACCAGGCACATCATCAACCACAGCGGTAACAACAGCACCGATATCTGCAGTTTTAACTGCACTCGAACGTAAGTGAGAATTATGTGAACAACCATCATGAATAGCCACAATGTCATTAATGTTAGTGATTGATATTGGGTTTTTTTTCTCTTTCTTACAGCTATGCAACTGTTTGTAGCCCCAGATAATGTCAGGAGCATTAGAGTGACAGATAAAACTGAGAACAGTATAACTCTGGAATGGGACAAAGTCAATAACATCCCGTCCTACTTTGTTCAATATCAACACAACGGCGACAAGGAGGTACTCATTAATGATACCAGCACAGAGACAACAATTTCACATGTAGTCACTGACCTGACAGCTGGGACAAAATACAACTTCATAGTCATCACTACATTAAATGGAGCCAGCAGCACTGGAACAATAAAGGAAACGTTTACCAGTAAGTAACACTTGATACACTGCTTTCATATACAACATTCACAATAGATGCCATTTATGAGATATTCAAAATAAAATTTGCATTAGAGATTGTATACAAAACCAAAGATACAATAGAGATTTGATGATTTCATCCATTCAGGGGAACTAACTAACTTTTTATGTATCCTAGGGCCTCGTAATGCGAACGATTTTAAATACATAGATCAAAGTGAGACTAGTATAACTCCACAGTGGACTAAAGTGGAAAACGACCACTATGAAGTTGAGTATGATTCAGGACATGAGAGCTTCACTGTATCAGAGGTAATGGTGACAAGGACAATCTCAGATCTCGACTCTCGACTCCAGTTGACCAAAACGAGACCAGCATCACTCTGCAGTGGGGAAAAGTGGGTCAAATCCTTGATTATGCACTAGAGTTTGGTGGAAATGTGATGAACATCACAGCACCAAAAGAACATCAACAGGTGACAGTGACTGTCCCTAAACTTGAAAGTGGGACTAAATAAACTTTCAGAGTTTTTGCTCTGTTTGAAAATGCCAGAAGCAGCGGACTAAACTTAGTTGCAGCCACAGGTGAGACGTTTTCTTCTTTATAGGCTTACAACCAAAGCTCTGTAAAAACAAGAGAGTGACTGAACTCTTTCAACTGTTTCTCATACTGTTTCTTAACACCTTACTTTTTTTTGGATAGGGAGTTAAAAAAAAGGGACACAAAACTGAAAGTTTAGAAGTGTGACCAAACATTGTCTCAGCCAATCCATCTTATTTAATTCATAATTAATGACTTGTCAATGTTAAAAGTGTCTAACACAGGAGTGATTGTTTGGGCTTTGTGATTGAAGGGTTGTATTATTGTTTGGTGGTGAGTGAAAGCTTTTTGTCTCTCGGTTAGTTCCCTTGAAGGTGACTTCTGTCAAAGTTACTCGACGCTCTGTGAGGGAGGTAACCCTGGAGTGGACAAGTTTGCGGAGAGACTGGAGCTACTCTCTCCACATAAATGGGGAGTCTTACAAACCAGTTGTATTTGGAGGTATTGTGAAGATTGATGTTGGTTCTCTTGATCCTGGGACAGTGTATCCATTCAGTGTGACCACAACTTTCTTTGGACACAGCAGCGAAGCTTATGAAGACTTTACAGTGACAAGTAAGTTCAGAGTTGTTGCCTTGAAGGAGATTTTTCCATTGAGTTAAACTACTGTTCTATGTGTAAACTGATAAAAATTATACAAGTCATAGCTCTGAAAAAGTTGTGTTTTCACTAAGTTTTGTGCAATCATTTTGTCATTCATTTCAGCCATACACTGTGCAAGTGGAAACTGGCAAGTCACCAACTCAACAATCACAGGAATGATTAATGGCGAGTTTACAAATGCAACAGCATCAAACAAATCAGAAACTCATACCAGTACTGGGAGTGGGAAAGTGTCATTTACTGGTCTTTACCCTGGAGAAACCTATGAGGTTGAACTGGTACTTGAGAAAGACTCCAGACGCTTTAATCAATGTGAAGACACATTTACTATTACCACCAGTAAGTACCAACCTGTTCCACCATATTAACTCAGTGTTTGTCTGCATTTTTACTGAGACCTATGTATTTCTATGTTTGTTTATGTACTGTACATATTTGAAAAATTAAGGTCTGTTTTGTTGCATATGGATAGTGAGAGCTGTGGATAGATGAGCTGTCATGTAATTAGCAATATTTGACATGTTCCTAAAATCAACAAATAAACCCCTAAGGAAACATTGGTGCTCCTCAGTAAAATAGCCTTTTCTCACATTAGTGCAAGACTGTTATTTATTACGCTTCTGTATGGGCCTTAATGATGTACTTTTTTGACATTTGGTACACTTTGAAAAACTCCTATCAAACCTCATTGTGTTTAGTACATACTGCACATGCATTGATTTTTATGTGTTTGAAAAATGAGACATTTACTCACTGTTGGTGGAGCTATTTTCTTATTGTCTCATAAATGTTTTTTTCCTTCTGTTTCCCGCAGTCCCTCCAGTTGTTGAAGCTTACTGTGAGTACAGTGGATCTGGATATTCTGCATTGATTGGATGGAATGAGCCACCGGGCATCTGGCGTTCAGTGAGGGTTGTTATGAGTGGGGAAATTCGCACAATACCTTCCTATTGGGATCGCACTGTCATAATATCTGGATTTCAACCTGCAAAAACGTATAAAGTGTATGTCACTACAGAATCCCGAGAAAGACAATCTCCAGAGTTTGTTTTTTCATGTACCACTGATCCAAGGGGTGAGTGTAAAATGTTACTAATGCTCTGTAAAAATACAACCTCATTGTGATTTATTCTTAATTTTTTATTACAATATTTGTTATCAGGGCTTCAGACTTGCTCCGTCTATCATTCTAGAAGGGAAAAAGGATAATGTCACTGTCATATAAATGGGAACCACTCTAATCGCATAACGAATTTCTGTTACAGAGAATTTACTTCAAAGTTTTCTCTTTGCAGGGGTCATTGCAGGGTCAGTTATTGGTGTGCTTCTTTTTGTTGCTCTGGTTGCCTTCATTTTGTTTAAGAGACCAGATCTAATCAGGTTGGTTCTGCCTCAGCGGCTATAGTCAGATTATCCTACTCTGAACTCTGCTGAATCAGACTAAATTACTGGACCTTGTTTTTATTTCCTGTAGGCGAAACAAACCATTTATCAGCGGTACCGAACAAAACAATAAAAAGTCCAAGTAAGTATAGATTGAATATTCTCTAAAGTAATCATCTCTTAATTTATACTACACTTTCAGTCTCTTGGTCTTGTATAGCACTGAGTTCCACCAAGTTTATTTATGTCAGTCTTTGTTCTGTACTGATTGTATATGCTCATTTTCCTACCTGTCATAATATATTTAAAGTCACTGATATAACAAATTAGGTTTTTTTTTCCCCAGGACTATCTCTGTGGATCAGTTTCCCGACCATTTCTACCAGTTAAGTGCAGATGCAAACAGAGGTTTCAGCGAGGAATATGAGGTATGCAAAAAAAGCTTATTGTTCCTCATTTTTCTTCCAGTAAGATTGCAAAACTTCCTGTTTTAGTTAAGGTATCAATTTGTTATCTTTCGACCTTTGTTTCAATCACCTGCCATGCTATCCATCAACCTTTGTACAGAACCTTGCGTCTGTAGGGACTGAGCAGACTCGCAAAGAAGCTTGTCTCCCTGATAACAAACCAAGGAATCGTTTCAACAACGTCCTTCCGTGTAAGCCACCCTTTGACAGCTGGGTCATGCAATAATGACCATTAATGCTCATAAAACTGTCTAGATACACTGACTCATTCCATTCTGGATCTTTATTTGTTGCGGTGCAACACAATTAAGCCATATATTATTTTTTTTATCTTAGATGACTGGTGTCGAGTGAAGCTAACTTCATTGGATGCAGATGGGATGTCAGACTACATCAATGCCAATAACATGCCTGTAGGTATCCCCTTATGACTAATAATCATAAAGTGAAGGTGTTTTTACAGTAATTGAACACCACCATACCTACATGTCCATCCAATATCCATCATGTAGCTCTAGCTTGTAAGACCAAATTTTAAAAACCAACATCACTAATAATTCCATCAATGAGGGAAGCTGCCAAGGTTGCACCAATATTCATTTGTGTTCCACCATTGTCCTGTCAGGGCTACAACAGCAGCAGAGAGTACATTGCCACTCAGGGTCCTTTGCCCTCCACTGTCAATGACTTTTGGAGAATGATCTGGGAGCAGAGAGTGAAAGGCATTGTCATGGTAACCAATTGCAAAGAGAGTGGAAAGGTGAGTCCTGGTAGAGGCTAAATCTTTAAATGGCAGATTTTATAGGCAGTGCAGATTTAAATATTGTGAGCTGTTGTGAATCATTTGCTTTATTGACTCACATTCTCACAAATGGCAAACGTCAATATGTCCTGTTGTTACCTCCCATTTGGTCGATTGCTTTCTACACACTTTAATGAGTTTAAGACCCTTTTTTAAAAATGTGTACCGATTGTGTTTCCCCAGACCAAGTGTGAACAATACTGGCCTGGAGACCAAAAACCTGTCCTGTGTGGAGAGCTTTCAGTCACCATGACAAATGAACAGCAGGAGCCTAACTGGACACTGAGGGAATTTACGTTGAAACATGTATGTAAACATATATAAAATATTTATGATGTACATAAACATGATGGGCAACAACAGTGTTAAATATTTAAATAAAAATAGTAATGATGTTTAACTCGATCTCCTTCAGAGCACAAATAATCAGAAATAAAAAGGTTTAAATACAGTTTGTTGAAATTGTCAGAATAGCTGGTTTGTTAACAATTGATTTCCAAGAGGATGTTTGACTCCTTAAATTAACATTCACTTGGTTAGAATTTTAGACTTACAGTATTTTCACTCCACAATGTATTTCTTTTCCACAGAAAAACTACTCAGAGGTGCGCAAAGTGAAGCATTTTCACTTCACAGCCTGGCCTGACCACGGAGTCCCGCAGGGCACAGAGGTCCTAATCCAGTTCAGAGGACTGGTGAGACAGCACATTGAAAGAGAAGGGACTGGCGCACCTACTGTGGTTCACAGCAGGTACACAACAGAAAGTTCCTGATCATCTGCAAAGGCATCCATTTTATGGCTTTTTTTTGAGTCGCATGATGAAAAAAAAAATCATTCGCTTCAACACCACAAGGATCACCTGACAAGCATTTCTGGCGAGAATAAGATGGCTTTTTTCCCCCTTGTCTCTTTTAGTGCTGGAGTTGGGAGGACAGGCACGATCATTGCCTTGGATGTTCTTCTTCAGCAGCTTGAGAAAGAGCGTGCAGTGGGCATTTACTCTTTTGTGCACAAAATGAGGCTGAGCAGACCATACATGGTGCAAACAGAGGTAAAAACCTCCCTGAGGTTTTATTTCCTTTATTAGATACCTAAGCAGGGGCCTGCTTTGCTTTTGTTTCTACTACCTTTAATTAACCATATGTAAAAGTTGAATTTTAATATTGAGGTGCATTTGCATCCTCTAAAAGAATAAGTTAATATTGCCATCTTTACTGGCCCATTTTCACTCTTACAAACCAATCTGATCATTTTGTTGTTGTGCTTTACTTTGCCAAAGTAGATGTGTAAACACACAGATGACCACGCATGAATAAATCCACTGTCAGGGTTGCACATCATATCACAATGTTACATTTGCACCGTTATATTTCTCTAAAGCAGGCTTCCTCTACATAGCCTTGTCATATTTCTGAAGGCTTGCATACTGTTTATATAAATAAAAAGTTATCTTTGTTTGCAGTTGATTGTGGTAAACCAGTTGAGGCTGTGGTTAAATGCACAAAAGAAAGCGCTAGGCAGATCATGATGTGTTTATTGCACCCCTCGCTCACAGTTCTGCTTTTGAAATAACCAGCTGCTGTGGTTTCCTTTTTTCAGTCCCAGTATGTTTTCTTGCACCAATGCATCATGGACACTCTGCATCAAAATGAGAGGAGCGAAGAACACATTTATGAGAACGAGGACAACATGTATGTGAATGCTACTGCACTCCGAGAGTTTCGGAGTGCACAAAGGCACCCAAGCCTGAGTTGATTGTCAGTCTAGATGCACATAATAAAGAGTTGATATTTAATCCTACATGCTAGGTTTGGTTAAGCAATGAAAATATAAAACATATTTTATGTTCACCTTTTCCATGTTACCCTTAACTTTTTATTTAACTCTAATTTTGTGTTTCATCTTTTTAATGTATTTTCATGATTATGAATTCTATCATAGAGGGGGAAACTTCAGAGGACAGAAGAATGTTTTAAAACTTAAATAAGACAATAAGTAAAGAAATGTAAATAATGAAATTATTACATAAAATAAAAATGATTTTCAACTTGTACAATAAATGATATATATATTTTTTTTTTAAAAAGGCCCTTAAATGTGTTACAACACAGAAAACAAGCAAAATGAAAACCAGTCTGCTATCACACAGCACCAGCTTGTCTAAAACTGTGCCCAAATGAAGGATTGGTCCTCGCCTTTGGCCATAAGGGTCACCATATAAATGACTCACATAGCTTATCAAAACAAAACAATTTTGGCCTCACTTCCTCTAAATTCCTTCAACTTTGAGCACTTCTGCGATAGGAGGGCTTATAAAAGTGAGCAGTGATGAGTTCCCGTCTGGCTTTTACGGCCTCAGGGTTTTATTTCTGGCTCAGAAAGCTGTTTGCCTGGTTTCAGGGCCTCATATTTTCCAAGGATGGGTGGTGGAGGCACAGAAAACTTCTTAGTGATGTTGTGCAGGACGCAGCACGCCTTAATGATGTTGGACTTCTTATCCAAAGTGCTCTCTAGTGTAAAACCAAGCTGCATCAAACACCTGAAACGTCTCTTCATGCACCCAAGTGCTGTTTGCATAACATTATGAATCTTTGCGTGGGCATCGTTGAAGCGGTTCTCACTGTTATTTGCAGGTTCCGACACAGGAGTCAGGACATGTTTGCTTAAGTTGTAGCCTGTCCCACCTTTGAAAAAAAAAAGAGATTGCAATTAAAACAGGATCAGAAACACAAACCTTGATACTATTTTAACAAACACATTAAAACAAAGGCTGTGATGACTAACTTAAAAATAGACAGAACAAGGTAAGAACCACTGATGCTTTACACTAAGGCTGTTTTTCATTTCAGAGACCGCATCGGGCTAAGTGCACTTCTGCACCGTCAAACTGTGCATTTGAAGCATGCATGACGTCATGACGGCGCGAACAGTGTCCTGTTTGGCACGAGATGCTAAGAAATGCTAAGCGCGCTTAGCATTTTTTCAAGCATGTATTTATGCACGCTTTCGTGCCGTCGGTATCCCAGAATGCTTTGCGTGCCGCTGCAGAGCTTCACATTTCAGGTGAGAGGCTGGACTCGCTTGGAGACGCAGCGCATCTTCAAAGAAAATACAAGAAATCCAAAAACAGCAGACAGTCAGCTCAGGCTGTATGAGAGCATGATCTCTGAACTCACTAAAATCTGCAAACCAAACATTATAGATTTAGAGACGAACTGATCCGCTCTGCTTCAACAATAAAAAACATTAGAAATAAGAAAGCTGACAAAACTACAGCAGAGTATCAGGACAACATTGAGTTTTTTTTCTTTTAAGATTTAGAGATTAAAGTTGTAAATTTAGGAGAATGAAGTCATAAAGTAAATAAAGTCATAAAGCTGCTTTTGTGGAGGGGGAAATGACTGAAGCTGGTCATCTGCAGGGTTATCTGTGGATGTATCAGCGGGTCATTCAGAGAGATTTTGTGGTTTCTGAAGAAGAAGCAATCAAACTGATGATGATCAACATTTGTGATCCAGAGGGAGTCGAGCTCTGACAAGCACCACGTCTCTGACACCGGCGGTAGCCTACACCTGCAGAGACACCAACACCTTATTATGGCATATGGATTCATATCATAAACTAAAGCTCAATGTCTCAATGTCTATTGTGATGACGCTCGGCTCAAACAGCGTATCCCCCCCGGCTGAGCTACTCAATCCCTGAACGCCCATAGGCTGTACCAGGTGTCAATCATAGAAAACATGAACCCCCTAATAACTTTTAAAAACGGAGCTGTACAGAAAAAAGAGGACTTGAGCACAAACCAGTCTTACTGTAACTATATGTCAACATCACAACCGGGGGGAGAAAAAATTTTGTTCTGTGTAATAAATTTCTAAAGTTTGTCCACAGTCCCATAAACTTTGCTGGCGGAGGCGGGATTTATGACCTGTACTGCAGCCCACCATCAGAGGGTGCTGTTCTCGGAGTGGCTTCACCCAGCGAGGAGGCAGACTCTGTCCATTTTATATACAGTCTATGGTGCATACATGCACGCTTGAAAAAGGGCAGGGGTAGTGTGGTTTGGAGACCGAATTTGAATTAGTATTTTTTGCCAAACGGGACACCGTTCGTGTCGTGTGATGACCTCACGCACGCTTCAGATGCGCCGTTCAATGGTTGCGGTCTCTGAAATGGGACACAGGAAGGGTACATAACGGCGCAAAACGGTACACAACGGCACAAAACGGCAGTGCACTCAGCTAAGCGCCGTTAAGCGCGCTTATCCCGATGCGGTCTCTGAAATGAGACACAGCCTAAGTCTCACTTTATAGCTACTACAACCTCATTTTAATAATGATAGTTTAATAATTCGGCAGATAAAGGAGACAAATAAGACTCAATTGTATACTTAATTATACTTATTAGGAAATCAGGTATTTTTCCTTCAACTTGCCAGACTGACAAAAAAAAGAAAGGGATGTGGAAGAGCCCCAAGAAGCGAACCCAGTTGTACCCCCAAGTGACCCAGGAACGGAGTCATATCAAAGGGCCAGGAGACTGAAGACACCACTCCGAAGAAGTAAGGTCAAGTGGCCAAAGGCCAGCGAAACTGAAGAGTGGAGAAAGCTGGACGAACACTTGAGCGGGCTGCTGCAAAGTGCACTACGCGGGTCAGTGGAATCCAAGCTAAACCTGTTCGGGGAGATCTTGTATGAAGAATGCAGCAACAGGTATGGTGAGGTGACCATCAGAGAACCAGCAGCAAGGATAAAGGGGAGGAGGGAGAAAGAGATTGATGACCTGGTGGCAAGCAGAAGGCAGCTCCGCAAGCGTTGGAGGAAAGCAGAGGAGTTTGAGAAAGACGGTCTGAAAGTCCTCTGGGATGACATCAAGAAACGTCTTGCGAAACTACGGAGGGCAGAGAGCATTCAAAGGAGAAAAGGAAAGATCAAACTTCTTCAGGAATCCATTCCAGCACGCACAATCGCTCCTCGCGGAGAAGACAAGTGAAACTCTGGATGTCTCCAAAGAAGACCTGGAAGAACACATCCGAGCTCAATACAGTGACCCAGCAAAGAACAATCCTCTAGGCTCACCGGGGTATGTGCCTAGGCCCACAGAACCATCAGCCCTGTTTGATACATCACCACCCAAACTCGGCGAGGTCACACAGGTGATCCAGCGAGCGAGATCTGCATCAGCACCAGGGCCAAACGTAATACCGTACAAGCTTTTTAAGAACTGCCCTAGCGTGCTGAAGCTCTTGTGGACCCTGATGAGAGTCACCTGGACGAAGCAGAGCATACCATCCGAGTGGCAAAGGGCAGTGGCTGTCTCCATCCCAAAACAACCGAACGCCAAGATCATCGAGCAGTTCAGGAGCATAGCCCTACTAAATGTGGAGGGAAAGATATTCTTCTCTGTGATGGCAAGAAGAATGACCACCTATCTGATGGAAAACAGCTTCATCGATACCAGTTGCCAGAAAGCCGGAGTACCGGGGTTCCCTGGCTGCGTGGAGCATGCCTCAATGATCTGGGAACAGATTCAGACCACCAAGAGGGAGAAGAAAAATCTGCATGCCATTTGGCTGGACCTAGCCAATGCCTACGGGTCAGTGCCACACCAGCTGATAGCATACGCCCTTCACTTCTTCTACATTCCAGACAACATCAAGAACATGATCATGAAGTACTTCCAGGACCTGCACATGTTCTTTGCACTGAAGAAGTTCAATACTGGTTGGCAACAACTGGAAGTAGGGATTGCAATGGGATGCTCCATCTCCCCAATCCTCTTCGTGGCAGCATTTGAGGTCACCCTGATCGGGGCAAGGCAAGTGGTGGGTGGCGTCCGATTGCCTGCAGGTCAGAGGCTCCCTCCCCTAAGGAGCTATATGGACGACATCACGTGCCTGCTACGAACTGCGCCATGCACATCCAGGCTGCTGAAGAGGCTGGACGAACTGATCTCCTTGGCAATGATGAAGTTTAAGCCACAGAAGTCAAGGAGCCTCTCGCTGCGGAAAGGGGAGAGGAATGACAGAGTCACCTTCACCATCGGCGGAGAAGTCATCCCCCTCATCGCGGACAAGCCCATCCGAAGCCTGGGTAGACTCTATACATCTGGGGCCTTATGTATCAACGCTTGCGGCGCAAGAAAACCTTGCGTATGCCAAAATCGGTGCACACGTCCAGATTTATCATCGCGAAACGAGCGTCGGTTCCAGCGCTAATCAACGCAAAGTTAGGAGGTGGTGTAGAAATTGGCGCTGAGCCGATACTGAGCGTTGACTGTGATTCGCACTTTGGCGACGCTGTGTGGCGGTGTTTGGTGACTTACTATGTGACAAGCGTGCACCGCATCCCCGTGGCTGAGCAGCACGTCGCCCCACATGACGAACCAGCAGCAGACGGAGGGATGCGAGCTGATCCCTGCCGGGCCGCCGTCCTCGCGCGGGAGAATCTCATCGCCACAGTGTGAATGGGTAAGAAGTGAATACACAGTTCAATGAGCCAAATTAATTTATGTTCTCCACCAGACGCTCGAGGACATTTACGAGCCGGTCCAGCCGCTCGTTGATCCCCATGATCCCCCTGATGATTTCTTCGTGCGATTGCAGGACCCCCTCCGCGAGGACCCTTCCACTGCGTCCGGGTGGTCCAGCGGAAGCGCTGCGGCTGGTGGACGCTCCACCGCTTGTCGGCGCGCTGGTGCTGATGCTGGTGCTGGTGCCGGGGCCGGGGGCCGGGGTGGCCCGAATGCCGCTGGTCCTGGCCGACGACTCCGAGCCGGCGGACGGGCTGCCGCAGGCCGGGGTTCCGCAAGCCGGTGACACGGCAGACACATTGATTTCTGTGACACAATAAAAATATTTGTTCATTTCAATTCCTGCTTCTGTGTATCTGTAGCGTTTACATCTCTCTCCACGGTATCATAGGTAATGAAATCCAGTATTTAGAGGTCAGTTATGCACATTACAGTTGTTTATTGCATAAAAAGTTATCGAAAAATGAAGTTAAGGGCGAAGTATAAATCACGTCTAAAAATAGACTGAATCCCGATGTTGAAATGAAGTATAAACTTAGACTAGACGTCTAATATACGTCTTTTGCTCAGTGGGATGGCAAAGCATGTGGACATTTGTGTGACACGCAACTTACCCTATAATAATAATTATTTTTTGTAATCAGCAAAATAATTCAGTGTTTTTAATGGCATCTGTCTTTTTTAAACATCTGTGATCATGCTGAAAGCTGAATAAACATAAACAAAACAAATCGCCACCACCCGCTGCTCAAACGGTGTGAGGGTCTCCTCCCCCGGACCCCCACCTGTCTGGCCAGTACTCCTCCGGAGGGCAGCTGTACGCCGATTGACCTCCACCTTGAGGTCTGACCACTTTTTTTTAATCTTCGCAGGGGTGCGTGTCTCGGAACCCACCGCGTTCACCCTCTCGCAAACTTTCTCCCACTCCAAGCGTTTTTGTTTTGCACTGACGCCACTGGACAGGCTGCCAAACAAAACACGCTGTCGCTCCTCCACCTCCGCCACCAGCACCTCCACCTCGCACGCCGTAAATTTAGTTTTTCTTGTCATTTTGTCTGCGTGCGAGGACAGGGAGACCCTATTTAAATAAATCTGCATATTTATAGGAGGGCGTAACGGGGACGGGCCCAGTCACTCCGACATCTGCGCTCAATTCCACGCTGATTGGGATTTATCAAGGAAACACACGTGGATTTCGGCGCCCGCACACATTGATACATACGGATTTTTTTCAGCATGACAGACCTTGCGTGCGCTCGTTTCTGGTATGAGTTCCACGCAAGTGTTGATACATAAGGCCCCTGGTCTCTCAGACAAGGACATGGGGAAAACCATCCTTCAGCAGCTTTCAGAAGGCCTGTCAAAAATCGACTCAAGCCAGCTACCCGGAAAGCACAAGGTGTGGTGCTATCACTTCACCCTGTACCCGAGAGTGATGTGGCCTCTGAAACTGTGCAAAGTCACCTCATCAGCCGTACGCCGGATGGAGGCAAAAGCCAACTCCTTTATCCGCATGGCTCGGACTGCCGCGATGTTTCTCTGCAGCTGGCCTTTATGGTCGGAACTCACTCCAACTGCCGCTGAAATCCATCACGCTGGGATACAGGCAGGAGAAGGCAAGGTTGGTGATGGAACTAAGGGACTCCTCCGACAGGACAGTGGCAGAAGCAAATGCCAGAGTTGCAACGGGAAGGAAATGGAAGGCTGTGGATGAGGTCCAGAAGGTGATGGGCAGGCTGCAACACCAGGAAGTTGTGGGCAGGGTCCAGACAGGGCGGGCAGGCCTTGGATGGACAGACCCTCCCATTCTGTGGCCCAAGGCAAACAGGAAGGAGAGAAAGGACCTTGTTGTTGCTGAGGTCATCAGAGTGGAACAGGAAGAGCTCAGAGTGAAATCTGTGGCACAGGGGCGGCAGGGGCGCTGGACGAACTGGGAGGGTGTCACGAACCGAGCAATGAACTGGGCAGACTTCTGGAAAGTGCCACAAGCTCGACTCAGTTTCCTCATCAGAGCGACCTATGACACACTACCTAGCCCCCAAAATCTCCATCAGTGGCTTAGAACAGAGCAATCCTGCGACCTCTGTGGGACCATCAATGCCTCCCTCCAGCACGTCCTGTCAGGATGCAAAACAGCGCTGACACAGAGTCGGTTCACATGGCGGCATGACCAAGTTCTCAGGAAATTGGCAGAGGTGTTGGAGAGAAGTCACCAGGAGGCCAACAAGCTCAGTCCATCAATGAAGCAACACAGGATCCAATTCCTTAGACAGGGGGAACCTGCAGAACACTCCAGCAAGAGATCACCACCCACCAAGCTGCAAGCGCCAGGCGCGGAGTGGAAGATGGAGGTGGATATGGGTAGACGGCTCCAGTTCCCACAGGAGATCTGCACCACCACCCTAAGACCAGATGTGGTGCTGTGGTCTGCAGCCACAAAGTCAGTCCTGCTGATTGAGCTGACAGTGCCATGGAAGGAGGGACTGGAAGCTGCCTACGAAAGGAAGATGGCAAAGTATGCTGACCTGGTTGCGGAGTGCAGGGAAAGCGGGTGGAAAGCGAGGACATGCCCAGTGGAGGTGGGATCAAGAGGATTCCTTGGCAGCTCCACGTCTCGCCTACTCAAGGACGTGGGGCTATGGGGAGCCAAATTGAGTAAAGCCACAAAAGAACTCTCAGAGGAAGCAGAGAAGGCAAGCCACTGGCTCTGGTTGAGACGACGAGACAAGTCTTGGGGGGGGGGGGACATCAAGCTAAGTTTGGCTGCAGGGGGTGTCAGGGAGACGTCCCTGTACACTGCCCCGCCACCAGGAGATGTTCTGGGTAAGGGGCGAAACATCCATGAACGGTGGTCCCCAGCTGAAGACCCTGCAGCGAAACTTAGCTCCCTTTTTCTTTGGTGTGCGGTCAGGTTTAGACCTGGCTCAGGGAAGAGGACGCCCCTGCCATGCACAGTCCACCATCGGCACCGCTGGAGGTGCGACAGCCCTAAGGGTTAGCAGGAAGACCATCCTTCTGTATGAAATAATCCTGATCTCTGTAATGAGTTTCATGTCTTTGTAAAGCACTTTGAATTGCTTGTCGCTGTGTACACAATTATTAGGCAAGTGAGTATTTTGATCATATCATCATTTTTATGCATATTTTCCAACTCCAAGCAGTATAAACTTGAATGCTTATTGGATACAAGTATATCAGGTAATGTGTATTAGTGTAATGAGGGAGGCTGGGGCCTAAGGAGATCAAAACCCTATATCAAGGTGTGCATAATTATTAGGCAGCTTCTTTTTCTCAGGTAAAATGGGCCAAAAAAGAGATTTAAGTGACTCTGAAAAGTCAAAAATTGTAAAAAGTCTTTCAGAGGGATGCAGCACTCTTGAAATTGCTTAGATATTTGGGCGTGATCACAGAATCAGCAAACATTTTGATGCAAATAGTCAACAGGGTCACAAGAAATGTGTTAAGAAAAAAAGACGCAAATTTACTGCCAAAGATTTGAGAAGACTCAAACGTAAAGCTACCAGTATAGTGACTAGGAACGAAAACAAAGTCACTGAGAGGCTAAGTGAGGGAGCTTCCGCATTGGTGACTCGCTACACAAACCACAAGCCATTTCCGTGTTTTCCGATTGAGTTCACATTTATTTCCAACGCCGCACAAACAGACAGACAGGGCAAGGCAAGGCAAGATGATCTATGGGCTTAGTTTGACGTTTAAATCAAGCAGTCAACAAAAAAATACGCTCTCCCTACTCACCCCCTCTCCATGCAGCCGCCGCAGCACCCAGGTGACTATATGTCCATTCATTCAATCATTCAATCATCGCGCCTTGACCACACCCCCTCGTGACGTGCATGAAAGGTGCAGCCCAGACAGTTGATGTCAACACACACAAACCTAACCACTTCTGCATATGGCACCTACAACCCAGCCCCTAATTATTACCATTATAATAATTACACTATGACAAATAAATGAACCACGAAATCCACCAATGTTCTTGTGATAGTCCATCAATACAGTTCATCAATGTGCTCTTCTTCCTGGAACACAAGTCAAGTCTAGTCAAGTTCAAAAGTTCAAAAGTTCAGACACACAGCTTCACGGAGGAAAGTCATGTCGTGCTGTCGGTCAGTAAAGTTCATCAAACTATCCTTCCAGAACGGAAGAGTCAGGCATCCGATTCCTGCAGAAGACAGACTTTGGTTATGGGCCTTTCCAAGGAGCTGGTCTTGGTCTTGATCTGCAGCCGTCGCACAAATCCTCTTCTGTCTGGGAAGGTTTGGATAACCCTTCCCATGACCCACGAGTTCCGTGGTGCTGTTTCATCCACAATAAGCACAACGTCCCCTTCTACAAAGTTGCGCTTGATACCAGTCCACTTCTGACGTTCCTGCAACTGTGGCAAATACTCCTTAGTCCATCGCTTCCAAAATAAATCAGACATGTACTGGACCTGCCTCCAGCGTCGATGAGCGTAGATGTCATCTCTTTGAAACTGCCCAGGTGGCAGGGAAGGAGAGGTTTTCAACAGCAAGAGATGGTTAGGCGTCAGAGCTTCGAGGTCGTTAGGGTCGGTTGAGGCCTTAGTAATTGGACGGCCGTTAATGACTGCTTCCACCTCACAGAGGACAGTGTGTAATCCCTCCTCATCCAGATTTTGAACTTTCAAGATGGAGTTCAAGACCTTGCGCACTGATCTGATCAACCTTTCCCAGGCACCACCATGGTGCGATCCAGCTGGGGGGTTAAAAATCCATTTCACCTCCTTCTGAAGAAGAACACCATTTATCTGAGCTTGATTCCAACCTCTGATAGCCTCTCTCAGCTCACGCTCTCCTCCAATAAAGTTCGTTCCATTGTCTGATCGAATTTCTTGGACTTGGCCACGTCTTGCCATGAATCGTCGTAGTGCATTAATAAAGGCGTCTGTATCCAGCGAAGGAGCCACTTCGATATGAACAGCCCGTATTGCCAAACAGGTGAACATGACTCCATATCTCTTTACAATGCTCCTCCGGCTCTTAACCTCGAATGGTCCAAAGTAGTCCACACCGACTCTGGTGAATGGAGGTTTGTCTGGGCAGACCCTGTCAACAGGAAGATCAGCCATCAGCTGACACCCTGGGGCAGCTTGCAACCTGCGGCAGACAACACACTTTGACAAAATTCTCCTTATGGCTGTGCTGACCCCAGGAATCCAGTATCTTTCACGTAGTTTGGACAACATGTAGTTGCGTCCTCCATGACCAACTTGTTGATGTATGTGTCTCAGGAGAACGTCTGAAATGTGGAGCTCTTTGGTCAGAATGGCAGGGTGTTTTGCGTCTTCAGGTAAGGCTGCTCGGCTCAACCGACCACCAACCCTCAGGATACCATCCTCCGACACAGGAGCGAGCTTGAAGATGTGACTTCTCCTTTTCACACTTTCGCCCTTCTGCAAACTAGAGAGTTCATCAGGAAACCTCTTCCTCTGACAAAACCTGATGATTTCCTTTTCAGCTACCTGCAACTCGTCTACCGTGAGGAAACCTCTCGGTGCCAGGTCTTTGAACCCTCCTTTTCCAAGCTCCGAGGACGGTCTTTGTTGTTTCCCTGACTCCGACTGAGTGGACGCAGAGTCAGTCCATGTCCTCTTCTGGCTGAGACCCCGCAGCATGTTTTTTAGCCTGAGAAACCAAGCCACAGCCCTTCTCAGATGGGTCCAAGAGGAAAAATGATGGATTAGTTGAGTGGTTGCATCCACATCCTCTGAGGCCTGCACTGCATTCACTGCCACACTGGCCTTGACTTCTGGATCGTTCAGCAGGAGTTCGCCCAAGCAATCTGGACTCACAGGCCAGTCTCGTTCAGGTTGCAGGAGATATGCAGGTCCTGACAACCACGCCTTGTTCCTCAGGAACATGTCAACCCTCAGTCCCCTGGAGGCCACATCTGCAGGATTGCTTAGGGTGTTTACATACTTCCACTGCGATGGATCTGATACTTTGAGTATTTCTGCTACCCTGTTGGCGACAAAGGTACGGAACCTGGAAGTCTCATTCCTGATGTACTTCAGCACAGAGGTGCTGTCAGTCCAAAACGTTGACTCTATTAATGAGATGTGCAACTCCTTTTTCCAAAAGGTGTCCAGACGGCTTGCCATTGTAGCAGCTGTGAGCTCCATACGGGGTATTGAGACCGGCTTCAAAGGAGACACCCTGGACTTTCCCATGACAAAGCTGCTGTGCATCTGGGAACATGCATTCCGCAGGAGAAGGTAGGTCACTACACCATAACCATTATTACTTGCATCTGTAAAATGGTGCAGTTGCGCCACAGTGACCTCACCAAAGTCTGGGGGTTTAAGGCACCGCGAAACCTGGAAGTGCTCTAACTGATGGAGCTCCTCTAACCAGCTCGTCCATTCCTGTGCAGCTGATGGTGGTATAGGGTCATCCCAACCGAGTCTTTGCCTACACAGCTCCTGCAGGATGATCTTGGCAGAAAGAACAATGGGACTCAGGATTCCTAGAGGATCATATACTGAACTGATGACAGAGAGGATCCCCCTCCTTGTCAGGGGCCTGTCCTGCACCAGGATTCTAAACTTGAAGACATCAGACTGGATGCACCATTGCACCCTGAGCACCCTCTCCACTGGTAGCAGGTCATGGTCCAAATCCAGGTCCTTCATGCCCTTAGCTCTTTGGTCCCCTGGAATTGCTGCCATCACTGCACGGCTATTGCTCATCCATCTGGTCAACTTAAAGCCTCCTTTGGCACATACAGAGACCAGGTCATGATACAGTGCCACTGCTTCTTCCTCACTGGCCGTCGATACCAGACAATCGTCCACATAAAAGCAGTGCAGAATCCTCTCAATGGTCTCTCGGCAGAACTGTTCTTCATTGTCCTTAGCACATTTCCTCAATGCAAAGTTAGCACAACTTGGTGAGGACGTTGCACCAAAAAGATGTACCATCATTCTAAAGTCTACCAGGTCTTGGGTGCAGTCACCGTTGGGCCACCAGAGAAACCTCAGTAGATCAGCATCTTCCCTTGGCACCTTTACTTGGTGAAACATGGACTCTATGTCTGCCATGATCACTACCGGTTCTTTCCGGAATCTGGCCAGGACGCCAATCAGCGAGCTAGTGAGATCTGGCCCTTGCAGCAGTTGAGCGTTGAGAGATGCCGACTGGAAAGTGGCAGCACAGTCAAAAACCACACGGATTTTTCCCTTTTGTGGGTGATACACACCATGGTGTGGGATATACCACAATCTTCCATCAGTACGTGCCAGCTCATCTGAAGGTACTTGCTCTGCGTATCCCTTGGTGACCATATCATTCATGAAATCAGTGTACTGCTGATGAAATAACGAGTCCCTTTTGAACCTCCTCTTCAGGTTTAGAGCACGCTGCTCGGCAACCTTCTTGTTATTTGGCATGGTCACGGAGCTTCGCAGGGGCAATGCAATCTGGTAATGACCATCTACAAGCTTGGCTGAATCCTGGACCAACTTCATGAACTTTTGGTCCTCTCTTGACTGGCCAGGTTGCTCATCGTAGCCACATTCTGGGAAATCTGTTCTGAACTGCTGCTGCCAGAGCTCCTCCAAGTTCAGGACTGAAATTCTGTTAACGGTCGCAACATCCATTCCATCACCACTGTTTCCCCCCAGTGGCCCATTAACAGTCCAACCCAAAATAGTCTTGATGGCATACGGTCCATTGTCCACACTACGGATGACTTGTAATGGTTCCAGTGCCCTTGGTACGTTTGTTCCAATCAACAGCTCAACTTCGGAGTCGATATCAGGTAAGTGAACATCTCTCAAGTATGCCCACCTCTTGAGATCCTTTTGACATGGAATATTTCCTCTATGCACCGGCATGCACTCCTGTGTATAGGTGTTGGGCAAATCACAGTATGTCTCTCCGTCCAAACCGGCCACCTCCAGTCCCGTGACCACACAGCTGTTAACGACCTTCTCCTGACCCATTGTCCGCAAAAGGATTCTTGTCCTTTTTCCTGAGAGGTTGAGCTTGTTCATGAGGTTCACTGTGCAGAAAACAGCCGTGCTACCTTGATCCAAGAAGGCATAAGTAGCCACTACATGATTACCTTTCTTGGATTTAACCAATACAGGAACTATAGGAAGCTTGCACTCATGGCCACCAGCCCCAGTCAACCCATTAGATACCAGAGCACAGCCCACTGCGGCGCCTGGTTCTTCTTCTGTCACTGGGTCCTTTTCCTTTGAATGGATGTGAAGCACTGTGGGGTGTTTCAAACTACACACTTTACATGATAGACGCTTTCGACAGTCCTTGCTGATGTGTCCTATACACAAACAGCCGAAGCATATTCCCTTTTCCCTTAAAAAGGTGATCTTTTCAGTGTGAGTCATCTTCTCCATTCGAGAGCAATACTCCAACATGTGCCCACCCTCACAAAACAGACAGACTTTCTTGGCTGATGAGGTTGTGTCTGGCCTCCTTCCTTTTGTTGCTGTGTAATTGTGCTGTACAGTAGTCACTGTTGTAGCGAAACTACTTCCCTTTGGCCGAGATCTAGGTTTTAAGCTGGTTCGATTCATGCCTCTGTTTGCTGCTGGTGATGAGTCTTGAATGTCTCCAAATACTGGGTCTGTTAGAATCTTTGCTTGCCTTTCGATGAAATGGACAATATCATTAAATGTAGCCCTTTGGTTACGTCTTTCTTGTATTTCACAAGCAGTTGTCCTCCATCGATCCCTCAGCTTGTAAGGCAGTTTTTTTATTATTGTCAGCATGCTAGCAGGCATATCCATTTCAAACATATACTGCACTTCGTTCATCGCATTTGCGCAGCCTCTGAGAAATAGGCTATAATCTTGGAGAGCTTTAACGTCCTCTGATTTTATTGGAGCCCATGACAACGCCTTGTCCATATAAGCAGCAGCAACCCTTTGTTCATCCCCAAAATGTTCTTGTAATAGGATTTTAGCTTGAGCATAGCCCCTGTTTGGGTCCATATGCTGGCAGCTTCTCACAAGATCTCTTGGACGACCTCTAGTGTATTGCTCGAGGAAGTACAGGCAATCACTATGACTGTTGGACTTGCTTTCAATACAGTTTTCAAAGGCTCTCAGGAACGTATGGAACTGCAGTGGGTCACCATCAAACACCTGGATGTCTCTTTTAGGCAAGAGCGCATGTTGCTGCTGTTGTATCAGTAGTGTTGTAATTTCATTCTGTCTTTTCATGATGTCAAGAACATTGTTTTGCTCCCCATGACTTGCTGAATCCCCAACATTAAGACTGATTCCATGATGTAAGTGATCATTATGAGCATTGAGCAGAGGATTAAAATCAGGTAAGTGGCTCTTCAAAGTGGGAGGCTGAAAGTGAACAGCATGGGTCGATCCATCTGATTTAGGCCTTGTCACAGGGTCACTGTCCATGATTTTCGATTGCTGTTTAGATGTTTCCAGCCTCAGAGGAATGAAAGGAGTGGCATTGACATTGAACTTTGTTGTTTCTTGTTCATTTTTAACGTAGGAACTCATTGCATTGGACCTGTCTGTTGTAATACTTTTCAAACCAGATATGCTTGCAGCCCTTAGAACGCTCACTTTAGCCAAGTGTGCAGCAATCTCTTCATCCAACTTGAGCTTTTCCTTGCGTTTCCGTATTTGCTGCTCCTCCTCTTCCAGTGCATGTCTGTCCTGTAAAAGTTTTTGCCGTGCCATCAGTGCAGCTAAATCAGCTTCTGCCTTGATGCGAGCAGAAGAAGTTCCTGATACGTTGGACCTTTTACCACTCCCAGAGCTTTTTCCACTCACAGCACTTTTTGCAGATCGTTTGCTTTGCACATTTGATATGCTATCACTTGGGTTCACGTCATCCTGTAGACCTTCATAAGGTGTGATGGGGCCTGTGTCCTGTGCTGCTGCCTGTAAAGCATCATCTATTTGAGGGTCACACACATGCTTTGTTGCTGCGGCCTCATCATTATCCACGATATTTAGAACATGTTCATTCTCATCCAACCACTGAATCACATCATCCTTGAATGTACTGCTGTAACGTTCAATACTGGAGAACCAATCATTCTGTTTAAGTTTTTCATCCTCAGGTAACAGTGGAATTATTGTTTGATGCAGGTTGATAGCAGTATCAAGGAGCTGAGTAATAGTTTGCAACTGAGATTTCACTTCCTGTACATTTTCCTTTCGTTTCATCAGCTCTTTCATTGCAGGTATTAAGCCTTTTATTTTATTCACATGTGTTTTACGTTCATTTTGTAGATTTACCACTTTATATGCCAATGCTTTTGCAGTAAGTTTCACATTCCTTTTAGCAACCACAGTTTCATTGTTTTCCACTTGTTCCATGGCTTCACTCATATTGTCCTTTTGAGATTCGGCAGTTCAGTGGTTCGCGCAGTGAATCCACAATACACCCAGCATAGTTTTATTTATCCACAGATTGTTTCACATCAATTAACATCGGAAAACACCACAGGTATTTACTCTCAACGAGCAGGACAGGCTGTCTCAGCGGACTTTCACACACGCACAGCGCTCCCCAATGGATGCGCTGTATGCGCTGTAATCAAACTGCGTTCCGTCCAACATACACAGAATGAATGGATGCGAGTGATACAGTCCTACCGGTCTGAAGTCCACGTTGCCATCAGTCTGGCGTTGCAGTTAGACACCGTGTGGCGTGATCGCGTCCGTATATGCCGTTCGGGTGTTGGTACTCCTTTTTTGTTGACAAAATATAGTGACTAGGAACGAAAACAAAGTCACTGAGAGGCTAAGTGAGGGAGCTTCCGCATTGGTGACTCGCTACACAAACCACAAGCCATTTCCGTGTTTTCCGATTGAGTTCACATTTATTTCCAACGCCGCACAAACAGACAGACAGGGCAAGGCAAGGCAAGATGATCTATGGGCTTAGTTTGACGTTTAAATCAAGCGGTCAACAAAAAAATACGCTCTCCCTACTCACCCCCTCTCCATGCAGCCGCCGCAGCACCCAGGTGACTATATGTCCATTCATTCAATCATTCAATCATCGCGCCTTGACCACACCCCCTCGTGACGTGCATGAAAGGTGCAGCCCAGACAGTTGATGTCAACACACACAAACCTAACCACTTCTGCATATGGCACCTACAACCAGGAACCGCTTATCCTCCAGTGCTGTCATATTCCAGAACTGCAACCTACCTGGAGTGACCAGAAATACAAGATGATCAGTGCTCAGAGACATGGCCAAGGTAAGGAAGGCTTAAACCTAACCACCACTGAACAAGACACTCAAGTTGAAACGTCAAGACTGGGCCAAGAAATATCTGAAGAGAGATTTTTCAAAGGTTTCATGGACTGATGGGATGAGAGTGACTCTTGACGGACCAGATGGATGGACCCATGGCTGGATCAGTAATGGGCACAGAGCTCCACTTCGAATCAGACGCCAGCAAGGTGGAGGCGGGTACTGGTATGGGCTGGTATTATTAAAGATGAGCTAGCTGGACCTTTTGTGTTAAAGATGGACTTAAAATCAACTCCCAAATCCAATGCCAGTTTTGAGAAGACACTTTCTTCAAGCAGTGGTACAGGCAAAAGTCTGCATCTTTCAAGAAAACCATGATTTTTATGCAGGACAATGCTCCATTGTATGCAACAAAATACCCCACTATGTGGCTCGCCAGTAAAGGCCTTAAAAACGAAAGAATAATGACATGGCCTCCTTCTTCACCTGACCTAAACCCTGTTGAGAACTTGTGAGCCCTTCTTAAATGGGAAATTTACAGTGAAGGAAGACAGTACACCTCTCTGAACAGTGTCTGGAAGGCTTTGGTTACTGCAACACAAACAAAAAGTTGATCGTCAACAGATCAAGAAACTGAAAGACTCCATGAATGGAAGGCTTATGACTGTTAGTGAAAAGAAGGGTGGCTATATTGGTCACTGATTTTTTTTTTTTTTTATTTCAACAATTTTTATTTGTAAATTGAGTTGTTTGTTTATCATTCTCACTTTAACAAGTGAAAATAAACAAGTGAGATGGAAATTTTTTCATTATTAGTTTAGTTGCATAATAATTCTGCACACTAATAGCTGCCACCAGTAATTGTGCACACATAGATATTTAAAACTGGCCTTGACCCATCCCTCTGTGCCAGTTTCAGACCCATCTCAAATCTTCCATATCTGTCCAAGATTCTAGAGAAGGTGGTCTACAATTAATTGTTACCATTTTTGGAAGATAATGGTATCACAGTGTTGTTCCAGTCTGGTTTTAAAGCTCTCCACAGTACAGAGTCAGCACTTTTAAAGGTGTCAAACGATATTCTCATGTCAACAGACTCTGGAAAGTTTGTTGTCCTTGTGCTCCTAGATCTGTCTGCTGCATTTGACACTGTTGACCACAGCATTTTAATCTCTCGCCTGGAGCACTGTGTGGGCATTAAGGGTGTTGCCCTGGACTGGTTCCGGTCTTATTTAAGGGAAAGAAGTTTCTGCGTTAAACTTGACAACTCTGTGTCGTCAACAGCTCCCCTCCCACATGGGGTCCCCCAAGGCTCAATCCTTGGCCCTCTTTTATTTGCCTTTTATTTACTCCCCCTTGGTTCTGTTTTTAGGAAACATAGCATCTCCTTTCATTTTTATGCTGATGATTCTCAGATCTATTTTCCACTTGAACAGAGCAACTCCAACTCAGTCCAGCAACTCACTGACTGTCTTAAGGACATTAAAGCCTGGCTTTCTTTTAAATTCCTCAGTCTAAATGAGATGCACGTCTCCTCACCCAGACCTGCAGGCGTGAGCACATCACCCCCATCCTGACATCCTTACACTGGCTCCCTGTACAGTACAGAATTCATTTTAAGCTTTTAATATTTGTTTTTAAAAGCCTGAACAATCTTGCTCCACCTTACATTTCTGAAATGCTCCAGCCTTATTGCCCACCCCGACCCCTAAGATCAGCCGATCAGCTGCTACTGACGGTCCCATATACAAGGCTGAAGCTCAGAGGGGACAGAGCATTTGCTGCTGCTGCTGCCCCGAAGCTCTGGAATGAGTTGCCCTTGAATATCAGACAGGCCTCCTCATTTCCTGTTTTTAAATCCCTTTTAAAAACACACTTTTACTCCTTGGCTTTTGATACTTTTTAGTGTTACTTTGTTTTTTATCATTTTAGCACCTGTCGTTAGCCTGCTTATTTATTTACTTATTTATCCCCTTGCATTAATGTATTTCTGCTCACTTTATCTTGTTCTTTGTGTTATTTGTTTTTATGTATCATTGTACAGCACTTTGGCTACCCTTGTGGTTATTTTAAAATGTGCTATAGAAATAAAGTTGATTGATTGATGGAGTGATTGATTGATTGATTGATTGTTTGATTGATTGATTCTCCTAGGGAAGCCAAAATCTCACTTTTACTCCCTTAAATATTCAGGTTTGAGGTTTATCAACATTTTGGATTGACCGAGAGCACTGTAGTTGTTCAAAAGTTAAATTTATCCTCAAAAATACAACTTGCCTAATAATTGTGCACACAGTGTAAATGTAAAGCATTGGTATTGAGTAACATTTGTTGCCAACATGAGCTTTTGTACACCTGATGGTATAAGGACAGTGGAAGACTTCATATAAATTAAATTTCCATGCAGACATGGGTTTCCATGCAGACATGGATTTCTGCATTATAAACACTTTTACTAATGGCGATGCTTCTCTAAGCACAATTCTTCATAAGTTATCGGGAACTATATTCATCACTGTCACCCCAAGACAGCCTGAAGAAACCAAAAGCAAATCTACTGTGCTGTGAAATCCCTGTCTGAAGAGAATGGACAGTGATTTTCACTAGAGACTCGCTAGAGTGATCATCTTTCTTGAGATTTTGAACACATGCATCATGAAGCTAAATAGACCCTAAACTTTGCGGAAGGTTTGTATTTTACAGCCAGAATAAAGCAATAACCACCAATAGGTATGCAAACGGAAGACACTTTGACTGTGAAAAAGGAAGTAACAGGCGGGGTAATGGTCCCTGCGGTTGTACAAGGCCAAACAGGAGAAGCAGCTATGTACAAAGTCACTATCTGCTTATGTGAGAAGAGACCCAGGCGACAGAGGGAGGACGTGGTTTGGAATTAAAAGTCAACACCTTGGGAGAGAAACACTGAACTGTGTCAGGCCTGGCATAAAGAATTACTTTGCTAGTCTTTAGGGTTGTTGTTTTGTCAAGACGCCTGAGAAAGGACTGAAAACCAAAACTTAAGGTTGATCTTGCAAGACAAACAAAATAAAAAGTTCAGAATCTGTGTAGCTTTTGATTGTAGCACGATGAAGCCTTTATCTTTCCACATCATCTCTGACAAGACTCTGCTGAGTGTCTTCCTGACTCTTCTCTGGGTAAGTTTTTCTGTAAGCTTATATGTCAGTAGTCCTCAAATAATGAATGATCAATCCAGTGAAGAGGGTAACCCTCAACAGAAGGAGACTAAACCACAGTTAAGATTCCCCTCATGATACCACTCATGACAAAGTTTAGACAATAGAATCAGTTGTTTGGAATATAAGTAGCCTTATTACATAAAAACAGACTTCCTTAACCTAAGGACGATGGATTTTTTTCAGATTGTGAAATAGTTACATGAGAATTTATTATTTCTCAGCAGCAGTAATATTTTCTCACTGTCTTCCTCAGGGGAACAAACTTTTAAGAGGAAATGGCTTTGAATAAAACATTAACAAAAGCTGTGCATTCAGCATTAATAATTAATCTTTAATTTTAGACAGCGTTCCGTGGCTTGAAATTTTTATACCAGTCCTTGCTTTTTGATAGGAAAAAAAAGTTATAAGTTTGTAGTTATAATTTGGTAAAAAAAAGTGTAGGTCGTGGGAGATGTATTTTGTCAGCATGGTCCAAAAATATCTGAACTCAATAAATGGGACTTTCTGTCATTTTGAAAGACAGTGGTTAGCAGTAGCTTCTGTGTCACTCTTTTGCCAACTTCTTTTAGTTTTGTATCTGGGGTGTTTTAACTTTAACATGATAATTTAGAGGCCGAGGTAAAATAAAGACATTTCTGAAACAATTTCAAGAATTATTTTGTGGTCAATTGTACATTCAAGGTCACAACAACAAATATATGTTTCTGTTAGAGGATTTAAAAACCTGCCAATAAGCCTGTTCACTTTTTAACAGGATTTAACATTATAACAGGGTCAAACACCTCTAAATAGTAGTGTTGTCCTAAACTTTGACATAAGTTGACATTTAAAGGTTGGTAGATAGAGTATGATATGAACATTGCATGGTATAGTGACAATTCTTGAAGACACAGAGAATTTACACTGAAGTTTTCCCAACCTTGTAGACTGTACAGACCAATGAATGTGTCTGCAACACTGGGACTGTTTTAGTTTTACAGTGTTTAATTTTGTCTTTAGGGTGTCGCTGACTCTAATGCAGAATCAACACCAGGCACATCATCAACCACAGTGGTAACAACAGCACCGATAACTACAGTTTTAACTGCACTCAAACGTAAGTGAGAATTATGTGAACAATCTTGATACACTGCTTTCATATACAACATTCACAATAGATGCCATTTATGAGATATTCAAAATAAAATTTGCTTTAGAGATTGTATACAAAACCAAAGATACAATAGAGATTTGATGATTTCATCCATTCAGGGGAACTAACTAACTTTTTATGTATCCTAGGGCCTCGTAATGTGAACGATTTTAAATACATAGATCAAAATGAGACCAGTATAACTCTACAGTGGACTAAAGTGGAAAACGACCACTATGAAGTTGAGTATAATTCAGGAAGTGAGAGCTTCACTGTATCAGAGGAAACAGTGACAAGGACAATCTCAGATCTCATAGATACGACTGAGTACATCTTCACTCTCTTCACTTTATTTGAAGATGACAGAAGCACCGGAGTGAGCATCAGAGCATTCACTGGTAAGAGAATGATTTTCCTCTCTGGTTGCCATTAAACAGAATCCATAACCAAATACACAGATTTAAAGATGTGTGGATTTCTTATGACCTTGCTTTATTTGTTTTTGAAAGTTTTACAGAAATGCAAGCTCTCATCTGTTGTTGTTGCTTTGATAATATTGAATTTGCATGAGCATGCTTGAAAAAAAAAACATTAAAAAAACTGAAAATGTTGAACACTGGATTTTATGTACTTCTTAATTAAACCCCAGATTTTAACAGTTTCTTCGCCATGTTGTTTTTCATCCAAGCTCCTCCAAATCCAGACGGCCTAATAATACTTGGACAAAACCAGGCCAGTATAACCTTGCAGTGGAAGAGAGTGGCTAATCTCAGCTACAAACTAGGGTTCAATGAGACATTCCTGGAGGAAATTCCTGCTGTAGAAGGTCAAGCAACGGTGACAAAAACAATCCACGGACTCACAAGGGGGACTATATACAACTTGAGTCTCTTTGCTGTGTTTCATAATATCAGCAGTAGTGGACTTCGCTTCACTGTAGTCACAGGTAAACTGATTCTAATCCGTTAAAGGCTTACAATATAGTTCAAAGTGATAAAAACAAACTATCATCAGTCATATTATCATTACTAACTTTAAGATATCATGACCTCTATGAGGTTGAAAACTGCTGAAGTGTAATATGATGTCAGCAATATCTTGTCAGCTTTCATCTTATACAAGTAAAAATTCATGCTGTTTGTCATGTTGCTGTACTCTCCAGCTCCCGGTGATGCAGAAAAGTTCAACGTAGCTGGACAAAATGAAACCAGCATCACTCTGCAGTGGGAAAAGGTGGATGGCCTACCTGATTACACAGTCATGTTCAATGAAAATAAAGAAAACATCAACTCACCAGGAGGAGATTCAATGGTGACATTCACAGCCTCTGGACTTCAGAGTGGGACGAAATATGAATTTCGTGTGTTCACTGTGTTTGAAAACGTCACAAGCAGTGGGGTGACGTTTACGGCAGTCACTGGTAAGACATTTTCCCCCTGGTAGCCTACATCTGAAACAAGAGCTTGGTGAGAACTGTGTGTAAAATGTAATCTAAATTTTCAATGTAAACACAAGGTTAGTGCTCTCTATTACTGACTGCAGCAGATTAAGTATTTAGATTACATTATGAATCCTTTATTTAGAGCTGTATTTTTTCCAAAAATGTAACCCTGCCCTTCTTTTCTTTACAATTTAGTTCCTCGCAACACAGATAAGATAAACCCTGTTGAACAAAATGAAACCACCATCACTCTGGAGTGGACTAAAGTAGAGGGCATATTCAATTACACCCTTGAGTATGATGGAAATAAGATTAACATCCCTGCATCAGAGGGAACTAAAGTGACAATCTCAGATCTCACTAATACGACTAAGTACAACTTCATCCTCTTCACTGTGTTTGAAGATGTCAAAAGCAGTGGAGCTCACATCTCTGCAGCTACTGGTGAGAATTTGTTTGTCTTCTATGATATTACATTTTTTTATGACATTGACTATTAATAAAATCAAGGAAAAGAAAATTGTCTATCATAATTAGAGTATCTGGTTACACTTTCATAACTGTGTCTCTTTAAATCTCAGCTCCTCCAAATACAGAAAACTTTGGTCCAGTTGACCAAAACGAGACCAGCATCACTCTGCGGTGGGAAAAAGTGGGTGAAATCCTTAATTATGAACTAGAGTTTGATGGAAATGTGACGAACATCACAGCACCAAAAGAACATCAACAGGTGACAACGACTGTCCCTAAACTTGAAAGTGGGACTAAATACACTTTCAGAGTTTTTGCTCTGTTTGAAAATGTCAGAAGCAGCGGACGAAACTTAGTTGCAGCCACAGGTGAGACGTTTTCTTCTTTATAGGCTTACAACCAAAGCTCTGTAAAAACAAGAGAGTGACTGAACTCTTTCAACTGTTTCTCATACTGTTTCTTAACACCTTACTTTTTTTTGGACAGGGAGTTAAAAAAAAGGGACACAAAGCTGAAAGTTTAGAAGTGTGACCAAACATTGTCTCAGCCAATCCATCTTATTTTATTCATAATTAATGACTTGTCAATGTTAAAAGTGTCTAACACAGGAGTGATTGTTTGGGCTTTGTGATTGAAGAGTTGTATTATTGTTTGGTGGTGAGTGAAAGCTTTTTGTCTCTCGGTTAGTTCCCTTGAAGGTGACTTCTGTCAAAGTTACTCGACGCTCTGTGAGGGCTGTAACCCTGGAGTGGACAAGTTTGCGGAGAGACTGGAGCTACTCTCTCCACATAAATGGGGAGTCTTACAAACCAAGTGTATTTGGAGGTGTTGTGGAGTGTGTAGTTCGTTCTCTCGATCCTGGGACAGTGTATCCATTCAGTGTGACCACAACTTTCTTTGGACACAGCAGCGAAGCTTATGAAGATTTTACAGTGACAAGTAAGTTCAGAGTTGTTGCCTTGAAGGAGATTTTTCCATTGAGTTAAACTACTGTTTTTTGTGTAAACTGATACAAATTATACAAGTCATAGCTCTGAAAAAGTTGTGTTTTCACTAAGTTTTGTGCAATTATTTTGTCATTCATTTCAGCCATACACTGTGCAAGTGGAGACTGGCAAGTCACCAACTCAACAATCACAGGAATGATTAATGGCGAGTTTACAAATGCAACAGCATCAAACAAATCAGAAACTCATACCAGTACTGGGAGTGGGAACGTGTCATTTACTGGTCTTTACCCCGGAGAAACCTATGAGGTTGAACTGGTACTTGAGAAAGACTCCAGAAGCTTTAATCAATGTGACGACACATTTACTATCACCACCAGTAAGTACCAACCTGTTCCACCATATTAACTCAGTGTTTGTCTGCATTTTTACTGAGACCTATGTATTTCTATGTTTGTTTATGTACTGTACATATTTGAAAAATTAAGGTCTGTTTTGTTGCATATGGATAGTGAGAGCTGTGAATAGATGAGCTGTCATGTAATAAGCAATATTTGACATGTTCCTAAAATCAACAAATAAACCCCTAAGGAAACATTGGTGCTCCTCAGTAAAATAGCCTTTTCTCACATTAGTGCAAGACTGTTATTTATTACGCTTCTGTATGGGCCTTAATGATGTACTTTTTTGACATTTGGTACACTTTGAAAAACTCCTATCAAACCTCATTGTGTTTAGTACATACTGCACATGCATTGATTTTTATGTGTTTGAAAAATGAGACATTTACTCACTGTTGGTGGAGCTATTTTCTTATTGTCTCATAAATGTTTTTTTCCTTCTGTTTCCCGCAGTCCCTCCAGTTGTTGAAGCTTACTGTGAGTACAGTGGATCTGGATATTCTGCTTTAATTGGCTGGAATGAACCACCAGGCATCTGGGATTCAATGAAGGTTGTTATGAGTGGGGAAATTCGCACAATACCTTCCGATATGGATCCAACTGTCATAATATTTGGATTTCAACCTGCAAAAACGTATAAAGTGCATGTCACTACACGATCCCGAGAAAGACAATCTCCAGAGTTTGTTTTTTCATGTTCTACTGATCCAAGGGGTGAGTGTAAAATGTTACTAATGCTCTGTAAAAATACAACCTCATTGTGATTTATTCTTAATTTTTTATTACAATATTTGTTATCAGGGCTTCAGACTTGCTCCGTCTATCATTCTAGAAGGGAAAAAGGATAATGTCACTGTCATATAAATGGGAACCACTCTAATCGCATATCGAATTTCTGTTACAGAGAATTTACTTTGAAGTTTTCTCTTTGCAGGGGTCATTGCAAGGTCAGTTATTGGTGTGCTTCTTTTTGTTGCTCTGGTTGCCTTCATTTTGTTTAAGAGACCAGATCTAATCAGGTTGGTTCTGCCTCAGCGACTATAGTCAGATTATCCTACTCTGAACTCTGCTGAATCAGACTAAATTACTGGACCTTGTTTCTATTTCCTGTAGGCGAAACAAACCATTTATCAGCGGTACCGAACAAAACAATAAAAAGTCCAAGTAAGTATAGATTGAATATTCTCTAAAGTAATCATCTCTTAATTTATACTACACTTTCAGTCTCTTGGTCTTGTATAGCACTGAGTTCCACCAAGTTTATTTATGTCAGCCTTTGTTCTGTACTGATTGTATATGCTCATTTTCCTACCTGTCATAATATATTGAAAGTCACTGACATAACAAATTAGTTTTTTTTTTCCCCAGGACTATCTCTGTGGATCAGTTTCCCGACCATTTCTACCAGTTAAGTGCAGATGCAAACAGAGGTTTCAGCGAGGAATATGAGGTATGCAAAAAAAGCTTATTGTTCCTCATTTTTCTTCCAGTAAGAATGCAAAACTTCCTGTTTTAGTTAAGGTATCAATTTGTTATCTTTCGACCTTTGTTTCAATCACCTGCCATGCTATCCATCAACCTTTGTACAGAACCTCGCGCCTGTAGGCACTGAGCAGACTCGCAAAGAAGCTTGTCTCCCTGAAAACAAACCAAGGAATCGTTTCAACAACGTCCTTCCGTGTAAGCCACCCTTTGACAGCTGCGTCATGCAATAATGACCATAAATGCTCATGAAACTGTCTAGATACACTGACTCATTCCATTCTGGATCTTTATTTGTTGCGGCGCAACACAATTAAGCCATATATTATTTTTTTTATCCTAGATGACTGGTGTCTAGTGAAGCTAACTTCATTGGATGCAGATGGGATGTCAGACTACATCAATGCCAATTACATGCCTGTAGGTATCCCCTTATGACTAACAATCATAAAGTGAAGGTGTTTTAACAGTAATTGAACACCACCATACCTACATGTCCATCCAATATCCATTACGTTTTACCAAAATAAGCTCTAGCTTTTAAGACCAAATTTTAAAAACCAACATCACTAATAATTCCATCAATGAGGGAAGCTGCCAAGGTTGCACCAATATTCATTTGTGTTCCACCATTGTCCTGTCAGGGCTACAACAGCAGCAGAGAGTACATTGCCACTCAGGGTCCTTTGCCCTCCACTGTCAATGACTTCTGGAGGATGATCTGGGAGCAGAGAGTGAAAGGCATTGTCATGGTAACCAACTGCAAAGAGAGTGGAAAGGTGAGTCCTGGTAGAGGCTAAATCTTTAAATGGCAGATTTTATAGGCAGTGCAGATTTAAATATTGTGAGCTGTTGTGAATCATTTGCTTTATTGACTCACATTCTCACAAATGGCAAACGTCAATATGTCCTGTTGTTACCTCCCATTTTGATCGATTGCTTTCTACACACTTTAATGAGTTTGAGACCCTTTTTTAAAAATGTGTACCGATTGTGTTTCCCCAGACCAAGTGTGAACAATACTGGCCTGGAGACCAAAGACCTGTCCTGTGTGGAGAGCTTTTAGTCACCATGACAAATGAACAGCAGGAGCCTAACTGGACACTGAGGGAATTTACGTTGAAACATGTATGTAAACATATATAAAATATTTATGATGTACATAAACATGATGGGCAACAACAGAGTTAAATATTTAAATAAAAATAGTAATGATGTTTAACTCGATCTCCTTCAGAGCACAAATAATCAGAAATAAAAAGGTTTAAATACAGTTTGTTGAAATTGTCAGAATAGCTGGTTTGTTAACAATTGATTTCCAAGAGGATGTTTGACTCCTTAAATTAACATTCACTTGGTTAGAATTTTAGACTTACAGTATTTTCACTCCACAATGTATTTCTTTTCCACAGAAAAACTACTCAGAGGTGTGCAAAGTGAAGCATTTTCACTTCACAGCCTGGCCTGACCACAGAGTCCCGCAGGGCACAGAGGTCCTAATCCAGTTCAGAGGACTGGTGAGACAGCACATTGAAAGAGAAGGGACTGGAGCACCTACTGTGGTTCACAGCAGGTACACAATAGAAAGTTCCTGATCATCTGCAAAGGCATCCATTTTATGGCTTTTTTTTTGAGTCGCATGATGAAAAAAAAAACATTCGCTTCAACACCACAAGGATTACCTGACAAGCATTTCTGGCGAGAATAAGATGGCTTTTTTCCCCCTTGTCTCTTTTAGTGCTGGAGTTGGGAGGACAGGCACGATCATTGCCTTGGATGTTCTTCTTCAGCAGCTTGAGAAAGAGCGTGCAGTGGGCATTTACTCTTTTGTGCACAAAATGAGGCTGAGCAGACCATACATGGTGCAAACAGAGGTAAAAACCTCCCTGAGGTTTTATTTCCTTGATGAGATACCTAAGCAGGGGCCTGCTTTGCTTTTGTTTCTGCTACCTTTAATTAACCATATGTAAAAGTTGAATTTTAATATTGAGGTGCATTTGCATCCTCTAAAAGAATAAGTTTATATTGCAATCTTTACTGGCCCATTTTCACTCAATCTGATCATGTGATAATCATCTAATGTGTAAACACACAGATGACCACGCATGAATAAATAAATAAATGAATAAATGTCATATTTCTGAAGGCTTGCATACTGCTTGTATAAATAAAAATTTATCTTTGTTTGCAGTTGATTGTGGTAAACCAGTTGAGGCTGTGGTTAAATGCACAAAAGAAAGCGCTAGGCAGATCATGATGTGTTTATTGCACCCCTTGCTCACAGTTCTGCTTTTGAAATAACCAGCTGCTGTGGTTTCCTTTTTTCAGTCCCAGTATGTTTTCTTGCACCAATGCATCATGGACTCTCTGCATCAAAATGAGAACAGCGAAGAGAACATTTATGAGAACGAGGACATCATGTATGTGAATGCTACTGCACTCCGAGAGTTTCGGAGTGCACAAAGGCACCCAAGCCTGAGTTGATTGTCAGATGCACATAATAAAGAGTTGATATTTAATCCTACATGCTAGGTTTGGTTAAGCACTGAAAATATAAAACATATTTTATGTTCACCTTTTTCATGTTACCCTTAACTTTTTATTTAACTCTAATTTTTGTGTTTCATCTTTTTAATGTGTTTTCATGATTATGAATTCTATCATAGAGGGGGAAACTTCAGAGGACAGAAGAATGTTTTAAAACTAAAATAAGACATAAAGTAAAGAAATGTAAATAATGAAATTATTAAATAAAATAAAAATGATTTTCAACTTGTACAATAAATGATTTTATATATATTTTTTTTTAAAAAGGCCCTTATATGTGTTACAACACAGAACACAAGCAAAATGAAAACCAGTCTGCTATCACACAGCACCAGCTTGTCTAAAACTGCCCAAATGAAGGATTGGTCCTCGTCTTTGGCCATAAGGGTCACCATATAAATGACTCACATAGCTTATCAAAACAAAACAATTTTGGCCTCACTTCCTCTAAAATCCTTCAACTTTGAGCACTTCTGCGATAGGAGGGCTTATAAAAGTGAGCAGTGATGAGTTCCCGTCTGGCTTTTACGGCCTCAGGGTTTTATTTCTGGCTCAGAAAGCTGTTTGCCTGGTTTCAGGGCCTCAAATTTTCCAAGGATGGGTGGTGGAGGCACACGCCTTAATGATGTTGGACTTCTTATCCAAAGTGCTCTCTAGTGTAAAACCAAGCTGCATCAAACACCTGAAACGGCTCTTCATGCACCCAAGTGCTGTTTGCATGACATTATGAATCTTTGCGTGGGCATCATTGAAGCGGTTCTCACTGCTATTTGCAGGTTCCGACACAGGAGTCAGGATATGTTTGCTTAAGTTGTAGCCTGTCCCACCTTTGAAAAAAAAAAACCAAGAGATTGCAATTAAAACAGGATCAGAAACACAAACCTTGATACTATTTTAACAAACACATTAAAACAAAGGCTGTGATGACTGACTTAAAAATAGACAGAACAAGGTAAGAACCACTGATGCTTTACACTAAGGCTGTTTCTCATTTCGAAGACAACCGTGAAGAGTCTTCTATCACAATTATGTGAAAAGAATCTCATTAATGAAGAGCTCAAGGACAGACTTGAGTTCTACTCAGGTACGATGAAATTACCACTGTGAAATGTATTTATTAGCTAAAACTTGTAGTCATAATTGAAGGTGACATGTGAATTTTGCCTCATATTATTTCAGATCTTAAACTAGACTTCATGGCCAGACGAGGTCATGAGTACTCAAAGGAGCACAGGGAATTTGCCCTGACCCTCCATCTTCATAGTCCTAAGGCATACAGATACCTTAGAGACACTATGAACTTTCCCCTCCCCCATCCACATACATTACAAAGGTAGTCCTAATGTTATCAAATTCAGTTTCGGGAAGTTACATACAGTAGTATAGGCTATATGTTTAACTGCTATACCTCAATATTTTTTGTACAGATGGCTTTGTTCTGTGGATGACAAGCCTGGCCTGAACAAAATGATGTTGGATATGCTGGAGGAAAGACGGAAGTATGACCATGCTAAATATGGGCGTGTTGCACTCATGTTAGATTCCATGGCCATAAGAAAACATGTGCAATATAATCCGCACAACCAGTCAATGTCTGGCTTTGTAGACATGGGTGATGGAAACAATGAGACTGATGTTGCTACTGAGGCGCTTGTGTTCCTGGTTGTTGGCCTTCAAGGACATTGGAAGGCTCCCATTGCATATTACCTGACGAAGACTCTGTCTCCAGACACACAAAGGGTCCTTCTCACTCATGCATTGGAGGAGCTGCATGCACAGGGTATTCAGGTGGTATGTGTCACAATGGATGGCCATGCTACAAACATCAGCATGTGCAATCAACTTGGTTGTGAGCTGAGGGGTAACCCAGAAGAGCCACTTAAAACCAGTTTCCCACATCCGTCGACTGGTGACCAAGTATTTATAATGATGGACGCATGCCACATGCTGAAGTTGGCACGTAATATGTTGCAGGTAAATTACAAATGTTGTATACCTATTTGTACAAGTTATGTCTCTGCTACTAAAAGTTGCACATTTATTACTGGATGTGAAGATCAACATTGTGCTGTTTGTACTTGTTTGAGCAGTGACAAATTCTTTCTCTGCAGTCATACAGTCCGATTGCATCTACCAGTGGACAGATAAATTGGAGGTACATTGATCAGCTCAATGATGTGCAAAAAAAAGATGGACTGCATGCTGCAAATAAAATTACAGACAAGCATATCCACTTTGAGAACCACAAGATGAAGGTTTCCCTACCCGCACAAACACTGAGTCACTCAGTGTCAGTGGCTCTCCGCACAATGCGAGATCTTGGGTACTCTCAGTTCAGAGACTGTGAGGCAACAGCAGATTTCATCGAGGTAAATCCTAATAATTCTGATTGTATCATAGGTTTTTTCCACAAATTTAAGGTTTTTCGATATTTAACTAACATGACATTTATATGCCAATATTTTTTTTATAGATGATTGACAGTCTCTTTAATATTATGAATGGACGCAATCCTCGTGCCAAAGGATTCAAAGCTCCTTTCGGTGCTTTGAATTTGATAGAGAGGAAAGCATTTTTGTCAAGAGCCAGAGAGCACTTGCTCACTTTGGCGACAAAAGATGGAACACCCCTCCACCGCCCTAAGAGGTCTTTTAAAAAAGATCATTAAAGTTGAAAGTTCGAGAAAGTTACTGCATGAGTTCATTGAAACAGTTCCAGTTTTTGTTCCATGCATCGAGTTCATAAAATGCCTCATTCTGTATCAGGTTCATATAATACAGTATATTTTCTTTTTGTATTGTCTGCCAACATGATGCTCTTTAATTACAATGTTTTTCTGTCCAGTTGCATTTGTCCAAATTAACGTGTATTAAGTGTTTTTCAGGTCCCAGATGCATATAAATCTATTTTTCCCCCCAACATCGAGATTTGTAGGTGTCAAAAAGAGAGCTTGTATGTACGAGGGATGTTGTCGTTTTCTGCCACTTATCCGGGTTGCAGGGGCAGCAGCTTCAGGAGGGAGGTCCAGATCTCCGGTGGGATCCCCAGACGTTCCCAAGCCAGGCGAGAGACACAATCCCTCCACCTGGTCCTGGGTCGGCCACAAGGTCTCCTCCCGGTTGGACATGTCTGGGACACCTCTAACGGGAGGCATCCAGAAGGCGTCCTGACCAGGGGCCTCATGTATCAACGCTTGCGGCGCAAGAAAACCTTGCGTACGCCAAAATCGGCGCACACGTCCAGATTTATCATCGCGAAACAAGCGTCGGTTCCAGCGCTAATCAACGCAAAGTCAGGAGGTGGTGTAGAAATTGGCGTTGAGCTGGATATTTGCGTTGACTGTGATTCGCACTTTGGCGACGCTGTGTGGCGGTGTTTGGTGACTCACTATGTGACAAGCGTGCACCACATCCCCGTGGCCGGGCAGCACGTCGCCCCACATGACGAACCAGCAGCAGACGGAGGGATGCGAGCTGATCCCTGCCGGGCCGCCGTCCTCGCGCGGGAGAATCTCATCGCCACAGTGTGAATGGGTAAGAAGTGAATACACAGTTCAATGAGCCAAATTAATTTATTTTCTCCACCAGACGCTCGAGGAAATTTACGAGCCGGTCCAGCCGCTCGTTGATCCCCGCGATCCCCCTGATGATTTCTTCCTGCGATTGCAGGACCCCCTCCGCGAGGACCCTTCCACTGCGTCCGGGTGGTCCAGCGGAAGCGCCGCGGCTGGTGGACGCTCCACCGCTTGTCGGCGCGCTGGTGCTGATGCTGGTGCTGGTGCTGGGGCTGGGGGCCGGGGTGGCCCGAATGCCGCTGGTCCTGGCCGACGACTCCGAGCCGGCGGACGGGCTGCCGCGGGCCGGGGTTCCGCAAGCCGGCGACACGGCCGACACATTAATTTCTGTGACACAATAAAAATATTAGTTCATTTCAATTCCTGCTTCTGTGTATCTGTTGCGTTTACATCTCTCTCCACGGTATCATAGGCAGTGGCGGTTCTAGACCAAATTACTCCCCGGGCGAGCACCCCCCCACCCCCCCCCCACCCCCCCACACACACACACAAACACAAAAAGAGATAGAATTTTGAACAGATAGCTTTGTATTATTATTTATTATTATTATAACAACAAAAATTAAATATTTCTCAATTGCAGAAATCCTTCAGTAGAAAAAAACACAATCCTGAGGGCCATTTTGAGAAGGGCCCCCAGATCCTGAGGCTTTCTGAAGTGTTAAGGTTTACAAAAAAGCTGCTATCTCGGCCTCTGTAGTAGATAGAAACAAAATTCAAAAAGTATTTGAGAGCTTATACATGTGGCTTTCAAGAAAGCTCTCTTTTAGTTTTGCGAACCTTCATCACATTTTTGAAAACCTTGAACAAACAAACTCAAATGAAATAAAGCGGCTGTATAAATTAAAGTAAAGGCTCTGCACTGGAGAATGACAAATAATTTGCTTTCTGTAAAACAAGTGGCAGTCATGATAAAGTGTCCATTCAATACAAATGTAAATATAGAAAATAAGGTGTTGAAAGGGTATACAGCTGCCCCAGTATAGTGCCAGTACAAAAGCAGAACTAAAAACTTAAAAATGAATAAATAAATAAATACGTGGCTGACAGTGTGTTCATCTCTGTTCTCACCCAAAGTCATGCAATACTCAGAGAAAACGCTGATAGTGTGAGCCAAAGCACTCCATATGAAGAGGTTGTTCACACTGCTGGATGTTTCTCCTCTGAAGCTGCTCTCTGTCTCCGTCATTGTTTACTTTCCTCATGAAGCTCATCAAGCTCGTAGCAAGATCCGAGCATGAACCCGAGCGCTTTATTCGCCTATCAAAGGCAGACGGGTACGGTGATTTCATTCACCGCGACTCCAGAAATGATTAAAAAACTACAAAATGACGTATCCGCGCTCCCGCTGATATGCTGATATGCGTACACAGAGCAGAGCTTTCCCCCCTGCGACTCTCTCCCCGCCTCGTCTCACACAGTCTGTCAGCCTCTGTGCAGCACCTTCGGAGCAAGCAGGGGCGCCTACAGCAGAAGTGCTCGTGCCGCCCCCCATGAGTCATGACACAAATGCCGCCCCGGGCGGCTGCCCTGTTCGCCCGTGCCTAGAACCGCTACTGATCATAGGTAATGTAATCCAGTATTTCGAGGTCAGTTATGCACATTACAGTTGTTTATTGCATAAAAAGTTATCGAAAAATGAAGTTAAGGGCGAAGTATAAATCACGTCTAAAAATAGACTGAATCCCGACGTTGAAATGAAGTATAAACTTAGACTAGACGTCTAATATACGTCTTTTGCTCAGTGGGATGACAAAGCATGTGGACATTTGTGTGACACGCCACTTACCCTATAATAATAATCGCCACCACCCGCTGCTCAAACGGTGTGAGGGTCTCCTCCCCCGGACCCCCACCTGTCTGGCCGGTACTCCTCCGGAGGGCAGCTGTACGCCGCTTGACCTCCACCTTGAGGTCCGACCACTTTTTTTTAATCTCCGCGGGGGTGCGTGTCTCGGAACCCACCGCATTCACCCTCTCGCAAAATTTCTCCCACTCCAAGCGTTTTTGTTTTGCACTGACGCCACTGGACAGGCTGCCAAACAAAACACGCTGTCGCTCCTCCGCCTCCGCCACCAGCACCTCCACCTCGCACGCCGTAAATTTAGTTTTTCTTGTCATTTTGTCTGCGTGCGAGGACAGGGAGACCCTATTTAAATAAATCTGCATATTTATAGGAGGGCGTAACGGGGACGGGCCCAGTCACTCCGACATCTGCGCTCAATTCCACGCTGATTGGGATTTATCAAGGAAACACACGTGGATTTCGGCGCCCGCACACATTGATACATACGGATTTTTTTTCAGCGTGACGGACCTTGCGTGCGCTCGTTTCTGGTATGAGTTCCACGCAAGTGTTGATACATGAGGCCCCTGATGTCCGAGCCACCTCAGCTGACTCCGGTTAAAAAAAAATTCTATTCTGGTAAAAAAAATTTCAATCTGCAGTTTTGTTTCCATTTGAATTGTCTTGTATTAAGTGTGTTGCAGGTCCTAGATGCTTCTAAATGGGTATGTATTACACAACATGTACATGTAAGTCAAAATGGTAAGTATGGCATGTGTTTGTGCATGTGTTCTTGTTTTCAAGTTCCCAAAAACATGAATGCAAACTGATTTTGTATCCGCTCTGGTAGCTGCTTTTCATTCTCTGAGTTTGCACCCAAGAAATGCAACTTTTTTCTTTTGCAGGTATTTGTCTGTCATTAGATTTGTCATTAACATCGACACATTGATGGTAATGATTCCAGAGCTCCTCCAAGTTCAGCGGTATGTCCTAACATACAGATTTAGCCAGGATCACTTGGAGCTACTGTTTAATTCCATCAGAGCATCAGGTAGGATCTGTTAATTAAATGAATTCAGAAAATATACTTAACGAATCTTATGTCATGTGAGTAATGCATGTATTGTCTGCCTGTTTTACATGCAAGGTGGCTGGAATAATAACCCATCTGCGAGCCAGTTCCAGGCCATTTTCCGCTGCTTGATGGTGCGATGTGGTGTGTCACCCAGTGAGACTGGCAATGTTGCAGCCCAAGATGAGACTGTGTGCCTTGCTGCAGTAGAGATGTCGTCTCCAGAAACAGCTGAAGAATCTCCATTTGTAAACATACCGGCCGTTGTGACAGATCACAGTTACCTGCCCACTCGGTTCAGGGGGCTGGTGGAAAATGCTCTCATCTACATCGCAGGATTTGTGGTCCGGCAGATTCTACGAAAGCTGTCCTGTGATGTATGCCGTGAAAGCTTGGTGGGAGATGCTGTACCAGCATCATTTGATGAAAACTACCACCTGCTGACACTGAAAAACCGTGGTGGCCTTGTAATTCCATCACAAGGTACTGTGAAGGTGTTAAGAGCTGCAGAGAGGGTCATCCGGCAAGCATCAACAAGGCAGGCACCAAAGTTGTCAAATGTCACCTACATCGTCCGGGAGGAGGATGGAACAGAGGACGTTTTTCAACTTGGGGAACACATTGAAAAGACACAGTTTGGCATCGACAACCATCACTTCACACTGTTGTCATTGGTTGTGTCTGTGTTTCTGAAAATAAGGCTACACCACATAGCCAAACTCACCTCTCTGGAGCTGCAGAAAGGGAGCACGAGGAAAAAAAACACCAAAGCAGTCCTCTTTCAAGGCTTTTAGGGCCTGAGCAAATCGATATGTAGTTTAGGTGCTGTCCTGTCATGCTGTTCTTGTGTTTAAATTTTTTTGATATGTAGGCTATATATGTGTGTATTTCTTTGTGTGTATTTTCCAGTTATTAAAATAGTGCTTCTATATGACATTATTTGTGTGTGTCTACAAATGGATGAATAAAATAAAATAAAATAAAATATAATCAAATCAATATATAATGAATTGGCCTATTAAAACCGCCAGTTATTAATAATTATTGAGACATAGCAGGAACCTAGCTCTAAACCTAAATATATCCTTGATTAATTGTTATACTATACTACAGCCACTGCTGCCATGTTCTAAAATATCATTTTATTCATTCTGAGTATTTGAAAATGCCAAAAACAATATGGCCTCTATCATGCCTCTTTGAATGGCGTTTGCAGAGAAAAAAATTGCGTAGTATTGAGCGAACTATGATTCATTTAATGCGCTCGGACTTCATTCTGCCGGTTAAACAGCGGTGCAGAGTGAGGCGGATGACCAGACCAAGATGGCGGCCGCATTTCTCGACAGCACCCATTCGTGGTAGCGGCCGATGCGGGGTCTACTCTTTTATGATGTCTATGATAGTCACTACATTTTGCAATGCTTTATGGGAAATTTTGAGTCGTCTATACACGGCACTGTAATTGATCACTGAGGTTTCGGACACCTCTCAAAATGGCGCTAACCCCCATGTAGTCGCCTATATAGGGGTTAGGGATCCATAGGCTGTGTCCGAAATAGACGGTGTCTATTTGAGCACAAAAACACTAAAATAGCAGAGGTAGGATTTGTGTTTTTATAACAGTTACAGACCAGCGAAAACTATTTTAGTTTGAGCAAATACAAATTTAACAAAGCTCACTATATTTACGTGCATCAACAATATCTTCAAGGGTTGAAGTATATGTAAAAAGGGTTTGCACGGTGAAATGGCAGATTCCCTGCCAAGTTATTACGGATGATGGTGATGCCAGCTGACAAGAGGTAGTATTTTTAGTGTATATCACACAAAAGATAATCCTGATCACAAATGACAATGATTCTCTTGCATAACATAACTTGTTCTCAGAGAAATTCATTTTTACCTAAACTTAGTTTTCTTTGTCAATGAGAATACAGTCAAAATACCTTGCATATTCAGTAAAAACATTTTTTATAATCATATTTCAAGATGTTGAATTTATTAACCTTTGTTTTTATATGCAGAACCTCCTGGACAAACCTTAAGTCCATCTTTTCTCAACTTTGAGTTTCTGACAGAAGTGCCCTCATACTTTTAACCATCGCTTTATTTATTTCAGGGGCTTTTTACATACATTTTCTAGTGTCACATATCAATAATGTATATTTCAAGACTTCCTACAACTAATGAGACAAGCTCCATCATTCTCTAGCTTCTATTCAGGACCTTGGACAGCACCAGTTTCCTGTGCAATTCATACCAGCACAGCAGACGGTGTCGAATTATGGAATATACAATCGATCCTTTTCACAGTAAAAATGTACAAAATTATCATTTATGAGTAATCTGAGCTGAAAGCCAGGAAGTAACCTGGAACATAGATCTGTTGGTGCTGTTCTAGTTTTACTGAAGATATGCAATGTAAAGTTGACAATAACTATTTAAAGTGTTTTTTTTGTTTTGTTTTTGATGCAGGAACCAGAATTCAACAATAAAATCTATGATTTTTTTTTTAATTTGAAAAAAAAGGGCCTGTTTCAGCTCTTTTGTGTGACCTGAAGTTTTGTGAAACTTTTGCTGATGGGGAGCTTGACACCAGCATACAGAGTGGAGAGCAGCAGTTTGTGGACGTGGAGTTAAAAAGAGAAGGAAGGAGCCCAAACATTGCAGTGCTTCAACCTCTAATCTGTCATAACATAGTCAAATTTCACATGTATAACTTTATTATTTTGTTTATGTGGTTATCATCAGAAGGACACTTAAAAAAACAAACAATAGTGGAGAACAGGAAACAAATAAGCTGCAGTAGACAAAAATAACTAAGCATCTGGAGGTTTGCCTGCGTTATCGTGCCTGAAGGTGCTCTAGGTGCTGTAGGTGGGGATAGTGTTGTCTGCTTAGGATTTACTTCAGCAGCTTTGCTGTTGCCATGGATGTCATGGTAGTCATGGTGATGGTTGGCACAGTGATGTCTTTAAAGATGGGCTGTGTCACACCAGCATAAGATACTTTGTTCTCACTGAGAGTCCCGATGATCATCTGGCGCATTTCTCTGCTGGCATCACCGCGTACTGCAAGCAAGGCCTGGATGTGCTCCTCCCTACAGGGGGACAGGAAGGACAAAAAACCTTAAACCAGTGAGGCCAGTGTGGCACCAGTCTGTGAACACCACCTGATCAAACAGAGAGCAGATAACAGGGATGTGGAAACTCATCACAGATGAAGGCTGTGGGATGTTTTCTCTTAGCAGATAATATCTTTACCTTTCTAAGAAAAAATACCAAGTTTAAAATCCATTTTTCATGTTTTATTAAGTTCTAACAAAATCAGCACCTGCTTCTGGCTGCTCAGATGTGTTTACTGTATGTAAAGAAAGAATATACAGAAATATTGATTATTCTTTTTAGAAAACAGTTTTTTTATTCATATTGTGATCTGATAAGTTCACAATGTGTGATTCAAACATGTAACAAATCTAATAAACAGCTCTGGCTTCAGGTGAGGCTTATTAAAAGCAAATGAGAGATGAATATAAAGTGTGTTTTCTCAAACATTAATGATAATTAACCCATTTAAACCGGGACAGCATGTACACATTTCAACCTTTCAAGTCGGGAGCGTGGCTGCGCATTTCTACTCGGAAAGCTGGGTGCATGTAGATGTTTCATCCCTTCAAGCCAGGAGAGGCGTGTACGCATTTTAACCTTCCAAGCTGGCGGTGCCGCTGAGCACTTCTACCCTTCAAGCCAGGAGTGTGGATGTGTCATTTTGTAACATTCTGTATTTTTTCAGTCATTTCAGTCATTTATTTATTTTTTTTAAGTGCTGCTTTTGTACTGGCACTATACTAGGGTGGCTGCATACCCTTTCAACACTTCATTTCTTATATTTACATTTGTATTGAATGAACACTTTATCATGACTGCCACTTGTTTTACAGAAAGCAAATAGTTTGTTATTCTCCAGTGCAGAGTCTTCATTTTTATTTATACAGCCGCTTCATTTCATTTGAGTTTGTTCGTTCAAGGTTTTCGAAAATGTGATGAAGGTTCAGAAAAATAAAAGAAAGTTATCTCGAAAGCCACATGTGTAAGCTCTATCTGCGACAGAGGCCGAGATATCAGCTTTTTTGTAAACCTCAACACTTCTCAAAATTGCCCTCAGGATTTCAGAGGCGTGTCTCAGACAGGGTTCAGGTCTTAATGGGTTAATCACAAAAAACAGATGTAAATCAAAGGGGTTGCTTCATGTGGCTCAGTGACCAATTGGGATGCAGACCAGCTTCACCATAAACAACAATACAAGTTGCACTTGACTGGAGGAATGAGATGTGAGAGATGGCTGGTTTATTGGTTAGAATAAAGCTCGTTTACATACCCGCGTGTGCGCAAAGCCCTAGGATAACAGGTCATTAAAAAAAAAAAAGCAATGTGCACATGATAGTCTGTGCGTACAGCTTGAATCCCTCCTCACAGATTTGCACAAAGTTATGAATCTACTTGACATGCTAACGTCAAATAGTGAAAACTACATGAGCAGCCTTGCTTTATTCTAAAAAGCCAGCCGAAGTATTGTAGTTCCAGTGGGCGGCTAACTCTTTATGACAGGTTTTCTTTGTGAGGTGTAAACACAGTTGGTAACAGGACGGATTTTGAATCCATAACATATTTAAGTATAAACAATTATATCTACATGTGTAGTAATGATGCACAGTAAAAAGACTGTCGTGTGTGTGTATGTGTGTGTGTGTGTGTGTGTGTGTGTGTGTGTGTGTGTGTGTGTGACTGGGATTACCTGATATCAGGGTACTTGGACACCAGAGTGCTGACCTCCAAGAACAGCAGGGTGGGGTCGGTCAGCTTGAAAACTTCAGCTATGGCAGCGATGGCACCACAAAGTGGGTCTGTGTCTTCACCCTGCACACAACAACCAGCTGACATTAGACACGCCCTCATACCTGTAAGGAGTCTCATTAAAACTCCAACCTTTAGGCCATGAGTACACAGACAGACTGGATCAACTCAGGCACACTGTGAATGACAGTGTGCTCAGGTTTTAGGATTTTTGAACTTAACACACATATGATTACTGGTTAGAACGGTAGTACTGGTGTATTTGACTATCTTGTGCTGTACTATGCTTTGTACTTTGTGAATCATTACTATTATTGTTGTTATCTTTTTCAGATGTTGGAAAAAAAACACACAATTCAGAACAGTCAAAGAAACACTGATAAAAGCAGGAGAACTTACAGCAGCCAGTTTCCTGAAGAGGAACTTGAACTGATCAGCCTCTTTGATCATCCTCTCAGCGCCCTCTCTCCTCTCATCCGCATTTTTAAATGTGATCCTCTTTTGCATCACCGCTTTAATGTACTCCACCACCACTCTGCGCAGGGCCTCGCTCGTCATCTCCTGAACAAAAAACAGACAACATGTCAGACATTCACACTCATGGGGCTCTGATTTTGTTCCTCGCCGGCGGCGTGGCGCTGGCACGGCGTAAGAAAGTGTCACTGCGCTAGCCGATTCTGTCGACACCTCCCCCTACTGCGCCACCACGCCCAGCTTGGTGGACCTCGGTGCACCTCAGTCCACGAAAATACCAAACTGGCTGTACACTCAGCTCTGCCAGATGAAAATACCACTGCGCGGGGTCCACCATTCTCCACCACGCCGCTGGCAGGCACAAAAATAGAGCCCTTGGTTCTGTACTGTGGAAACTTAATCCCACTTACAGAGCTCTTAGCTGTCAACTTCAGAGTACTGAGAGTTACTGAGAGTAACCCAAAATCATGTTTATCTTCTTATTTCAAGAGGAAGGACAGAAAGTTGAATCTAATGATAGCTGCAGTGTAAGTTAATGGGACTATGTCCACAGCATGAGAATCAGTCAACTAACAATACTTATGTTCAAAATTACTTTAAAGTCATTAATGATTAACCTAACAGTTATAAGACCATCTCAAGGGAGCGTATAAAAGCACATTAAAGTGAGGACCATGAAGAAGTTTTCTCTATCTGTGAACTGTGGAGGCCCTGCTGATGGCTGCAGGAAACCCTGTCTCTTTAAAAAACACCAACAAAACGTTAAAACCAGCTAAATCTTTGGAATCATTGTACACATTCATCCACAGTGTGCACCATCAGGGAGATGGTTTGGGATGAAGATTTGACGTACAGACTCTGTTCAGTCCTGTTCCCTTCTCACCTGATTGAAAGGTTTCTTAATCTTGTTGAAGTCGTTGAAGTAGTCCTCCACTGTCACACAGATGGTGTCCACAGCATGGGAGCCAGTCAACCACTTCCTGGTCAGCAGTTCATTCAGGTGATGCTGTTCAATCCAATTTCAACATCAAACATCATTAACAGGCACTAATGCTGTGGATCAGAGTCATGGTGGCCCTGAGCACCAGACACGTGCACTCCTTATTAATTGACAGAAAATATTTTACACTAAAAATACGCTCATTTGTACACACCGATGTGTATATTTAATGACAAATACTCTGCCACGATGCAAAAGTACTTACCTCAAGATCGAGGAAGACTTCATCCAAAAGAAACTGACATCCCTCTTTGGCCACCTCATTGAGGGTCCGCTCTATAGCAGCATCACTGTCAGTGGGCTCTGAGGACTGGGAGTACTTCCTCTTCAGGCTGTTGATGGATTCCCTGAAGAGCACATCCACCAAGCACCATGCATTCAAAAACAGGATCCCAAAGTGTTCTTTCGACATACACGAAAACTCTTCAATATCTAGAAGCTATTACAACATAAATGTTTAGGATAGTTGCTTATTGAGCGAAGCTTTACCCTTACTCACAGGTTCAACTTAGAGGAGGTATTTGAAACCCAAACAACCACTTTTATAAACCTACACTTCAGCTACAGGGGTTGGACAATGAAACTGAAACACCTGGTTTTAGACCATAATAATTCATTAGTATGGTGTAGGGCCTCCTTTTGCGGCCAATAAAGCATCAATTCGTCTTGGGAATGACAGATACAAGTCCTGCACAGTGGCCAGATGCATTTTGAGCCATTCTTCTTGCAGAATAGTGGCCAGGTCACTACGTGATGTTGGTGGAGGAAAACGTTTCCTGACTCGCTCCTCCAAAACACCCCAAAGTGGCTCAATAATATTTAGATCTGGTGACTGTGCAAGCCATGGGAGATGTTCAACTTCATGTTCATCAAACCACTCTGTCACCAGTCTTGCTGTGTGTATTGGTTCATTAACATCCTTATACACAGTACCACCTTCAGGATACAGTGTTTCTGGGTGCACATGGTCTTTCAGAATGGTTCAGTAGTCCTTGGCAGTGACACACTCATCTAGCACAAGTATTGGGCCTAGGGAATGCCATGATATTGCAGCCCAAACCATCACTGATCCACCCCCATGCTTCACTCTGGGCATGCAACAGTCTGGGTGGTATGCTTCTTTGTGGCTTCTCCACACCGTGACTCTCCCGGATGTTGGAAAGACGGTAAAGGTGGACTCGTCAGAGAACAATATATGTTTCACATTGTCCACATCCCATGATTTTCGATGCTGGCACCATTGAAACCGACGTTTGGCAGTGGCACAAGTGACCAAAGGTTTGGCTATAGCAGCCTGGCCGTGTATACTGACCCAGTGGAGCTCCCGACGGACAGTTTTGGTGGAAACAGGAGAGTTGAGGTGCACATTTAATTCTGCAGTGAGTTGGGCAGCTGTGGTTTCATGTTTTCTGGATACAACTCGGGTTAGCACCCGGACATCCCTTCCCGGACACCCGGACAGCTTCCTCTTGCCTCCACATTTACTCCTGTCGGATGTGGTTCGTCCTTCTTGGTGGTATGCTGACATTACCCTGGATACCGTGGCTTTTGATACATCACAAATACTGTCTTGGTCACAGATGCGCCAGCAAGACGTGCACCAACAACATGTCCTCTTTTGAACTCTGATATGTCGCCCATAATATTGTGTGCATTACAATATTTTGAGCAAAACTGCTATTACTCTGCCATTTGAACCTTCACACTCTGCTCTTGCTGGTTCAATGTGCAATCAATGAAGATTGGCCACCAGGCTGGACAAATTTAGCCATGAAACCTCCAACACTAAATTGGCAGGTGTTTCAGTTTCATTGTCCAACCCCTGTAGCTTCACACACACTCATACAAACTGATGTTTTTTTTTTTCACAGGTTTTCACTGGGCTGCCTCGAACCACCACTGTTCTGGTCCGCCATCCTTCTATGGTTTTGTTTAAATTTTCCTCTCTGGACACGCTACTCAACTAACCCGCCCCCTTGCACATGCCACTCGTCAACCCCACCCCCATGTCAAAGAGAGGCCAGAATGTTTTGTAAATGCAGAAAAAGTTTTGTCAATGCAAAAAATACCTAATTTGAAAAAAAAACAAAACAGTGATCAATTATATATATTTTTGGTTTACAATACTTCACTTACATTTACAATTATTGCTTTTGTTGACAATATCTCACCTGCATTTGCAACGCTTCCTGGCCTCCTTTTGACTCCATACAAAACACACCCATCATTGTATGCTATCTCAAAACAAACAAAGCCATCAGCTACACCATCGACTGATTCTGTGAAATAATTGCTATCAACTGTCAACACAATCATCTGACAAAGTCATTTCACCCATGCAGATACAAGCTTTTACTTTGTGTAAAAGGGCAACAAGGTTTAACAGAAACAAATGTGCATCGCAGATTATTTGTGCATTGATTGAATGAAATCTTTTCCTGTTGACAAAACTGAATTTATTGTGTAAAGGGGCTTTTATTGCGATGTGAGTGAAATCTATGGCTGAAATTATGTTTGGAAATCCGGCAATGGCGTGAAATCTTCGTTTTATTTTGGCTTGTTGGTGATGTGTGTTTGGGAACTGGATGTGAATTGAAGCCAGAGTGTTGGCTGCGAAATGCCGCATACTGTATGTCTCCAATCTCACGCTGAAATGTTCCGGTGGCCAAAAATCCCAGAGTGGACAGGAGCTGGATGTGCACTGGGATGGCTTTGGGGCGTTTTGTTTCTCGCTCCGACACGGGTAGTAAATCATGGCGTAAATCCATTAAAATATTTTGGGGAAGCGGTACCTGCTGAGAAGCCACTCTGTGTTCTCACTGAACAGATCCGCACGGTCTTTGAAAACGCGCTCCCTGCGGAGCATACGGTTCTCCAAGTTCTCCAATAGTGCAAAATAAGCTGTGATTCTTGTATTTGTACTTGTAAGACTTAATTTGGGGTTGTCCTGTCACAGCAGATTTTTATAGCTTGTCACACCAATCATTCAAAATGTCTGCTAATAAACTATTTAGTTACATTTTATAAAAAGGCAACAGGGAACATGTGAAGTTTGAGATTGCTGAACGTTGTGACTCCTTTATTGGGTTCTATTTGTAGTTTCACTTTTCTACCACTGGATTTTGCGTGTACGCATGATCAGAGTTTTGCTTAAATGTACACACGTTCCTATGAACAAGTACAGGTTGATAAATTCCATACTTTGCGCGGGAATGTTCGGATGCACTCACTACGCACACATCTGTGCGTACACACGGTTGATAAATGAGGCCCCAGGAGCAGCTTTTTCTCCTCACACACTTATTCATAACAGGAAACATTAAGTGATAAGACGTGAAGATCAGACTTAAGGACACTCACAGCTGAAAGGGCCGTGAACTCTGATGGGTTTAAACATGATAGCAATTAGCATTGTTGCATCTGGCTTCATAAGGCTTTTGGTCTCCACAAGGATAATTCTTTAGTGAAGGTGAAAACACAGATTTAAGTCAATTAAAAACTTACTTGAATGTCTGACAGTTGTTAATGATGGCGATCATGTACTGGACATAACACTGAGGCAGCTGTCTGTCCCTTAGATGCTCCTCTTTGTAAGTCACCGCCTCCTCTCTGTACCTGCACACAACACACAGAAACACACTTGTGTTAGATTTCCTCAGGAATGACTGAATCACTGCAGCAGGCTGTTCTCTTGATTTGTCTTTATTAAATCTGTGACTTTATCAGTCTCTCTTCTCTGCACTCAGTGTGACTAACTGGGGAAAAGGCTCAGGTCTGAGTGCTTAATCAACAACATCTATTCACTCTCTTTGTTAACCTTGAGTTCAAAAACTAAACATGTTAAAACTATACAAATCTGAAGGACTCCATCAGGAAAAAAAAAGGGTTTGAATGTAAAAACTGAACCTGATGAGAAAAGAGTTCATCTGTTTCAGGCAGAGCTTCAGGACTTGCTGTTTAAAATCCCCGTCGATCTGGGCAGCAACTTGCAGGTTCTGCTCAAACATCTAATCATGAGTGAAGAAACAAACGACAAGAGAAAGAGGGATCACTTTGGAAGCATCAGAAATATATGCAAAGATCTCCACTTGAAAAAAGTAAAATACAAATGGATTGAAATCAAATCAAGTCAAATCAAATCAAACCACTTTATCACTGAGTCCAGAGAAAAATATCAGGAATTATTTTTGAATATTCTTGCCCGATTTTTTGAAGAGGACAGCAGTAAAAGACAGTAAAGCAGTTTTTCAGGTTATTTTGTCGTCACAGTGAAGTTGACCCTTGACTATTGATTTAATATATTATCATGTCATCATTTTTCCTCATGAGACTGTTTGGTGATCATGTCATAATAAGAGTTAGTTAGAGATGTCACACGTCACTTTTTGCAAAGGCCAAGTCAAGTGTAAAGTCTCTGAGAGCTGAGTCTGAGTGAAGCCTGAAGTCACATCAAAGTCCCACTCCGATCATTTTTTTTTTTTACTACTTTAAGTGTTCTCAGTGGTCTTTAAATTGTGATTATGAAGTTTTTAACAATAATCGCGTTACCCGTGTCTTTTTTTCCTGCAAAGCGCCAGCAGCTCATTAGCAATTCACCTCTGAGTTGTGGGCGAGGACAGCGCTGCTCTGCACACTCGTCTTCATGTTAGCTTGCAGCCTAACATTGCTGGTGTAGTAGAAGTGGCAGGTAACATAGGGGGTATTCAGCTCACAGACACTAATGTCTTTGGGAATATTATGAAAACTAAAATCATATTAAGCTTCCTTATGAGCATTGCAATCCACTAACGCACATGCTTGTTCCACGATCATCCTCTGTATTTCTCTTCTATATGCAAAGTCTGGCCTGCATAGCCGGGCTCTGGGGTACGGATGGGAATCAAGAACCGGTTCTTGTCGGGAACCGGTTCCAAATGGTTCAATCCATCAACATCATTTACATTTCATCTGAACGATTCCCTTAACGATTCCTTTCTTCCGGGTGCCTTGAAAAACGGTCTCGTGAGAGCCAGTCTATGCGAACGAGAACAGAGACTTTGAGGGAAAAAAACATGGCAGACAGTACGAAAAGTAGGCAGAAACAATCTCAAGTGTGGCTTCATTTTACCAAGAAAGACAACAACGGGTTTTGTACGGAAGTTTTGACTTTGTGTACCATGGACTAACGGAGTATGAAGCGCAAAAAAAACACTCGACCGACCCAAAAAACCCTTGAAATTTTGCGCGCGACTCCACCCCGTGTACAAATAGTTTATCGTTTGATTATTTTTAGACTCTCACTGAAGGTGGCATACATCTTTTTCTGTTATCAGAGACTCAATAAAATTTTGAGTTAATGGTGAAAACTTATAGTCTAATTTGTTTTAAATCAAAGAAAGGCATTGATAAGGGAATCGTCAAAGAATTGAATCGATAAGCAGAATCGATAATGGCATCGATATCAATAAAATCTCATCAATTCCCATCCCTACTCCGGGGACACTTGGATTGGTTACCTATGAACTCTCACTGTTTCTGAACCTGCCGTTTGGGTCTGCCAGAGTTTCACAGTCATTTGAATGAAGAAATAATCAGAAAAGAAATTTTGCATGTATTTTTCTCATGATATGTCCTGTAGCATCAGAAAAATGAGATATAAACATATAAAAAAACCCAAGAAAAACATGATTTTTATCAGAGTGGGTCTTTAATGTACAGGGTTGAGTTTGTGTGGCTGTACGGTGTGTGTGTCTGTGTGTAGTACTTGAAAGACGATGGCAGGGAGGGTGGTCTGGTAGAATCCGTCTTGGTCAGCTTCAGGCTCAGTTTCTTTCTGCCAGTCCTTCTTGTCTGTCTCCAGAGCTTTCCGCAGCCAGCCTGTAATGTTAGACTAAAGACATGGACAGTCAAACAGTCGAACTCTTAATGTGTCAAACTTTTATTCATTATGGCACTCCTATGAGTGTCTAACTTAAGTTTTTTTTTAATTGAAACCTAACCATAAAGATAGGGAAAAGAATAGGAGACTTAATACCTGGGTAAAAGTAGGGCCCGACCGATTTATCGGTGAGCTGATTAAATTGGTCAATTTTAGCCCGTTTGAGACTAATTGGTAAACGACCGAAACTCACAGATTTTCACCGATATTTTTAGAGATAAAATGTGGAGAAAAAGATTAGGTTTCACTTCGAAAATGTTCCTCCATTTGAAAAGTTCCCTGACTTATCCTGTAGATGGCGCAGCGACCTCATGACAATCTTCATCCACTAACTACCTCACAGCACAGCAGAGTGACGGATCTGAAGCAGGCAGCTCAGGGACGCATGGAGGAGAGTGGTCCACCTCAACGGTAAGTAAACTAGTTTGTGAAATACACAATAAGTCCACAAGTTTCAGTTCAACACACTTCACGATGTTCCCCGCTGTGCTGGTCTCAGTCATGCCGAGTTAGCAGTGAAGGGAAGGTATAGTTGAAAATGCTTTTCTGGTTCGACTTTGATCAGTCAGTCTTCCTGTCAGCTCTTATATAACTTCAGTCAATCAGTAATCAGATTTTTTTTCCCCCCTAATAATCGGCATCGGCCTCAAAAAATCCATATCGGTCAGGCCCTAGTTAAAAGTAGATCAATAGAGACTCTAGAGGCAGCATAATGCTTGTTTCAATGTGTAATTTCGAGTCCATCCTCCTCTTATTTTGACCTTTTCTGCAACACCACTTTAGAGTTTTGAACCATGAACAAATTGACTTTTATATAACCACAAAAACAAGTTATTGTACTTGTTTCATTTCACTCCTAAAGATTACTGTTTGTATTAGATGAAACTTTATTTTCTCCCTAATCTCAGATATGTTGTTTTTGTGGACCGCACAAGGTGTGCTTACACTGCATCAGTTTGCCACAAGACAACTATCCTTAGACTTTTTTTCTGTGAAGACTTTTTATTGCTAAAATTATTGAGACAAGGACCAAACTGAAATCTTAAGGCAGGACTTTAGTTGTGGGAGGAATCTCCAGGTGTTACACAAAATAAATAAAAGAACAAAAGTCACACATATTTTAAACTTCTGTTGGTGTACTCACTGTAAAGGTCTTGACGTATTTGCTGAGCAGGTCATCCACCACATCCTTGCACAGCAGTGGCTCCAGCAGGTTAATGTCGCACTCTGAAAGAAGCTCTGGATGGCCCATCATCTCCGTACTAAAACATACACATGCACATATTTTATGTCATCTTTTGGGGGGTTTTTAAGGAAAACACAGATCAGGGAAGTTCCAGTCTAATCTTGAAAATGTTTCAGTGGATTTCACGTGAATAGGAAACAAGAAAACTCTGCTTCATCTGCCAAAAGTTTTAACTTCAACCACAATACGATCTACAGTCAGGCAAGCTGTCATCAACAATGAGAGCACAGCTGAGTCTGAGAAGCTGTACCAGCGTGTGAGTCATGGGTATAGTCTTGTCTATATGGTGAAATTCACACAGTATACACCACTTTCCATGGCAGAGTCAGTGAAAGTGTGTGTTTTTGTAAACCTTTTATACGTGTTAAGGACCCAGGTCAGCAGTGATACGATTTCATTTGCCTCCAGCTCTTCCGAGGCCAGTTCGTTGACACGTGTGGACACAGCATTATGGTAGAGACTGAAAAACCTGAAACACACACACGAGCAGAAACTTGTTTCACTCAGAGACTGAATTATTGACAGAACACTTACAACTGACAACAGAGGTGTGCTCAAAATATCCAGAGACATACATCACCATGTGCTCCCTGCCAATATTTGTATTTATGCATGTTTCAGAAATGATACGGTTACAAATTCTGCAATTGCAGTTAAAAAAAAAAACACGTTGCTAACAGTGCAACTCAAAATAAAGCCAGCAGATGGCAGTAAGAGCCACACTACACCATGAAGTGCACGTCTCAATTCATAAAACAGGCTTCTGGAAACACATAGGAGCATTTAAGATAACACATTGCAGCAACACAATTAACCTTTGTCTGCACATGACAAAACCCTAGTCTGATCAGCTGCAGGTCACAACGGCTAGGTGAGGGGGCAAAGGGGTTACAGTAAACAAGGAGATTCACTCTAAATAAGGGTACAATTAAAATAGTTAGGACGAACCATGAGAAATAGCTTTAGGCACACTTTCAAATTTGAGCAACAAAGGTTGTAGTAACTTAGATCAAATTCTTGCTTAAAAGACTAAAGCTTTAGGATCCTGAAAAGTAGTCTGTTGTTTTCACTACAGGAGCAAAATGTTCTTCTGTGGCACGATAGGATTTGAGCCGCCCAGCTCTAACCTGTCATATGTTTAAGAGACGTATTCATTTTCTCTCTGTTACCTGTTGAAAGTGTTGTAGTGGGGAGGGAAGCACTGCACCATGAGGTTCTTGACAACAGTGAGGTCATCCAGAACATATTTCCTGGTTATTTCGAGAAGACGAACCAGCCACATTTTATCAGCCTCTCTTGTCACTGACTGGGTGCCCTCAATGCGGGTGCTGACTGTACCCTCCAAGACCTAAAACAGAAACAGACGACCAGAGAGGTGAACTAGTGTGCAGTTGGCCAGCAATGACCCTGCAGTAAAGCGAAGGACGGCAAAAAGACAACACCTTACCAAAGACAGAATCCCTCTGATGCTATTCTTACAACAACACTTAGTGGTATCAGAGCAATATGGAGAGTTAATCATAAAGCTCGTGGTGACTACACTATTGGAAACGATGTATAGGTGCTGTCTGCTCTAATATTCATCTGCTGCTGTGAAGTTTTTGTTTATATGTACAAAACCCAATTCCATTGAAGTTAGGATGTGATAAACGTAAATAAAAACAGAATACAATGATTTGCAAATCCTTTTCAACCTATATTTAATTGAATACACTACAAAGACAAGATATTTAATGTTCAATCTCATAAACTTTATTTGTTTTTGCAAAAAATAACTCAGAATTTGATAGCAGCAACACGTGACAAAGAAGTTGGGAAAGGTGGCAAAAAATACTGAGAAATTTGAGGAATGCTCATCAAACACCTATTTGGAACATCCCACAGGTGAGCAGGCTCATTGGGAACAGGTGGGTGCCATGATTGGGTATAAAAGCAGCTTCTCCAAAATTCTCAGTCATTCACAAGCAAGGATGGGGCGAGGTTCACCACTTTGTGAACAACTGCGTGAGCAAATAGTCGAACAGTTTAAGAACAAAATTTCTCAAAGTACAATTGCAAGGAATTTAGGGATTTCAACATCTACGGTCCATAATATCATCAAAAGGTTCAGAGAATCTGGAGAAATCACTGCACGTAAGAGAAACCAACACTGAATGCCTGTGACCTTCGATCCCTCAGGCGGCACTGTATCAACAACTGACATCAATGTGTAAAGGATTTCACCACATGGGCTCAGGAACACTTCAGAAAACCACTGTCAGTAAATACAGTTCGTCGCTACATCCGTAAGTGCAAGTTAAAACTCTACTATGCAAAGTGAAAACCATTTATCAACAACATCCAGAAACGCCGCCGGCTTCTCTGGACCCGAGCTCATCTAAGATGGACTGATGCAAAGTGGAAAAGTGTTCTGTGGTCTGATGAGTCCACGTTTCAAATAGTTTTTGGAAATAGTGGACGTAGTGTCCTCCGACCAAAGAGGAAAAGAACCATCCAGACTGTTATCGACGCAAAAAAGGGCGCTAATTCTGTAACTAAAACACACGGCTGAATATCAGCAAGCTTTGAAGGCGTGTGATGAGGACATGAAAGCAGCTACTAGTGTAAAAGTAAACAAATGGCTCAATGTAGCATTGCAGGAGCACTTACTGCACTCTGTACAATTAAAAAACACTAATGTGGCCGCACATTATTGAAACGGTTACGTATTGTTTGGTCAAAGACATGAAGCCACGAAGGTCTCGGAAAGGAAGGCTTTGAATAAAAAAAGAAAAATGACCCAAGATACACAATCCCAGGTAGAGAATATTTTTCAAAAACATCTTTGCCTATGATGTACAAAGCATACCATGAACAACTGGCTTCTACCATCTCATAGGTCAATTTTTTGCCTGTACAACTGACGTGGTTGAGCCGAACCATCCAACCCTATATCAGCCCGATGGTCGATTACACAAGCTGCACAACTCCTGTCTTGAAACCAGCTACTTTCACAAGAATCACATAGGGGAAAATATTGTGAGTGGATTAAGGGAGTTTCTTGAGTCATCGAATCTACAAGAGGACAAACAGGTGTGTGTAACAACAGACAACTGGACTAATGTTGTCAATGTTGAGGACATTTATAAAAATAAAAAACATGGGAAAATGTTTTTTTTTTTTTTTTTTTTGGCAAATCTGAATTTATTTTCAGAATTTAACCCCTTTTAACACCAATAATAAGAATGCTGTTGTTTAGAAGCAACAATCATTAATAATTAGTTGTTCTGTAATTTTTTTCCATATCATCACAAATATCATTATCGCAAATTGCCTTGAGAGATCGTGATATCATTTTCAGGCTAAATCGCCCACTACTAATATGTACATCGAAACAAAGAAGATATGAGTACAAATGCAGAATGCAGAGAAATGTCTCACCTCAAACATCTTGTCCTTCCACCGTTTTGGTCGCCCAGGTGGGATGAACCCAGTCTGTTTCTTACGGTCAACCATACGCCGGTCAATCTTCTCTTCTCTCTCAATGATTCGAACCACTGACACCAGCATGGTGGGGTCACGGCGAACTGTCACCATGGACCTCTGCAGTACCATCCATAACTGTTTGGCCAGCTCATCTGACAACCCCTGAACCTGGAAGAGGAAGTCAAAAACACTCAATAGACCTGAAAAAGAAAAACACTGCACTGTTCACCGGAGATAATGATCCACCATAATGATCATGTAAATCATTGGGATTTCAGCTACTATTATGTGCCATACTTTAGATCTTCATGTATAAACTGGGGCCACTGCAGGAGGTACTAGGCCTTTATATGAAGCAGGCTTGTATTAGAGGAGAGCCTTTCTACCCTCTCTCAAATTGTTATTTATCTTCTTACTAAAAACTTTCCTTCTACATTAAGATATGTAAGCTGGAGTTTTTAGATATCATGCTGTAACAAAGATGTAAGGGTGCTCTGTGCTACATAATACAAATGAATGCATTTATCTCAAACTGTGCTGTGGAGAGTGAGCAGAACGACAGACAAGACGTTAACAAAAAACAGAAACTTTATCATAGCATCTCTGGCTGTTCTGTGTAACTGTGACGTCTGTCAGTGTACGAAATCAACTGCAGACTGAAGTCTCCGTTGACACAAAGAACTGGCTACAGGTGCCTCATACAATTGGTCCCTCTGCAGGCTGGAGATACTGACATCAGCATAGTATGTGCTATTTGCAGACCCAGCTGTTAGATTAGACGCCCACAGATGTTTTAACTTTCATTCCTCTTTGGAAATTTCAGCTGTGTTTTTGATGCTGCGTGGGACTAATTCTGAGCAAGCCTCATCAGCTGGTGGGTGATAGCTGTAAAGATATGTTGTTCTCCATAATAATAAAAATATAAAAAAGCCCCAACCAGGAATTGTATGGAGCCTTTATTCACCTTACAGGTCTTGATAAGGAGCCTGGTGACAAACTGTCTTTAAGATCAGGGATGTGTACACTGGCTTGATTGAACGATAAAAAGTTCTTGTTCAGGCCAGTTGAAGCCAGAATTACCTGTGCATTAAGTTAATTATATTTTTCACAACACAATTGAAAAACAAACTGAAACCTTTAAGGGGAAAAATATAAAATAAAATACTAAAATAACCTGGTTGCATAAATATACACACCCTTAAACTAATACGTTGTTGCAGCACCTTTGGCTTTTATTACAGCACTCAGTCTTTTGGGTAGGAGTCTATCAGCGTGGCACATCTTGATGTGGAAATATTTGCCCACTCTTCTTTGCAAAACTGCTCCAAATCTAACAGATTGCGAGGGCATCTCCTATGCACAGCCCTCTTCAGATCACCCCACAAATGTTCGATGGGATTCAGGTCTTGACTCTGGCTGGGCCATTCCAAAGTCTCAATCTTATTCCGGTGAAGCCATTCTTTTGTTGATTTAGATGTGTGCTTTGGGTCATTGTCGTGCTGAAAGATGAAGTTCCTCTTCATCTTCAGCTTTCTAGCAGAAGGCCCAAGGTTTTGTGCCAACACTGACTGGTATTTGGAACTGTTCATAATTCCCTCCACCCTGACTAAGGCACCAGTTCCAGCTGAAGAAAAACAGCCCCAAAGCATGATGCTGCCACCACCATGCATCACTGTGGGTATGGTGTTCTTTTGGTGATGAGCAGTGTTGATTTTGCGCCAAATATACATTTTGCAATGATGCCCAAAAAGTTCAACTTTGGTTTCATCAGACCATAACACATTTTCCCACATGCGTTTGGGAGATTTCAGATGTCTTTTTGCAAAATAAAGCCAGGCTTTGATCGTTTTCTTTGTAAGATAAGACTTCCGTCTTGCCACCCTACCCCATAGCCCAGATATATGAACACAGTGGGAGATTGTTGTCACATGTTCTACACAGCCAGTATTTGCCAGAAATTCCTGCAGCTCCTTCACCTGACTGATATCTTTGAATAATGAGATCCCTCTGATGCTTTGGAAGCTCTCTGTGGACCATGACTTGTGCTGAAAGATGTGGCTACAAAAATGTCAGGAAGAGCTATTAGAGCAGCTGAACTTAATTTGGGGTTGATCAGAGGCACTTTAATTGGTGACAGGTGTGTGCTGACTCCAATTTAACCTGAGTTTGAATGTTATTGGTTAAATCTGAACACAGCCACATCCCCAGTTATTAAAGGGTGTGCACACTTATGCAACCACATGATCTCAGTTGTTAATTTTTACTTCACCTCCCTGAAAGATTTCTGTTTGTTTTTCAATTGTGTTTTACAGGTTATAGGTCACATTAGAGGTGGGAGAAGTTGTGAAATTATTTATCTTGATTTAATTTTTTTACATGACAAAAACCTGGCAGTTGAACAGGGGTGTCTAAACTTTTTATATCCATTGTATACTGACATGGGCAAAATGACGTTGGTTATTGTCGTAAATTTCGTTATCTGTAAATTTTCTGTTAATTGCTCAGCCCTACTGCTGATTATCACTGGCATGATAAAACCTATTTATTCCATGTTTGCCTATTCAACAGTTAGCCACAAAGCACTAGAAGGCAAACTGACAGACAGAGGTGGGTGATGATAATGGTTACCTCCAGATTTCAGGAGAAAATTGCAGATGAACAATTGCTTGTTGGCCAACATAATGACATGTGTTTCTAGTATGAAGAGAAAAGCCGCTGCTTGCTGGAGGTTTGATGAAGACAACCCTACAGAGCACGACTTCTTCCTGACCTCCTACTCTGTGACTAAAACTTACATCCTCAAAGTAGATTGAGATAAGGTGCATATCGCTGGTGTTCTTGCTGTCCATGCGGTACTGCTCGTACATGAGGTCATCTCGGGAACACTCCAGCTCCATCAGCTTCCTGTGGGCCTGCAGCAGCTCCGCCTGCTCTATCAGCTGCTGTGTGTCCGCCACAATCTCTGGTACTGAACATAAAGAGTCAAATACAAATGCTCAACGAAGAGAAAGACAGGACAGGAGGACAATCTCAATGAGAAAGCCAAGACAGAGACTTTAAATTCAAAAAGGACAAGTTTTTGTCTAAAATCATGGGCAGCTTGCCATCTTAGACTTGTTCAAGGTCTATAATCTTCTCAAAGTGACAGAATATTTTGTCTGATATTATACAATCGATCATATCTGCAAACAGCTCACCTGAGAAAATGTTTTTTAGGTTTTCCACCGCAGAGGCCAGCTGACTGTGCTGAACGACAGCATCTTTGACATCTTTCAGGTTCTCAATGGTGTTGATGCTCTGCCTCCAGTCTTTACTCACATCAGCCAGTGAGCTCTGGATGTCTTTCACGTCAAGCAGGGCACTGTGCAGCTGGGTCAGACCAGTGCGGACACCATCCAGCTGGGACTGAATGGCTGCCTGAAAGAAATGCCCAAAAGAGCTGACCTTTGATGCCAACACAGATGCAGTTACAAGAGGGCCAATCAGAAACTGGTCCTCATAAGAAAGCTGAGAGGATTCAATGTTGACAATTACTCATCTTTATTGAGTCTATTTTCACTTTTGCAATAATCTGTTTTTGGTAAAGTCAGCATGGTTGACAAAAACAGGCTAAGAAACATCACTTATCTTTGCAGAAAGTGTGTCAGCACCAACTTGAATGATCTTGGTCGTGTTTTTTTAATGTAATGGGCCATTCAGAGGGCAAAGGCCATCCTGGGAGACCCTCAGCATCCTCTGTATGCAGAGTTTAGACTTCTGCCATCAGAGAGGAGGTTTACCTATGCTTAAGGTCAAACATAAGCTGTTTTAAAAAAGCTGTAGGCACTGCTGCCACTACATGTCCTCATGGAAGTGTGTAACTTTTGATTGTTGGACAATCTGTATTGTGTCAATTCTACAGCCTATCTGTCATGATGAAATCCACGTGGATAGTATATAACATTTATGTATTTATGTATTTTGATGTTGTTTATGGATTGTTTGAACCTCTGTTGAAAACCAAATTGCCCCTCGAGGACAATAAAGATTTAATGAATGAATGAATGAATGAATGAAATCAAAAGCCACAGGGGGGACATTTCTATTAAATAATAAAAATTTGTAAGAAAAAAAATCTTCATGTACTTTATTTAATGTTAGCTAATACAAATGTGGTCATTTCTTGGTTGTGATCCAGAGTGCAATGAACAGAATCTCAACAAGATAATCTTCTTATCTCAAAAAAATATCTGTCTTGATAATGAAAGCAGGTAAAAACACTTATCAAACCAGTTCAAGGTTGAAAACAGGTCAACCAGCTGTCCACATTCAATGCAGAAGTTTCAAACCCCAAATAAACCGGAAAAATGTAAAGAGCGAGCTAGAAAATGGGAAAATGCTCAACTATTCTGATTTATGATTTTTAACATGGTTTAGGGAGCCACTATGAACTAGTGCTCACCAGCTAACTTTACCTACATTTGAATAAAAAATTTTATTATAAAATATATTCTATGACTAGATCTCAAACACTTTACTCAACTGGAATAGAGATAAAAAAAGATCAAAACAACTACAAAGCCAATGTTAAAAAAGCTGCTGCTGAGGACATGAAACACACCACATTGGCATCGTCATGTGGTAAAAAAAATATATATTTTTTTGTGTGTGTAATAAATCAGCTGTTTAATAGGAAAACCGCTTTCAAGAGTGTATTTACGACATGCGCACAGCGCCATCTTGCGTTTACAACAGTTGTGACGTCACTAGTTGTGCAGGAACAGAGCAGTGAAATAACAATTAGCGTGCGGGACTCAATCACTTAGCGGTAAGATGTCAGAGGACGAGTTTGAGATAGATGTTGTGGGGGTCTATCCTGCCAACCCCATGGCGTATGCTTTTGAGCCGGTCAGAGAGAGACCATGTAAGCGAGAAGGAGAAGCGAAGGAGGAGGAGGCAGTAGCTGCACCTCAGGTTCACGGCGAGGACCGGGCCGGAAACACAGCCTGGAGCCTGTGCGGCTACTGCATCCCCATGCCGTCTGCCATGGAGTCAATTTGTTGCAGAGAGGCGAAAATTGATAACGTGGTTGGTGATTTATTGTGCGTGATTCTATCCCAGACATATCCCAGTTATCGAGTTTACTCATCTTTGGCTCTCCATTCGCCATTTCAGCTATCCTAATCTGCTCTCATTCAATTGTCAATACGCGGGCTTCACAACCGATTACATCACGCCAAGTGGCACTGCTTTACGGTTCCCCGCTGTGTCACTAAAGTGGAACTTCTGTCACAGTTTTCTAGAAATGTATTACATTTTGAGAGTCATGAATACAGTGATCTGTGAAGTCGGGAGGCATTCTTAAAAATAATGATAACAGTGTTTCATGTCCTCTTTAAAATGTCAATAATAATAATAATAAAATTTAAAAAAACAGTTTGAAGACTTTTTTAATTTGTCAATCGTACTTAGACAACATTTTGTCTCATTCTTACCTGATAGAAGATTTCAGCTGCTCAAAGTTCAGGGTCTCCTTTATTATATTTTTTTATGTTATGATACTCAAAATCTTTTTAAATATTCTGCAACTGTTGAACCATTAACCCCTTCATCCCCTGTCCCATCTTTCCTGCTGAGAGATGCCTTTTTATCCAGCCACGTTTGTGGAAGAGCAATAATTATCCAGACGACTTTTATTCATTATCATTTGTACATATTATTTAAATGATGTGCAAACCTCAAAAAGCTATTTTTCATCAACATTATACACAGTTTCCAAACCATTTTAAAATGAGGGTTTTCCATAAATCAACGCCTATCTGCAAAATTCTTAGTCGTTCACGAAGACAGAACACAAATCTTATGTTTTCAGTTTCTGGAGACTGATGAGGGATTTTTGTTCTGACGTTTGCTTAACAGAAAAATTAATGATAGGTTTTCCGAGTATATCAAATTAACATGCAACATAAACTCACCTTCAGCCTGGCTTCTACAGAAGCCTTTTTGCGAGCCTCTCTTCTTCTGTACTGCTCCACTTTGTCCAGCTGGTCCGATCGCTGCAGCATCCCGGCCACTCGCTGAACAGCTGTGGCAACAGCCTCCCTGCTCGTCTCTTCCATGTCTGCTTGGGGTTGTGAGTTTATTTCCAGCTGTATCTACAGACTTTAAGCTGACACCCTAAACCTGACAGAGAGGATGCACAAAAGACAATACCACCATTTAGGGCTGGGTTATAAAATGATAACGATATATATCGAAAATTGACTTCCCTTAATATCAATATAAAACATGGTCAATATGCTTTTTGATAGTCTGCATTCTGCCATGTTTTGATAGACCAGTGGTTCTCAAGTCCAGTCCTCTAAGGCCCACTGTCCTGCATGTTTTGGATGTTTCCCTGCTCCAACACACCTGATTCAAATGATCAGCTCGTTATCAAGCTCTGTAAAGGCTTAATAACGAGCGTCGAAGAGACACAAAGACCTCACAGATGCAGCGGCTTGTTGTATTGCAAAAGACATGCTGTTAAATTTCATTTTTTATATTGTGATATACACTCACCGGCCACTTTATTAGGTACACCATGCTAGTAACGGGTTGGACCCCCTTTTGCCTTCAGAACTGCCTCAATTCTTCGTGGCATAGATTCAACAAGGTGCTGGAAGCATTCATCAGAGAGCTTGGTCCATATTGACATGATGGCATCACACAGTTGCCGCAGATTTGTCGGCTGCACATTCATGATGCGAATCTCCCGTTCCACCACATCCCAAAGATGCTCTATTGGATTGAGATCTGGTGACTGTGGAGGCCATTTGAGTACAGTGAACTCATTGTCATGTTCAAGAAACCAGTCTGAGATGATTCCAGCTTTATGACATGGCGCATTATCCTGCTGAAAGTAGCAATCAGAAGTTGGGTACATTGTGGTCATAAAGGGATGGACATGGTCAGCAACAATACTCAGGTAGGCTGTGGCGTTGCAACGATGCTCAATTGGTACCAAGGGGCCCAAAGAGTGCCAAGAAAATATTCCCCACACCATGACACCACCACCACCAGCCTGAACCGTTGATACAAGGCAGGATGGATCCATGCTTTCATGTTGTTGACGCCAAATTCTGACCCTACCATCCGAATGTCGCAGCAGAAATCGAGACTCATCAGACCAGGCAACGTTTTTCCAATCTTCTATTGTCCAATTTCGATGAGCTTGTGCAAATTGTAGCCTCAGTTTCCTGTTCTTAGCTGAAAGGAGTGGCACCCGGCGTGGTCTTCTGCTGCTGTAGCCCATCTGCCTCAAAGTTCGACGTACTGTATGTTCAGAGATGCTCTTCTGCCTACCTTGGTTGTAACGGGTGGTTATTTGAGTCACTGTTGCCTTTCTATCAGCTCGAACCAGTCTGGCCATTCTCCTCTGACCTCTGGCATCAACAAGGCATTTCCGCCCACAGAACTGCCGCTCACTGGATATTTTTTCTTTTTCGGACCATGCTCTGTAAACCCTAGAGATGGTTGTGCGTGAAAATCCCAGTAGATCAGCAGTTTCTGAAATACTCAGACCAGCCCTTCTGGCACCAACAACCATGCCACGTTCAAAGTCACTCAAATCACCTTTCTTCCCCATACTGATGCTCGGTTTGAACTGCAGGAGATTGTCTTGACCATGTCTACATGCCTAAATGCACTAAGTTGCCGCCATGTGATTGGCTGATTAGAAATTAAGTGTTAACGAGCAGTTGGGCAGGTGTACTTAATAAAGTGGCCGGTGAGTGTATAACGATATTAACTGATATGAAAAAAAAATATCATGATTAGGCCTCGACCGATTAATTGGCGAGCCAATTTAATCGGCATGGGACGCACGGAGGAGAGTGGTCTGCCTCAACGGTAAATAAAGTAGTATGTGAAATACACAATAAGTCAACAAGTTTCAGGTCAACCCACTTCATGATGTTCCCCGCTGTGCTGGTCTTGGTCATGCCGAGTTAACGATGAAGCACCATGTAATATGCAAGCTAAAGTTAGAGTTAGCCATCAGCTATTAGCCTTGCTACACTGTTAGCCGTGACAGTATCGGTACAATTCAACAAGAGTACACATTGCGTGATCAAGTTACTTCTTTTACTGGGGCTTCCGGTCAGCCTGAAGAGCAGTAGCCTACAGTATATATTTCTTATAACTTAATAAAAAATTTTAAAAATCGGCCGATCAATCGGTAATCGGATTATGTTCCCCCCTAATAATTGGTATCGGCTTTGGCCCCAAAAAATCCATATCGTTCGGGCCTTAATCATGATAAACCTTTTCCCATATCGCCCAGCCCTACACCCATTCATCAGTAGAATATACAAATGCTTAGTTCAAACTACAGGTGTACATGTTTGAAATATTAAGTTTTCAAATGTTTGACTGATATGTCCACATATTTGAAAAAAAAAATGTAGTTCTGCTTAAGAGTGTTTCCTTAAGTACTGATAAAGTATCGATCACTCAATGTTGGCAATTTCTGATCACAACGTTCCCTACGTGTAAGAGAAGGTCTGGTACACTCTTTGGAGTGTGACTGTAGGAAGACACACACTCATGTCAGCTGACTCTGTGTGTGTGTGTGTGTGTGTGTGTGTGTGTGTGTGTGTGTGTGTATTGAAGACAGGCAGTGAGCTAATTCCTGTTTTTGTTAGTAGAATTTTTTTATTATTCTGTCCGGCACTGACTCACAAATTCGGGGAAGCATCATTTCATAAACGTAGAGGCCATTTATACACCATAGTTTCATAATCAGATGATTTTTAATCCTTTGAATGATTACTACTAATAATACTAACCTGATAGCATAAGCTAAACACGGAGAAGGCTAACACGAATGTCATTTCACCGCCGAAGAAACTGGCTCCTAAGCAGCCTTTAAGAAACATTCTTACCTTTATCTTATAAAAGGAGCGTCCGCGGGATGAAATGCATATTGAGAAATATCAAAACTATTATCATTTATAAGGGAGTTGTGTTGTTGTAGCTCCTCTTCCTGCTTCGGACTCCGCCTCAGCAGCTGCAGGTTTTTCTTCTGCTGCTGCTGTTGTAGAGCCGATCAAATAACGCCCTCTGTCGGTTTGGAGTAGTTAGTTTGAATATAGGTGCCAAAGAAGTTGGGGAAGGTGGCAAAAAAATACTGAGAAATTTGAGGAATTCTCATTAAACACCTATTTGGAACATCCCACAGGTGAGCAGGCTGATTGGGAACAGGTGGGTGCCATGACTGGGTATAAAAGCAGCTTCTCCAAAGATTCACAAGCAAGGATGGGGCGAGGTTCACCACTTAGTTAACAACTGCTTGAGCAATTAGTCCAACAGTTAAAGAACAACTTTTCTTAACGACCAATTGCAAGGATTTAGTGATTTCAACATCTACGGTCCATAATATCCTCAAAAGGTTCAGAGAATCTGGAGAAATCACTGCAAGTAAGCGGCACGACCAGAAACCAACATAGAATGCCCGTGACCTTTGATCCCTCAGGCGGCACTGCATCAAAAACTGACATCAATGTGTAAAGGATATCACCACATGGGCTCAGGAACACTTCAGAAAACCACTGTCAGTAAATACAGTTCGTCGCTACATCTGTAAGTGCAAGTTTAAACTGTACTAGGCAAAGTGAAAACCATTTATCAACAACATCCAGAAACGCCGCCAGTTTCTCTGGACCCGAGCTCATCTAAGATGGACTGATGCAAAGTGGTAAAGTTTCTGTGGTCTGACGAGTCCACAATTAAAATTGTTTTTGGAAATAGTGGACGTCGTGTCCTCTGGGCCAAAGAGGAAAAGAACCATCTGGACTGTTATCCACGCAAAGTTCAAAAGCCAGCATCTGTGATGGTATGGGGGTGCATTAGTGCCCAAGGCCTGGGTAACTTACACATCTGTGAAGGTAACATTAATGCTGAAAGGTACATACAGCAACATATGCTGCCATCCAAGCAACGTCTTTTTCATGGACGCCCCTGCTTATTTCAGCAAGACAATGCCAAGCCACATTCTGCACATGTTACAACAGCGTGGCTTCTTACTAAAAGAGTGCGGGTACTCGACTGACTTGCCTGCAGTCCAGACCTGTCTCCCATTGAAAATGTGTGGCGCATTATGAAGTGTAAAATACGACAACGGAGACCTCGGACTGTTGAACAACTGAAGCTGTACATCAAGCAAGAATGGGAAAGAATTCCACCTTCAAAGCTTCAACAATTAGTCTCCTCAGTTCACAAACGTTTATTGAGTAAAAGGAAAGGTGATGTAACACAGTGGTAAACATGACCCTGTCCAAAATACTTTGTCACGTGTTGCAGCCATGAAATTCTGACTTAATTATTTGCAAAAAAAAAAAAAAGTTTATTGAACATTAAATATCTTGTCTTTGTAGTGTATTCAATTGAATATAGGTTGAAAAGGATTTGCAAATCATTGTATTCTGTTTTTATTTATGTTTATCACAAATTCCCAATCCCAACTTCAATGGAATTGGGTTTTGTACTTGGCATCATAAACTGAAATATCTTGATTATTCAGCTACAAACTAAATATGCAAATTAGTTGGCATTAAGTGGTATGCTATGATGATTTAAATAGTTGAAGCTCCTGTGAGATTTTTGATATTCATGAAACAGACAGAGATTCAGGTGCATGCCTTTTTACGATATAGAAAAGCAAACAAGACTAACAGTATAGAGACCAACAGTTTATATTGTTTAATTTCAATGCCTAAAACCTGTTGGAGTGGGTGTCAGTTTTATTGACAGTTGGTCAGCTGTCAATAAAGCTCATGACAGCTGCTCTTACCAGACAATTTGTTGCTGGAATCAACATCAAACTTTGTATTTTTATTCATGGCAGAGCCTCAACATCAGTCTTCTTGCATATATCACATTTACCTAATTTTTTCCCTTCACAGTGAGGCCTCAGCATGAGCCTGGCCTGGGCTTACGGTTTTAAATCATATTACACATATTTTCATTCAAAGCCTTTTTACATTGGCTTTCAAATAGATGCTGATTATAAAAGTAGTGCCTGTATCAGTCTCCTTCCTTCCTTTAAACTCTAGTGTCTTCTCTCCACTATCCAGCCCTGAAACACAGCTACAACCTAAACTATAGTTCTTCTGTCTACAGAAGGGCAACTGTTGTCATCCAATCAACGGTACAGTGACAAAATAATTTCGTAACAGTTGAAAAACTCACAAACCACCACTCAAGTTTGGTTATAATTGACACTTGGTGCAACCTCATATATACTTCCTTTCTTCCTTGGTGACAAGAAGGAGTTCAAGTGTTGAAGACGGAAAAAGTAAGGCAAATATTGGTTAGCTGTAGACTTCTTGCTCAGAGGTTGGCCATCACCTCTTTCTCTCTGCTTTACTGATGCTGCACCAAGTCAGAAATGTTTGGCTGGGTGCACGGCGTGTTGATCACTGAGAGGCTTATGAAGGGGATCTTCTCTTAAAGTACACCAAAAGATTTGATTTCATCGACAAATGATGCATGCGTTTTCATTGATTACTAAGGTAGTGTATGTTTCTCTTTTATTTATTTACATTGACAAATATTGTGGGGGACTATTCTGCAAGTTTAAAAGGATTGAATGGATTCTCTGTCAAAAAAAAAAAAAAAAAACCTGGTTGAAACTCTACCAAAAACCTCAAGATGACTTATCAGGAGTGTTAAATATTTATTGAGCAAAAGGGTATTCATAACATCTTAAATAAAATTAATGTTCATATTTATTAAAAACAAGTTTCATCTTGTAGAGAAAGTCACAGCTCAGTACGGTTGAATTCTCCTATTTCCACCTGAAAGAAGAAACAAATGAATCAGGTATATTCAGAGAAGAGTCACCCAGAAAAGATGATCTCAGCAAATGGAGGTTTAGACATTTGTACATGGTTATAAAAGTCTGAATCCACTCAGGCAGATCCTGCTGGTGAAACTTGTTTTTCTTTGTTGACAGTAAGACAGACTTAAAATCAAATTTGCTGTTTTGGGCCTTTTGGTGCTCTCAAAACAGTTTGTATCTGGACTTGTTTTGGGTCTTTTCACTTTCATCCATTTATAAGAAGCTGCATTACCTTGACCTCTGTGCCTCCATGGACCGTTTCTTCTCTGGTTCTTTGGCATCTGTCCATTTGGGCCGAATTCCTCCCCCTTAAAGCTGTTCGCATTTCTCACATCTACCAGATAAGATACTATTAAAAAAACAAGTTTGTCTTTATTTCAGTCAAATGTGGAGGAGTCAAAAAACAGGACTACTTGAAGGTTTCAAATGATGCCTTTTGTATGGTCCACAGCGGCTCCTCTCATCACATGGACACTTGTGATCCTCCATCACTGAACACTGGACGCCACAGTCCACTAGATGTCCCTTTGATGGAGACACATCAGCCATCATCTGGACAGTTCCTGGGACGCTCAGATGCTGGGTTTTTGGTGGACCCACTTCAGAGATGTCTCCGGCTCCATCGTCTGATTTCCTGTGCACTTCATCTTTGAGGAGCAGCTGACATGGAGGGGACATTTTCTCCTCTTCTGCAGAGTTCAAGAGCAGAGTTTCCCCCTGCTCAGAGGAGCAGGGGCTTTTCTCCTTCTGCTCAACGACAAGAGAAGATTCCTGGTTTGGGCTTGGATCAGCCTCTGGTTCAGAAGACCGACTTCTATCTGCCTCCTCTCTAGTAGGAGGAGATAAAATGATTCTACTCTGCAGTTGAGGTGAGGAAGCTGAGGGGACTTTAGCTGAGGGAGTGGTGCTCTGGCCGTGCTGTGATTCTTTTGTTTCAGAGACATCAGTTTCATTCTCTGTCCTCAGCTTCTGGGATTGACTTTGCTTCACAGCTGGAGTACTGAAAACAAGCAAGCCGTCTGATACTGGAACTGAGTCAGAGGAGGAAATCCTGCGGCTGTGCCGTCTCTCTTTACAAGCTTTAAAAACAGAGTTATTGTTCAGAGTTAAAAGTCCATTCTCATCCTGCTCCACCATCTCAGCAATGACTTCAGGCTCAAAGGTGCTGCTCTGCTGCAGCACCTCTTTATTGGGGATGAAGGGGGCTAAAGACTCCACAGACCAGAGTGACTCGTTCATTTTTCTCTTCATCTGAAAACTATCCACCATCATCTGAGGGACAGGGATCCCCGAGCTGTCTGCATGTGGATTTGTCTCTGTGTCGGGGTCTTGATAGTTGTCACAGAAATGCAGCAGATCTGACTCTGAGAGGAGGTCCTGAGGACCCAGAGGCAGTCTGAGGATCTTGAAAAGGAGGTCAGTGTCTTGAAGACTTTGTGTACCCTCATCTTCATCATTGTTAAGAGCTGCTCTGTCAGACTTCACAGGACTGGTCTCAGCTGGACTCTGCTGAACCGACTCATCTTTCTCTACTCGGGCTTCATCAGACAGCAGCTGCTGGTCATTCATGGGAAGCACTTTGTCAGACGTCTTCAGCATGAGTCCCTGCGGTGTGCCACCCCTCCAGCTTAAGAGGATGTCGGGAACGGAGACACGTCTCTCTGGAATGGTTGGATCCTCTTGTTGAGAGGAGCTGCACACAGGAACCACCTCACCAGGAGAGTCCACTGACCACATGCTGCGGGGGCCATGTCTGCAGGGAGCTACCTTCTCCTGAACAGCCTTGTTCTGGGTTTCTGCTGTTTTTCTGGAGCAGGATTGGACCATCTCTGTTCCTGCAGGATGATGAAGATTGTTGAATCCCTGATTGACGGTGGTCCTTGAACAGTTCTTGTTAACCTGGAAATCCTCTGTAAGGGTTTCAGCCTCTGCCTGGTCTTGTTTGTGGGAACTGGAGGGGGACACGTTGTTTGAGGTGTTTCCACAGCCAGAGTCTGAGCTGATGAGTGGGCTGACCTCACCATAAGCCCCTGAGCTTCTCTGTCTGGGGTCTGTCTGGACCCCAGAGTTCGTGGTTTCTCTAACAGGAGCAGCATGAGGAGGACGGACTCTGCGAGTCTGGTTTGAGTACTGATAGGGTGCAGCAGGAACAGGGACTGAGGGGTAGGGAAAGCGTCTCGTGTCCAGCGGCTGGATGTGAGGATGAGGCAAAACGTAGGCTGGAGCCTCCATGAAGGGGAGAGGAGGGGGGATGGGGGGCATCACCATACCGTAGCCTGGTGGATAAAAATAAATATATTGTTGAAATAAAGAGAAATCAAGGTTGAGGATGAACATTTTCATTCTGCTAGAACAGTGGTTCTCAAGTCCAGTCCTTGAGGCCCACTGTCCTGCATGTTTTGGATGTTTCCCTGCTCCAACACACCTGATTCAAATGATCAGCTCGTTATTAAGCCATTACAGAGCTTGATAACGAGCTGATCATTTGAATCAGGTGTGTTGGAGCAGGGAAACATCCAAAACATGCAGGACAGTGGGCCTCGAGGACTGGACTTGAGAACCACTGTGCTTGAATGTATTTGGTGATTCTGAGGATCCTTTGAAGAGTTCACACACAAAGACTCACACAGAGTCAGTCTCAGAGATTCACCACCCTGTGTGGAGAGACTGCCAGAGCAAATCGTCCAATAGAAGCATGTCTGCCAGCATTCAATGACAAAGAATCAAAATGAGAATTCATGAGGGTTTCATCATCTACAGTCCATGATATCATTGAAAGAAACAAGACTAAGAACCACCACTGGATGGCTCTGGTCTTCGAGTCTCAGGCAGCACTGCATCAAAACAGACATGACTCTGGAGTGAGAATCACTGCATGGGCTCCTCAATAAAACAGCCCATCACTGCCCTCACGAATACAGGATAAAACAGGTTCAACCTTGGAAACAAAAAAACTCATGATCTAGAACAACACTGGTACCAGCTCTAGACCTGAACTCTATGAAGATAGACTGAGGACTGCATCTGGCTTTATGTCTGTGTATAGTCCAACAGTAGTGATGTGTGATGTTCTGGGATACATACACTGAGCTACCACAACATTATGAACATCTGGACAAGCTGCTCCAACCCAATACTAAAGCTCCACACTCTACACAAGTCAACACTACACTGAACTAAAGGATGTTAGCAGAGATCAAAAATTATTAGATTTGAAGGAAAAAAAGTTCAATCGAGCTGTTTCTAGACTCCAGCTAAAATGACATGAATGTAAAGACAGGATCAGAACAGAGTTTGGCCTGTTCCATGTCTCAGGACCGCTGGATTTGACTGTAATATCTGATGATCAGAGTGCGGACAGTATTGGTCATTTAAACTTGACTCAAGGTAGGAGGTAGAAAATTCTGTTTTCTACCACCTGAATCAAACCATCACTTGAACATGTCAAAAGTCAGACTCACCCATGCCTGGAAAGCCAGTAAAGGGGTTATAGGAGAAGGGCATGGGCCACTGGTAGTGGAGGAAAGGGTGTGGAGGTGGAACAGGGACATACAGGACGGGCCGGGCAGACATGTGGGGTCCAACATCCCGGTTGGTGCCTTGCTGACCTGGATCCTGCTGTCCAGAGTTTTCTGCCCTGCTGCTGTTGTAGTAGGAGGAGAGGTTCTCGGTGTTTGGTCCTGGATGAGCTGGTGGAGGTCTGTTAAAAGCTGCTGCCGCTGCCGCCATATTCAGTCTACACAGAGATGAAAGGGTTCAGCCTCCACACTGAGGTTCAGATGGTCAGTAAACCAGAGCAGCAGAGATTCTGACACAGTGGGAAAAAGATCCAACTCTGCCCACAGTCACACTAACACAAGTCTGATTGAAACTATCAGACTAAATTCATTCAATGACCAGATTATTGACAATCCTTTGACTCCTTTTCACCTTTTATTTAGTACCTGCAACACTCTTCTCTGCAGCACACCTTTTTATTCACTCCATTACTTTTTCAACCCTTTTTACTTTCTTCAGTTTAGCGCTATTTACACTTCAGTCAGACCACTTTATTCAATATATTTCAGCAGTCTGTTATCTACAGCTGGACACTGAGACTCTGAGTTAGATTTTTTTTTAAGCCTGAAATGTTGAATGACTGTAAAAGATTTGAATCTAAAGAGGCTGAAACACTCTACTGATTCAGACTCCCAAACTAAAACAGTTTAAAGCTTTCATCAAATACTGGGAGTAAAATCACTCACATGAAGCCTAATCCAATGAGATGAAGAAGGAGTCAAACATTCAACAAACTGAGCCACCAAAGAGGAACTTCATCGAAAATAAAACCTCATTAACTGCTGCTAACAGCCAGAAATACTGCTTCAAATGTTTCACACTAACTGGTCTGTTGTGGTAGAAACCAAGTCACTTTACCTTGTAGGGACACAGCGTAACACACAACGTGATTCAGAGGGCAGCACACACCTGAGTTTAAGTAGCTGCTGATTAAACAGGTGTGTGCTCCATCAGCTGATTTAGAGGCTGTTCAGCAGCTCTGAGGCCTCCTGCTGGACACAACATCACTGTGCAGTCACAACACACACCAGCAGGGAGAGCCAAAGAACAGTCAGACAACCAGGATGTCAGGAGGCTGATGTGGAAGCTGCTGTAAAACATTACTGAGATCATTGGTTCCCAACATGGAGTCTTGATCCTGGGGAACATTAGATATGTAGGGGGAGGTGTAAGTTTCACGTGCTCCGAGCTTGTCAAAGTCAAATGTGCAGATATGACCTTAAAATCATAAATAACAAGCAAAATTGGACAGTTGTGCCATTGGCTAAAACGGTATCTAATTGTCCTTTTGGCACATTCTCCTTCAAGCAGTCAGCGGCACAGGTTTTAATTTTAAACCTGCATGTGGGAGACTTGGGTTCTTTTTCTTATTGTGCAAAGTGCTAAACAGGAGTAAACAATAATGCGACTGAAATTAACCTGTAACAGCATCAAATTAACACCCACAATAAGAAAGGATAAACAAAACAAAATGAAACAAACAAATGGAAAACAGTAAGTGGAAAAACAACAACAACAACAACAACTGACAAACAAACAAAAGCAATCAGTTTCATAGTCATGAGACTGTATCTTGTTAAATGAGCAGGTGGCTCATCAGAGGCTCAGAGGGAGGTATTGTATGTTAGTTCTTAAATAATTGTAACTATTAGTTTAGTCTATTAAGGTCATGGGTTTAAAGCTTTAATCGTTTTCATCTGTTAATCAGTTTTCCATTAATATTTCTATTTTCATTTATGTAAACTTTATCCATGTTCTCTTATGTTTTTGTAGGGCCACCCCCAGACCCCCATGCAGGAATGTCCCCATTTTCTTCATATTGCTATTTGTTAACACTTTTATTTCCCTTTTGTTTTTTTTATGTTGAATATTATTTCCTGTATTTGCCAACTTAAAAGTGCTCACATGAAACCTCCAATGAGGGTTAAAAGCGATGTGGTAGGAGGAAAAGATAGCCTCATAAAAATAAGTCAAATACTAATACTACTACTAATGATAATAATAATAATAATAATAATAATAATAATAATAATAATAATAACAAAAATAATAATAATAATAATAATAATAATAATAATACATCCGTTCAATTAGTCTTTGCTGTAGTAGATTAAAAACTTTAATCGATTTGGTCATCATGTTTTGGTCTTCATTTGTTGACTGTAAAGGTCCTTACACACAGGGACCGACACAAATATACAACACGAAATTACGAAATATTCAGAGGCGAATTTTGATGCAGCTAACTATACACATCAAGTCCGATGCGATTTGCGACTTTCTGGGGGGAAAAAAAGACGCATCCCGGGTGGAAGCGAGAAGACTGACACAACAGCAGACTAAGTGTTTTTCAGTTCTGATTAGACACTAGTGTTGAGATGTCTGTCTGTCATGATAGCATGTACTAAGTCGGGGCCAGTACCAGATAAGCACATTAAACTATAATCCATAAAGGTTAGGTAACAACCGAGACCTAATGGTGCTGTGACAACAACACGATTGAGTTTGAGACAGTGAAAATACATACGGTATGTTGTATCTGAACAGGTTAGCTTACAAGCTAAAGTTACTTAGCACAGATGAAAGTTAAAAAACAAAGACGTTTAGCAAACTGTTAAAGCACACAAACTATCCTTTAGGTGTTATCTTTGTAATGTTTGTGTCTTTTATCAAAAAGCACTCTGTTCTCTGACATGTAAGCAATCAGCCGGTCGGCCATGTTGGATATACCAGTGAATCTGATGTCGCAACAACACGCAATCTGATTGGTCAGAAATGGACACACAGCATGCGAAACTTGCCTCTTTTTTTAGTTTGACTGTAGTGAGTTTATGGGTGAGGGTTAAGGCGTGTATGGCATGATCTGGTTCTGAAAACTTGAATAAAAACACCACATGCTCTGAGCCGTCTTTAACCCTTCTCCAGCAATGGCGATTTTAGGGGGTGGCCAGGGCCAGTCACAATTTACAACTTCTTTCACAATAAAAAACTAAGATTATCTGTCCTGGATGATGAATTTACCGCCGCTACTGCAGCCAGCCTGCTGCATGCCGCCTGCTCTGCACAGTGCACACACACAATGCGCCGAAGCCACGGAGAGAGGCAGAGCGGAGAGCCACGGTGCCACCCCACTACACCGGTTAGGTACTGCTGGTCCGTGAAACCGGAGGACACACTGACAGACACACTCGACATCAAAAGCTGGATAAAAACGTTAAAGTCTGTCGATTGAGAGGTATGGTAATTTAATGTTTAGTTATATTGTAGTTCCCTCTCTGAATATGTAAAACTTGATCCATCATTAAGTAGCAGTTAAAAGACGAACTACACTGCACTAGCTAGCTCAGTGTTCAGTTTTTCAATTAGCCTATTCTTTGGATACCACCATGAAATATGAAACACTATTTTCTGGACTTAAGACTTAAAGTGTCTTTTGTAGACGTGTGTTCAGTGAAGCTAATATCTTTTTACCAACCAACCATTCTGTGAAATTATAGTGACAGGCTAGAACCAGCTGCGATTTATTTATAGCATATCCTCCATGATTTAAGGGCTGGTTGAAGACTTTTTTCTCCTGGAGATAAATCCTTTTTGTTTGTATCAATAAATTCATTCACAGTTTACATGATTCTAGACGTTCAAATAGGCCACAAATGCTTGAAATTCAATATGTGTTGTGTTAAAGTGAGTTTTAAGAGTGGTAGGCATGTAAAAATAAACCTATGTATTGGAAATAAGTAGTCATTTTGTTCACCATTTTCTTATGACCTGTATTTTTTGCACATTGATTGTAACCCAAATTGACTATGATCCTGCCTGATGTTTTTAGGTATAGCCATTCACCTACTACAAACTTAATTGACTAACTGATTGATTTATTGAATTACATTTCCCCCAGGGATATTTAGAGGATAGTTATGAAGAGAAAAGGAGACATTCAGAACTTCTTCAAAAAAAGAAAAGAGTCAGAGTCAGCCACAGCTTCTACCAACAGCAGTAACAAGTCAAGTCAGCAGCAGCCTAGGTGCAGCAGTAGTGAGGAAGTGCAGTCAACTCCCCCTGCACAGGATGGTATGTCATTGTTTGAATTAGGCTGACATTTAAGATGTTTGTCACTCCAGTTATACAATTACAACTGTCTGAAACATCAGTAGTTAAAACTGTTTTAAAACTAAAACTTTAAAACAGTTTTAGAAGTTTTGAACTTGCTCTGGCGTGAAGTGCCTTGAGATGGCTTTTGTTGTCATTTGGTATTATACAAATAAAGATTGACTGGTTGATTAATTGAAAAGACAAAGGAAAATGTCTAAAGCTCATCTGTCCACATACAGTCTATGGGTGTAATGTTTATTGTTTTTACACCTTCAGGTACTTCATCTATTGAGCAAAGTGATTCAGAGGGCATGTCAGTAGGTGATGATGACACCAATGACAGAGATGCTCCTCATCTTGCACTACATGCTGCCCCACCTGGACCTCACGGTATGATGTGACACTTTTAACTTTCAGTTTATACAACATTATGAGTGCTTTCTGTTTAAAAAACATGGATGTTGTAATACTGATCACAAATTCTGAATGGAACTTCATAAAAACTTAAGTAGGGACTGATCATGATTATTTATAATTTACAGACATTTCCCAGTCCAGAGCAGCAGGTCCTGCACAGCCTCGACTTAAGGTATTTCCGTGAACCATGCAAGGCAACAGGAAGAGGTCCTTTAACAGTGAATGGTGTAAACAACACCCATGGCTTGAGTACTCTCAAAGCCAAAATGCTGCCTACTGTTTTGCATGTCGACACTTCTCTTTGCCAAACACCCCAACATCTGTATTCACATCACAACTGGGATTCTCTCATTGGAAAAAATGTTTTGTGTGTTTTTGTAGTTAGGGTTTGTTTGGTTTGAATAATTTGTAACATGAACTCTGATTACAGTTGAGATTTCTTTAGTTTGTTACAATTGTTATGTACATTGAAGATGATGAAGTTTTTTCTGTTTGATTTAAATACACATATTAATGTATGCTGTATCAAGACCAATGTATTAATTTATACCTTTATCAGGAACATGAATAAGCTATTTATTTTCTGTTCTGTTGCCTGAATGCTATGTTTTCACGCAACCACAAGATGGCAACTCAATTGGTGGAGCAAACAGGTTAAAATACAGGTGACAGATTCTACAGGATTCTATAAAATGAGTTAAGAGCAGTTAAATTTTACTACTCTAATCCCATTTTTGGCATCTGCCAAAGAACTAGCCTCCCACTCCCCCTCAAAGTTCATCTTCAATTTCTTTAAAAATCTGAAATTTGCGTCTAGATCTCCCTGCTTTCTTCCTGCCATGATGACTGCAACATATGTAATCAAATGAAAAATTGAGCACGCTCTTTTTTCTTTTTCATTTCCAATGTCTGATTTAAAGTGATGTTCAAGAGACAGCGCCCCAAGCTTCAGTGGTGAAAACTAGAATTGCATGCAGGCTGGCATCTTTATTCAAGAGAAATCGTGGCGAATCAGTCTTGTGCGGGAATCATAAATTAAAAATACAATAACCTATTTTTTCACATGATCCATGATATTACAATACCACAAAACATAAAGGAAATGCATGGGAAAAACAATATTTTGCTAATATTTTTGAGCCCCCCCCAAATTTCACAAATCATGTTTCAGGGGAGCTCTTGTCTCATTCAGGGGGGCTGAGACCCCCCTGGCTCCCCCGTAGCTCTCACCATGGGCTCTATTTTCGTTCTTCGCTGGCCACGTGCCGCAGGTGCGGCGAAAGTCAGGTCTGCCACGCCGACAAGGTGTTCCCAAGCACAATTTGGTATTTTGGTAAGCATAAAATCGCCCAGTCCTGACCTAACCCTAACCCTAACCCATTTTTCATGGAGTTACAAAAATGTCTGTTCAGGTGGACACCATGTTTTTGAGTTTTTTACCTATGAATTTAACAAACAAATGTCAAAAAATGATACTCTGTGAAAACTGTGAAGTGAAAACCTATTTAATGAAGCTAATTTTATGTCTAATTAGATTTTACTGTACTCTAGCACAGTGGTTCTCAAGTCCAGTCCTCTAGGCCCACTGCCCTGCATGTTTTAGATGTTTCCCTGCTCCAACACACCTGATTCAAATAATCAGCTCATTAGTAAGCCATTACAGAGCTTGATAACGAGCTGATCATTTGAATCAGGTGTGTTGGAGCAGGGAAACATCCAAAACATGCAGGACAGTGGGCCTCGAGGACTGGACTTGAGAACTGCTGCGTAACAAATATTCAAAGCAATGCAAAAAAGTTAAACTTAGCTCCGAACTAATAAACTGCAGATTTTTTTAGATTTTCTACAAAAAGACAGAAAAATATTGTCCATAGCCTTCCAAACACTCTCTGAGAATACGACACAGTCTTCAATAATTCTGCTCTTCTACTACCTCTGTTCAGTCTGACTCTAACTTCAAAGATATGGCAAAAATGGACATGCATATACTAAAGAACACCTTTTGAATAGCTGTCCACTGTAGTGACCACTATGCATGAAAGGGTTGCGGGGTCTCCTACAGCCCCCCTGATGGGTTTGAACGGCCCTGCAGGGAAGCACAGGCATGCACATCCAGAGCCGAGCGCATCTTTGTCAGAGCTGCACCTTCAGCAGACGGATAATCGAGATCACTGAAAGCTGGCAAGGGATGGAAAGGAAATTTCAACCTCAGGATATTGCGGTAAAATCCGCTGAACCTGAGCTACTCCTGTAACAGCAGAGACACAAGGACACAGGAGGGAGGGAGAGAAGCGCGGGAGTGGATGGCGAGGATGGATGCGTGTATCCTCAGACTCAGGGATAAAACTGTACAACCTGCCACTGAATATCCTGAATAAAGGCAGGAGTGGAGGGTCAAGGACGCTATAACTTCTCCGTATGGCTGCACCGTCCTCCTGGCCGAGGCACCGGCAAGCCAAACCCACCGGTGTGAGTGGTATAAAAACCCCGAGGAGGCGTTTCTGTCTGCAGATCAGCAGCATCCGCGTCCTGTGCCGCTCTGAAACCTGTAATCTGACTGGGATTAACGATTGTGTTGTGTTAGCAGGATAGCAAACAGACGGAGCAGCCATGTCTCATGGATGGGGATACGGACCAAGTAATGGTGAGTCTCTCTCAGCATCCATGTGCTGGAGGTTCAGCTTTACATGTAACAGGTCAAGGGCAAGATACACTCTCTTGTTTCTGTCCTGGTTAACACAATTTACTGCGATCGGTCAACTGGCATTAACCAACAACATTCTCATGGCTCGAAAATTACACTACAGCTGTCCATAATATGACTATTCATTAACTATATTTCCTACCTGAGCAGGCCTTACTTATATATGTTTTCATTTTGGTGGTTTAATAAAACCAAATCTCACATTTAAATGCAGTAAATTTGGTCGTTTAAGGACATTTTATGGCAATGCCTATTCTCAGTTTTAGTCAGTATTTTATTTTAATGATAAAACTCGAGAAATTATGGGATGTGAAAGAAAAAAAATGCAAAAGTAATTGATTTCCATCTGCTGTTTCTCAAATGATCTTTTTGAGCACTAGTAGATCCCATAAAGCTACACTGTAAAAAAAAGAATAATTGAGAACACTTAAAAATTTAAGGCAACCTTTTGCAGAAAGATTTCATAATTGTGTCAACGATTTGCTCGGTCATTGTCATAAGTGGCATTTCATTGTTGTATCAATTATGTTTATGCTGTTCGGTGAATGGTCACGACTATTTATTCTTCATTTTGCCAATATACACATTTAGCTGCCCTAGCCATCGGCTAGCAGCCGCTTGCTAATGGCTAAAGTTAACAGCTTTCTCCGCAGCAAGTGAGTGTGGAGGCGGCGTGCATCGTGAATGCGCCCTAGAGATAAAATTGCCTGCTCAGTTACATGTGCGATTAAACACGAGGCTAAGAAACACGTTGTGAGACAAGCAATGTAAATAGACAAGCATTGTTAGCTAAACTGAAAAAGTAGCTAATTTACTGAAGTAAATTTGGTAAAGCAGAACAACACCACATATTAGATAATACACTTAAAACAGTTCAGAAAAGTTTATTTTCACACAAAATACTTAAACAGCTTGGACTGAAGCACTCAAAAAACTCAAAAAGCCCTCTTCTCCCTCTGCGGCCGTGACACACTAGAGGTAGAACTTGCCCTTGCAACGGAACGTGGTAAACCCCGTAGGTCTTCTTCGGCAGACCTCATGGGTCAATGTCAGAACTGCATTATTAAAGTGTCTTTCTTTTTTTATCTAATTTCAACATTATCAACTGTTTTAAATATTAAAATGATGTTATAAGGATTGTAAAGGATAGGCAACTATAAGCATTGTGCTTCCGCCTAATCCTTTTTTTGGTCAAGTTTATAATTCTGTTTGTTTCTCATTTGTTGTTATTGTGACCAAAAATAAAACCGTTCATTCATTCATTATGGGAATTTTTCCTACTTTGCTGTGCAAACAACAAATTGCAAATTCTGCTAATTTAGAATCACATATTTGGTCTCTATTGAAGTGCACATTGTTGGTCTGACATGTATTTTCTTGTTAAATAATAGCTATTTTAATTTTCAACACTTTTATTGTCTTTAATGTAACTTTTTAGGCCCTGACAAATGGGAAATAGAATATCCCATAGCTAATGGGCCGAGACAGTCTCCCATCGACATTATTCCCAGGGAGGCCCAGTTCGACTCCTCTCTGAAGGCTCTGAAACTCCGCTATGACCCTTCCAACTCCACTGGCATCCTGAACAATGGACACTCCTTCCAGGTGGACTTCACTGATGACAAAGACAGCTCCAGTAAGCACAACTGTGTTTTTCCTGCAATGACAAACTGCCATGAAATACCTAGTGGTTATAATTACTGTGTAAGAAACAAGATATAACATCAAATTCAAACTTGCAGTCTGAAAGTTCCAGTAAGAGATAGTGTTGGTCATCTTTATCTGTCTGTGTGGTACATGCCTCCACCCTGCCATCTGTTCAGCAGCAGATAAGGGTGTCTGATCATGTCAGCACTCAGGCAACCTCACCCTCTCATCCTACACGTCTGCGAGGATTTTATAACTAGTTGAGGAACAGACTGAAACAAACACCTCTATGTGACCTCCAGGAGCAAACTTGACCATCAGCAACAAGACTGACAATTACTCTGATGTAACTTTTAATGTCTGAAATCACTCTGAGAGGGTAGGTGTCAGACTAGATGATTGACAACAGACTGAAACAAGAGCCTTTTTATTATTTCTTAGTGTTATAGGAATAGTGTTAGTGTAAGAATACTGAACAAGAGAGGTGTATGGCACTAACTGGAATTCATTGCTGATGTTTGAGAATGATTACACAGGAAACATCCAAATACAAAAACAGCAAACATACTTTCACAGACTGAGAGGATTGAATGATTTCTACAACTGCACAAGTTACAGATAGACACAAGTTTCTTTGTGTCTTTGTTAGTTTTTTTTTTTCTTTGTGGACTGTTCATCCCTGAAGTGCATCCCTGATTTTCGTGTTGTGCTGTTGTTTCTTCCTCCCAGCCCTGACAGGAGGTCCCATTACTGGAACATACCGTTTGAGGCAGTTTCATTTCCACTGGGGGGGCAGTGATGAGAGAGGCTCAGAGCACACTGTCAATGGCATCAAGTTCCCTTGTGAGGTATGAACACTCACAGATGTTTCAAACTCTCTCCTCATGTCTCCATCAGCATACAAATGGTTTCTTCTCTTCATCTTATCATCAAGTTTATCAAGTTTATGGGAAAGCATTGACTCCCAGTGTCTGTACAAATGTTTAAGCGCTAAAACCCCACTTACAATGATGGTTTTGTGTGGTGGACAAACTCAATACTTTCACCCAAAGGTTGAAGTTTCTTTGCAGTCTAAGGTTCAAGTTTATTATTGTTATTATCCTGAAGTTAGGGTTAGGCAATATGGGAAATAAGTTTATCACGATATATTTTTTTCATATCAGTCAATGCCGATATGTATCACAACATAAAAAAATCACTTGTCAATCTTAAATGTTTCCTGTTACTTAAAAAGAAAAAAAAATACCCCCACACTACCAGTGCTCTTGTGCCAGTGTTGTCTTCAATGTCATCATCTGTTGAGCCATCACCTACATTTCTGCCAGGGGTAGAACTCATTTTTCTTTTTTTACGTGTTAAAATGCTAGCAGCTGTAGCCTGCTACTACGCAGTCGTTTGCTACTTGGTTCTAATTCAGCACATGATTGGTTCAGCGCGGTGCGACCCGGAGCAACTCCCCTTTTCATTAGCTATGTGCTGAATGCTGAATGCAGAATGCTGGCTATCGAATTGCATATTGACCATGTTTCATATCGATATTGAGAGAAATTAATTTTTTGATATACATCAGTAACGTTTTATCGCCCAGCCCTACCTGAAGTTAAACTGGCATTACAATAAGCAGGAAGTTTATGACATACAAAGTTTTCACTGTTCAAGTAAAGCCAAAGACACTCCATGACACTGAACCAGAAGCCACCATAAAGCAGCAGAATAAAATACCTCAGAAAGTCAGAGATAGCGCTGTATTTGGCAGATTAGAAAAATGAATAGAGCAGTGAATAATCAAGATCAAAAATCTTAAGACTGTACATTAAAAGACAAAAGTGTTATCAGTGTTTATACTGAGACACAATCTTTAAATCCTTATCCAGAATGACAGTTTGGGTGACATCAGGCTGTAACCTTTGAAGTCAATAATCATGTCATGGTTTAGTCTCCCCAAATGTCAGCATTGACTTCTCTTTAGCTTTGTTCGTGAATTCGTTTTCTTCTTGTTCGTTCTGGATTACATGAATCATGCTCTGTACCAAAGTCTAACCTTGGTGTTGTTTCTTGACAGCTTCACTTGGTGCACTGGAACACAAAGTACCCGAGCTTTGGAGAGGCAGCTCCTCAGCCTGATGGCTTGGCTGTGGTTGGAGTCTTTCTCAAGGTAAATTATCAGAGAATTCAGATGAAAATACACCAAGGACATGCAATGAGAGCGTACAAGATCAGTTAAAAAAAAATTATAAAAACACAGTATTCAAAAAAATATAGTAAGTACTTTGAGTTTCATGCTGTTTATCTGTCCTGTCCTCCAGATTGGTGCTGCCAATCCCAGGCTGCAGAAAGTTCTGGATGCTTTTGAGGCCATTAGGTCCAAGGTGAAAACAGAAACAACAAGAAACAATTTCACCAAATATCTGTGTTGAGACACAAGAAATGAACTCTTCTGTTTTGTATCATTAGCCCCAGCTATTCCCTCTTTTCTTCCTCACTTTCTCTCCCCTGTCTGACCCCAGGGCAAGCAAACAACCTTTCCAGGCTTTGATCCAAAGACCCTTCTTCCTGGATCTTTGGATTATTGGACCTACGATGGCTCTCTGACCACACCCCCTCTCTTAGAGAGTGTCACCTGGATTGTCCTGAGGGACCCAATCAGTGTCAGCCCTGCACAGGTACTTAACATAGTCACACACATGTACTGTCTGGACATGAGAGTGAAGTTCAATATGGAGAACACACACACCGTTAATGACTCTTTAGCAGGAAAACAGAATCCAAAGCATGAGTGACACATCCAGAGTGTTGCTCCTGTAAGTTACCACTGCTGTATAACAGCACTACCTCTTAGTGGCAGGTTTAACTGTGTGCATTGAGACTTAAGGTCCTTTCACACCGGGACCGTTTTTGTCGTGCGATTATTTTGGAAGTCAATATTTTTTTTCGAACCCGTATCCTGTCAATACAAGTGTTCACATCAGCGACGTTTTCCCGATATTGTAGCATTTATTTTTTCGGATCACGGCCGATTTTCTAAAGTTTCCCATACTGTATGTCCACTTCTGACCAATCATATTACGTGTTGTTGCGACGTCAGATTCACAGGTATATCCAACATGGCCGACCGGCTGATTGTTTACATGTCGGAGAACAGAGTGCTTTTTGATAAAAGACACAAACATTACAATGATAACGACCTGAAGGACAACTTGTGGAGAGTCATAGCGTTGGATTTCTCATATGACGATGTTTTGTGTGCTTTAACAGTTTGCTAAACGTCTTTGTTTTAACTTTCATCTGTACTAAGTAACTTTAGCTCGTAAGCTAACCTGTTCAGATACAACATACCATATGTATTTTCACTGTCTCAAACTCAATCACGTTGCTGTCACAGCACCATTAGGTCTCGGTTGTTACCTTATGTTTATGGATTATAGTTTAATGTGCTTATCTGATACTGGCCCCGACTCAGTACATGCTATCATGACAGACAGTCATCTCAACACTAGTGTCTAATCAGAACTGCAAAACAGTCAGTCTGCTGTTGTGTCAGTCTTCTCTCTTTCACCCGGAACACGTCTTTTCCCGCTTGGAAAGTTGCAAAATTGCGTCAGGCTTGATGTGTATAGTCAGCTGCATCAAAATTTGCCTCAGAATATTTCGTAATTTCGTGTTGTATATTTGCGTCGGTCCCGGTGTGTAAGGACCTTTACTGCTCAGCTGTGTTACACTCTTGGTTCTGCTTGTTGTAATTCCCTATAGCAACAGTCTAGTATTTCTCGACAGCACAACATTGGTATGGAAAACTTCACAGTGCAATTACAAAAAATCAGAAACTTCAAGTGTTGAGCTTTGAAAGTCTCAGATATAAACAGAAGAAACACATGTCAGCAGCTGTAGGATGAAGAGCTGGATCTGACCACAGTGGTCTCTGTTTTATTGTGTTTTGATATGGCCAAACCACAAAGCCTCATTATGAAATGTTTTTGAAGGTTGTCAGTCCAAACCTCACCATGGTGAAGAGCATATGGGGCCAGATCAGGCTGTAGAGCTGGGTGTGTCTGAGCCTGGAGTGCCTTGTGTTTCTCCAGATTACTCTGACTGCCTCTATCCCCTGTGGCCAGTTTGCACACCATCTCTTTACATAATTTACATGACTGCACTGTATCTTCAAATGACCTAGACCCACATAGAGTTGGAGTAGGTGTTCAAAATGGTGACACTGGCACTGAAATCCAGACAGCTGATTAAAGCTAATCTGCTCCCACAGGAGATGTTGTTTATGCCTCATATCTGTTTTACTGCAGCTTCTCACATACAAACACAATGTTGAGACACAATCCTCTGGAAAAAGATCAGAGATTTGCCCTTTTCTGTACACATTTTCCCCATTACTTTCATACACTTCCTAATGTGTGGTCTACAATCTGAGCAGCTGAAAAAATTCAGTGATCAAATCTATAACAGCTAAAGCACAAAGACCTACATCATCTTTTGTTGAATCCAGGTAAAGGGATTTAAAGCAAAGTTGCTAATGGAGTGTATTAGGAATATAAACCAAACTCATTCAAACACACTGTGCTCATAAAAACCGTCAATGAGCTCAGTTAAATCATAATCATTGTAAGATTTCATTTCTGATGACACTTTCAATATTTGATCATTATTATAGTTCAGTGGCCTGGCTTACCTTTTAGCTTTGCTTGTACATATTTGATGGATCTTGTTTTCAAAGTTGAGAGGCTTAACACTCTTACAAGCATGTGCACATGAAAGATAAGCTACTCAGCAGGGTGGGGGCAGTACAACACCTTATGGGCTGAAGCTGAAGTGGACAACATGAAACACTTGATTGCATGAACATTGACTTGCTGCTGGCAGCGAGTCGCTGAGCTTGATGTTTACCTCGGGTTACCTCAGGGACTGTGACTATCCTCCTCTGCAGTTCGCCATCTGGGGATACAAGAGCTTATGTGAACATTTCATCAAGCTGGTGTCATGGCAACAAGCACCCTCTGTCAGAAATTGTTCTTAAGCTTTAGAGTTTATTTCTTGAGGATTTTATTTAACTTTTACTCAATCAGTGAAAAAGACAAGAAAAGTCAAAACAAATCAAAATAAGAGAAATTTTGAGAACATGCATGAACATTTAAAAAGTCTGCGGACAGCATCAACATCACTTACAATGACTTCAAATGTGTAGACCGTTTTTTTGAGATGTAAAAGGAAAGTGACTACACCATGAAGACGGAACAGTGAACACACTCTCCAATCCTTCCTCTCCAAGTCTGCAGGTGGAAAAGCTAGATTATGCAATCTTAAAAGGCTTCGTTTATTTTACTTTTATTTTTCTCAAAGTGGGATTGGATAAGGTATCTGTCAATCAAATGTATAACTGAGAGACAGGAAATCACAGAAAAACAGAACCAGAAGCTGAGCCGTCTACCTCTGCAGTCTCTGTATTTTGGTTAGTTTTGAGAAATTTCCGCCTAAAGAAATTATTGATTGATGCAGCGCTTACATGTTTATCTGCCTGCAGGACGCCAAAGAAAGGAGCTTCACTCTAAATACAAACAATGAACACATGTCAAGTTTTTTAGTGTGCGTTTGCATTTGAAGGATTGGATTATTTGAGTTCTCTTGCCACTTCTAAATTTAACAGTGATCCAAAAACTGTATTTTTAAACAAAACCTAAGCTAGCAGTGTGTTTTACATTTAGCGTTAGTTTGCTGGTTGTTGCTCAGGACAAAAGGGTCTTACACACCGGGGTCGACGCGAATGCAGAACGCGAAATGAGGTGAATTTTGACGGGCCTGACTATACATATCAAGCCCAATGTGATTTTGTTACTTTCCGGGGGGGAGAAGAGGCATCCCGGGGAAAGTCCCGCCTCCTTCGCCTCTGATTGGCTAGAAAAGCTGGAAACGTCATCACACGCTCAAGCCAAACGGTCAGCACTTATGGCCAATCAGAGGCTATAAGATAAGCACATGAAACTATGGTAACAACCGTTAGCTTATGTTAGCACAGATGAAAGTTACAATAAAGACGTTTAGCAAACTGTTAAAGCACACAAAACATTGTCATATGAGAAATCCAACACTGTGTTGTCCTTCAGGTCGTTATCTTTGTAATGTTTGTGTCTTTTATCAAAAAACACTGTTCTCAGACATGTAAACAATCAGCTGGTCGGCCATGTTGGATATACCGGTGAATCAGAAAAAAAACTGTCCCGGTTTGAAAGGACCATAACTTGATAAATGCTGTAAAGTGCTTTACATGTGGTTGAAGATGGGATAGGAGCGGGTCTGATCTTACAAATTGGGCTCAATCTGATCCCATTTTGTCATTCGGTCTTCGCTCTTTTTTTTGTCAAGCATCTTGGGAGAACACTTCTTGTGAATTGGCGCTATACAAATAAATATTGATTGATTGCTCAAACTTGTCCATGTTTGAAAAGATTACATATGATATCTCCTTGTGGTTGCACTTCATACTTGGCTAATCTGACTTTAACTGTTTCCTGTCATTCTTTCTGATAGATGGCCATGTTCCGAAGCCTCATGTTCTCAGGAGACGGAGAGGCTCCATGCTGCATGGTGGACAACTACCGGCCCCCTCAGCCTCTGAAGGGCCGGGCGGTCCGTGCCTCCTTCAAATAAACCCTGCCATCAGTCTTCAAAGCTTTCTTACCATCCAACCCTTATTTCAATACCTTCTTTGTTTCGTTGTTCTCCATATGCAGCATTTTCTTTGCTTATACAGGCTCATTAGCTCAAAATGGCACCAAAATTTGGCTGTTATTGATCTGTGTTTTTTGCTCAGCGAACCTTTCATGACCTGAATCCTTTCCAATTGGCTTTACTTTTACTAAAGCTACAAAACAATACAAGAAATTCATTGATTCCTAAAGGGAAATTTGTTAATTTAAGAAAGAGGAAAAAAAAACTAGAAAATACTTGGTATTTTTGTAAAAAGAAAGAAATGTTGGTTGATAGTGGGTCATTTTTGTTTTAACATAATAGCTTCTTTATCCTTTAAAAATGATTTTTCAGATTTTTCTCTTGTTTGAAAATGAATGTCTTGGTCAACTTCCTGAAGCTTCCTATGCATTATTGTATCTTAAACTGAGCCACAGACAGATGCTCAGATTATGGATGAGGACGTTTTGACAGATTACTCGCTCTGTGAATCTGATACAGAGTGGTCAGGGAGCTCAGATCTGACATTTCAGAGGTAGATATTGAGTTTTGGTATTTTGGTCTTCATTCACCAGCTGCATTTCTATGCAAGTAGACTGTTGGACTCTGAAGGGGTTTTTGTTCTGTGACGTCTTGAAACAGTGAAGAGTGGTAACTTTTTTTTATTTATCGCTGGGCTTTAAAAAGGTTCATTTTGTTGATGTGATGGCTTTGTAAAGTTCATCCAGTTTGTGGTTCCAAAGTTTCAATGTTCCACCATGATTTTATAGAAACCTTGAGAAGTGAACCGCTTATCACCACAGTGCATTAAACGCCTATTGACAAAGACTCTTGTTGGAGAGGATTTATGCCAGAAATTAATAAAAGGACGCCATGAGGATTTATTCAGAAGACATAACCTCAACAGTTTAGCTTTTATATCAATACTATAACCTGATGAAACAGCTTTGAGACTGAGATTCTGGCTGTAGGGACAACAGCAGTAACTCTTTATTAAAGAGTGACACATTATGAATGTTTTGTGTGAAAAAAAAAATTGTGGCAAACAATGCTGTCAATAAAACTCTTGATTGTGTGTCAAATATGTCCTCTTTTCTCCAACTTGTGAAGTTTCAAACTTTCTCTAGACCAGTGGTTCTCAATTTCAGTCCTCCAGGCCCACTGTCCTGCATGTTTTGGATGTTTCCCTGCTCCAACACACCTGATTCAAATGATCAGCTCGTTATCAAGCTCTGTAATGGCTTAATAACGAGCTAATCATTTAACTCAGGTGTGTTGGAGCAGGGAAACATCCAAAACATGCAGGACAGTGGGCCTCAAGGACTGGACTTGAGAACCACTGATCTAGAGCAAATAAACACCATAGTCTTTGTTTATCGATAAAGTGTTTCCCAACCTGAGCATGAGGTCATAAGAAGATTGCTGTCATGAGATAACGACTACTAACTACTGCTCACAGCATCAGTTTGGCCCGGAAGTCAACCTGACCCTACAGACCATCAGTGACCCCTCTTTACCACTACAACCAGAAGCTTCTTAACATCTTTAGATACTATATTACATACATGACGCTCATGTCATTTTTCACAGTCTGACAGATTCATGTTCTTCGACTTTTCAAGCGCATTCAACACCATCAAACCTAAGACAAGCTCACAGAGATGGGATAGGATCCTGCCTGTGTTTCCTGGATCACAGATTACCTGACAGGAAGGCCACAGTTTGTCAGGCTGGGAAACTGTGTTTCTGGGACATTAATGAGCAGTACAGGGGCTCCACAAGGGACAGTCCTGGCACCATTCCTGTTCACACTGTATATGTCAAAATTCAAATACAGCACTGAGTCCTGCCACATCCAGAAATACTCAGATGACTCCACTATTGTGGCATGTATCAGAAATGGACAAGAAGCTGAATCCAGAGATCTAATGAGAGCCTTCAGTGACTGGAGTCACAAAAACTGCCTCCTCCTCAACACCTCAAAGACAAAGGAGATGGTCATAGACTTCCGTAAATCCAAACCCCCTCGTCAGCCAGTGAACACCTGTGGAGTGGACATCTAAGTGGTGACATCGTATAAATACCTAGGTGTACATCTGGATAATAAGTTGGATTGGTCTAAGAATATAGACTACATCTACAGAAAGGGGCAGAGCCACCTCTTTTGCCTCAGAAGACTCCGATCAATAGACATCTGTAGTAAGACGCTGCAGATGTTTTATCAGTCTGTGGTGGCAAGTGTTGTGTTCTACGCTGCAGTCTGCTGGGGAGGAAGCATCAAACACAAAGATGCAAGACGTCTGAACAAACTGGTGAAAAAGGCTGGCTTTGTGGTAGGACTCAAGTTGGATTCAGTAGAGGATGTGGTGGAGAGATGTACACTGAGGAAGGTGGAGACTATTCTAAAGAACATGGATCACCCACTTTACAACACCTTGATGGACCAAAGGGCAAATGGTGGTGGACGGCTCCTCTCTCTTCGCTGCAGGACAGAAAGATTCAGAAGATCTTTTGTACGAACAGCCATCATGCTTTTTTATTTATTTATTTCCTTTCAGGGATTAATAAAGTTCTTCTTATTCTTACTCATAGATTCATCAGAAATAAATGATAAAATGTGAGTGGTTGAGTGACTGCAGATTTGTTTGTGGGCATGCAAACAGTGGAATTACAAAGGTAGTTTGAGTGGAGGTAACCCTTTAGATTTCAAACTCTTCTTTTGAGAACTGTTCAGGATTGATTTCCTCATGTCCTCAGTTTAATGTTTGATTAATCTAATAGGACAATGATGAGAGAGCCCTGAACAGGCAGCACGACAGAGTGTCAGTAACAACAAATAATGCTAAGCTAACTTTAAAAGCAAACTGGAGAGGCCACTCTCTCTGAGTGTGTGTGTGCGTGTGTGTGGCGCGTCTGTCAGGATATGAAAGAGGCTTTGATGAATCTATTGTTGGCCTCACAGAGTAGGTCAAGGTCGCCGACAGAGATGGAGGGATGGGGGTCTGACACTCGCTGCAGATGGACGGTGGATGACTGTGAAGGTTGTGTTGCGGTTATAAACATGATGTTTGTTAATCCGTTGTCCTGCAGACTCACTTTTGTCTTGATGATGACTAATCCTTTGTGTTAGCTCCAAATATTACATAATGCAGGGTTCCCCCCCTGCTGACTCCCTTTCTGTGGCGCTAAAACCGCCCCTCCCCCATTTCAAGGTTTCATACAATGCCTATTCCCTGCGGTTGAATGACATGAGTAACCATGGCAACTGCATATTCCTTTCATAAAATATAGAAAAGGGGGATTCAAACAGCTTTCCCTGCTATTTTTAGATGGACCTGATAAATAGGTTTCCGTTTAGATGGTTCATGGTACACTCTGGGACCACACCTGAACTATCCTGCTGAGGCTCTGAGTGTTCAGATATACCCACTTTACATCCTATTTTACAATCTTATCACCCTGCTTCCTTTCTGCTTTAGGTCACATGAAATAAGCAAACAGAAATTGTTTTTCCTGATTTTCAACTTTTTAACTTGTTGGGCTAGACAACATGGAAATTTTGATATTAGATCCTGTCCTGTAATTCTGGCCGTAGCTGCTAGGTGCATATCTAAGTTAATGATGGAAGCAAAGAAACCTAGACCATCACCTGGTTTGATGACAGCTTGATCAAAGGTGTGACATTAGTCTGATTTATGTTTAGAGGTGTTTCAGAGAGGAGGGAGGGCAGACTGAGGAGAAAATCAATCTTCAGCCTAGTGTCAGCACAAATGATTAGTTTAACATGATCAATAACACAAGAGTAGCTTTATGTTTGAGAGAGATCCTGGTGTTTAGTAGGCCTGTAACAGGTAAATACTTTCCTGTTACAGGTCCTTACACACTGGGACTGACGCAAATATAGAACGCCAAATTAGAAAATATTCTGAGGCAAATTTTCACCCGCCTGACTAAACATATCAAGCTTGATGCGATTTTGCGACTTTCCGGGGGGAAAAAAGACGCGTCCCTGGTGGAAGAGAGAAGACTGACACAACAGCAGACTGAGTGTTTTTCAGTTCTGATTAGACACTAGTGTTGAGATGTCTGTCTGTCATGATAGCATGTACTGAGTCGGGGCCTGTACCAGATAAGCACATTAAACTATAATCCATAAACGTAAGGTAACAACCGAGACCTAATGGTGCTGTGACAGCAACGCGATTGAGTTTGAGACAGTGAAAATACATATGGTATGTTGTATCTGAACAGGTTAGCTAACGAGCTAAAGTTACTTAGCACAGATGAAAGTTAAAACAAAGACGTTTAGCAAACTGTTAAAGCACACAAACCATCGTCATATGAGAGATCCGACGCTATGACTCTCCACAAGTTGTCCTTCAGGTAGTTATCTTTGTAATGTTTGTGTCTTTTATCAAAAAGCACTCTGTTCTCCGACACATAACAATCAGCCGGTCGGCCATGTTGGATATTCTGGTGAATCTGACGTTGCAACAACACGCAATCTGATTGGTCAGAAGTGGAAACACAGTATGCAAAACTTTAGAAAAATCGACCATGATATGAAAAAATAAATGCTGCAATATCGCAGGATGGGAAAACATCGCTGATGTGAACGCTTGTATTGACAGGATACGGGTTCAAAAAAAATATTGACGTCCAAAATAATCGCACACACAAAAAAAAAATCCTCCCTGTATCTAAGGACCTTAAGTCATTTTTTGATGAAAATGAGTTTTTGGCCTGAATCATCTCTTGATAATGCTGGCCATAAAATAATAGCCTCTGCAGGCGCTGATACAGCTGGTTCATGATCACGAAAACTTACACTGACCTTTGGCCATTCAGGTCTGAGGTTTTAAATTTGCAAGACAGAACTTCATCAAGACAGAATCAGAGATGAACTTACGTAGACATAGCTTATATTTTTCCCTCTCTAGCAATAATGGCAGTAATTCAGAAAGAGGAAAACAGTCCTTTGTTCACCGTGTTACAGAACAGACAGAATAATACTGCCTCCTCTCCCTCTGATGATCTGCAGCCCTCCTCCACTCTGCAGGCAGACCCGTCCTCCTCAGCTGTGACATCATTGCGTCTCCTGCTAAAAAGCTTCAGATGTGAATTTTTTATGTGTGGAATTTGTAAACTCACATTCATAAATGATTTTCCCAGGAGGCAGGACAAGAGCCACATTAACATGGGCAAAATTTCTTAATCCAATCAAAATTTCGAGGGATCAGATAATCTGAATCCACTGTTTATATGGGTGCAAAAATCAAATAGTCTGATCATGACATGCGTACACATTTACCAAGTTTTATTCAGATAAGAAGCATTTGGTTGGACATGCGCAGAGTTATCTAATTTTGCTAAAACAACCACAGAAGAAGAGTTTATTGAAATATTATACTTAAAGACAAATGTCACAGACGATAAAAAGCTGTGATATCCCTTAAAGGGATATTCTGGTGTAAAATTAAGTTAGGGTCAAACACACCGTAACACTAAGTTAGACACCCCATCTAACGCAGCTCGAGGAAGAACATTTATGATCATTTCTTTATCATTTTATTGAAGTAATAATTATCATATTAATCATTTTGCTCTGCAGATGTGGTAGTTCTTCTGCCTTAGCGTCTAGGTCTAATTGCATTTCCATGAAATATTAATTATAAATGTCTTCCTCGAGCTGCATCCCCCCACTGCAGTCGATGGACTTGCAGGTCTCTGTACAAACAAGTAGCTGCTGGAAGAGAGATGGTGAGTTGTGTTTAGTCTCTTTGCTAAAGAAATCAGGCAAAGTTAAAAAGATGTTTGATGGCTAGTACTATGGATAGGACCCAATATGTACTGTTGATGAAGTTAGGTGCTGTTCTGAGAGCGTGTGGCTCTCTGTATCGCTATCTGCGGTCGTTACTAAAGTTGGTACAGCTAGAAAAGCAAGCAGTCGGCAACATTCATCTCTCAAGAGGGTGTCTAACTCGGTGTTACGATGTGTTTGACTCTAACTTAATTTTATGCCAGTTTGCATCTTGGGCAATTCTGCTCCCTGAATTTAAAAGTATGCATCCAGACCAGCCCAGTTGGTCTGTTGGATTTTGTGAAACGGTTCAGTCTGTACTACTTCGGTAAAGATACTGCACATTTGTTGACTGGCGAACTAGAAAAACACGTCAAAAGAAGACAAAATGAGCAAACAAGCACAAAGCTCATGAGTGGCACCATCTCGTATTTCAAAGTTATGCAACAATTAAAAAAAAAAAGATTTTCTCAGTAATCCAGTCTGCTTCTGTTACAGCATCTTCCTGACTCACACAGGTATTAGAATGTGAAGACAGCATCATCTGCAAAAGCACAAAAAACATCCCACCAGAATATAGATAGAAAAATGAGCTATTGAGACTGAAAAGAGCCGGGCTGTAAACATGTTTATTCTTAATTTTCTGCTGCAAAGTTTGGCTTTTGTAGGCAGCTTTAAATGGACTGGAATGGATAAAGTGCAGTTTAGCACCTGTATTTTGGCTCATTTCTGACTCCCAAAGGTCATCACTTGGTTCTGTCATGTCTCTCACTAAGTTAACCTTTCAGTTTTGGTGTAGACAGTATTTGTGAATATATCTTTACAACCTTTTGGACATACAGCAACATAGCCGTCTTCTGTTGGTTTAAACCCTTTATCAAAGGTCACTCGACTCGACAGGTACAGTCTTCTTTTGGTATGAATCTGTGTACAGTGCAAACACTGTCTCTCCAGTGTGACTACAGTCAATAGAAAACAAACATCACAGGACCTCTGCTGTGAATCTCTGCTGAACACAGATGTGTCCTTTAGACCTGGAAGTTTTATGTTTTGAGGTGAAAGTAGCTCAATGTATTGTTGGAGGAATGAGACATGAGACAGAATATGAACTATTTGTATGGACAGCAGTGACTAGCAGTAAGGGCTGAGCACTGACTGAATACATATTGTTAAGTCAGCCACAATTATACCAGTGCATAAACAGAACAACATCACCTGTTTAAATGACCATAGACCAGTGGCGCTCATCCTCACCATTGCAAAGGGTTTCTAAAACACTTTAAATCCTCCCTGTTAACCTTGAGCAGTACCAGAATGCATTCAGAGCACATCGTTCCACAGAGGATGCTATTGCCACTGCCCCCCATGTAGCACTCACACACCTGGACCTTGGGAACATATGTGAGGATGCTTTTCATTGATTACTCCTCTGCATTTAACACCATTGTTCCCAGCAGACTGCGTACCAAACTGAATCAACATACATAGCTTCCTATGCATGTTGATTAAAGATTTCCTCTGCAAATGCCCACACAGTCAGACCCACACTCATCTTTCTCCCAGTCTGACCCTCAGCACAGGAGCGCCGCAAGGTTGCGTCTTAAGTCCTATACTTTACTCACTGTACACATCAGACTGCACTTCCACACGCTCCACAAACAAAGTAATTAAATTTGGAGATGATACAACAGTGGTGGGACTTATTTCAGACATCAATGAGACACACTACAGAGAGGAAATAGACGGGCTGACAGACTGGTGCAGGGACAACAATCTTACACTGAACATCAAAAAGACCAAGGAAATCATTTTCAACCTCCAAAAACATTATGAGGATCATGCCCTCCTAACCATCGAGGGACAAGAAGTGGAACAGGTCACCAGCTTCAAGTTCCCAGGGACCTACATCAGTATCTTTCATTCATTTTATTCTAACCTCTTCTCCTCACAATGTCCTTCTGATGTTTGGGAGGGTGACAACCCTCTTGATAAGATTGTTTTTCCCATTTTAACCAAGGATTTATGTTGGGATCTGTGAAATCAGATTTCTGTGAAGGAAGTACAGGAGGCAATTATGTCACTTCAAAGTGGTAAAACCCTAGGCCACGGTGGGTTCACTGTTGAGTTTTTTAAACTATTCTCTCCCACTATTGCTCCTGTCCTCCAAAGAACGTATAACGAATCCTTTGCTGAAGGCCTTCTGCCTCCCACCCTGTCGGAGGCCTCCATTTCTCTCCTGCTTAAGAGTGATAAGGATCCTCTTATGTGTAGTAGCTAAAGGCCAATTTCTCTCCTAAATGTTGATCTAAAGATCCTGTCAAAAATCCTTGCCCTACGCCTCCCATGCAAACAGTTCTTGCCTTTACCACCCTATTGGCCAGGCGACTCATACTTTTTAATTGGAAGCTTCCTCAACCTCCATCTCACAACAGGTGGGTGAAAGAGGTGTTATTGTCCATTAAACTTGAAAAGCTCAGATTCTCCCTCAAGGGTTCCTTAGGACATTTTGTAAAAAACTTGGAGACCGCTCCTGAATCATATTGAATCTTTGACATCCCTGCCTGATTGTGACGACTGAGCCCCCCTTCCCCTTACTTTATTTACTTTTTGTTTGTTTTAGTTTATTTTAATTACTTTAATTGTTTTATTTTATTTATTTTTTCCCCCCATTTATAGGGGTGTGTAAACATTCTGTAGTTCATTTGCCTGTCTGCTTAATTATTTTTAATAATTATCTGTTACATGTACTATTGCCCTCTTTGAAAGGGGTGGGAACGTGGGAGGGATAAAAAAAACAAAAAAAACAGGGGAAAAATGACCGATTGGAAGTCTTTCTGACCATATCGTGTTGTCTTGTTACTGTGAACTTGCTTCCAATGAAGAAAGTTATAAAAAAAAAAAAAAGAAAATAGACAGAAGTGTGATATGTGGTTGGTCTGGTGTCATATGTCTGAAAGTGATCTTACAGATGTACAACCTATCTGATGAAAAAAGCCTGTGACACATGCTGCCCATATATAACAGGACTCAAAGACGCCCTTTTATGTGTCACACTACTTTTGCTGTAATAACACAACATTTACGAAGGAACTGATTAAATATGGTTTGAAGGGCCTCGCTACTCTCTTGTGTCTGTAATGGTACTTTCCTGTGGATTTCTTTCATATTAGCTTGGCTCTCCCCTCTTTCCCTTTTTGTAACCCTGTGGGAGAGGTAGTTATTAAGGTAAGTTATTATTTTTCCCCCCCATCCATTTTTCATCTTATTCTTTTACCTGCAATTTGACAGTGTTTTAGTGTCTTTAGCTCACTGTTTGGACCTTATGTGAGATCAAAATGGCTGTGATGGTGAGATCAGAGGACATTTGAGCAGCAGAAGCAACCATCTTGGTATTGCACAATTAAGCTGAACCAGCTCTTCTGTGAGGACTGTGATTGTGTCTGTGTCTGAAATGATGGGGAATCATTGGAAATGGCAGCAGCTCCAGACCGACCTGCCAGGTAAAAGGAACATGAGCTGGCTGATGGGACAGAAAAGAAAGTTGAAAGAAAGTATGATCTGAATCAAATCTGAAAGATACAGACTTTAAAAGCAGCTTCCACATCAGCCTCCTGACATCCTGGTTGTCTGACTGCTCTTTGGCTCCCCCTGCTGGTGTGTGTTGTGACTGCACATTGATGTTGGGTCCAGCAGGAGGCCTCAGAGCTGCTGAACAGCCTCTAAATCAGCTGATGGAGCACACACCTGTTTGATCAGCAGCTACTTAAACTCAGGTGTGTGCTGCCCTCTGAATCACGCTGTGTGTTACGCTGTGTCCCAACGAGGTAAAGTGACTTAGTTTCTACCACAACAGACCGGTTAGTGTGAAACATTTGAAGCAGTATTTCTAGCTGTTAGCAGCAGTTAATGAGGTTTTATTTTGATGAAATTCCTCTTTAGTGGCTCAGTTTGTTGAATGTTTGACTCCTTCTTCATCTCATTGGATTAGGCTTCATGTGAGTGATTTTACTCCCAGTATTTGATGAAAGTTTTAAACTGTTTCAGTTTGGGAGTCTGAATCAGTTCTTCACTTCAAGTTCAGAGTAAGGTAGTAAAAATGGATGACTGAGTAAAAGGACACAGTTGGATTGATCAAAGGTGAATAAACCATCAAAGAAGAGTGTGTGAAGGTTTCAGCCTCTTTAGATTCAAATCTTTTACAGTCATTCAACATTTCAGGCTGAACAAAATCTAATTTAGAGTCTCAGTTTCCAGCTGTAGATAACAGACTGCTGAAATATATTGAACAAAGTGGTCTGACTGAAGTGTTAATAGTGCTAAACTGAAGAAAGTAAAAAGGGTTGAAAAAGGGATGGAGTGAATAAAAAGGTGTGCTGCAGAGAAGAGTGTTGCAGGTACTAAATAAAAGGTGAAAAAGGAGTGTCAATAATCTGGTCATTGAATGAATTTAGTCTGATAGTTTCGATCAGACTTGTGTTAGTGTGACTGTGGGCAGAGTTGGACCTTTTTCCCACTGTGTCAGAATCTGTGCTGCTCTGGTTTACTGACCATCTGAACCTCAGTGTGGAGGCTGAACCCTTTCATCTCTGTGTAGACTGAATATGGCGGCAGCGGCAGCAGCTTTTAACAGACCTCCACCAGCTCATCCAGGACCAAACACCGAGAACCTCTCCTCCTCCTACTACAACAGCAGCCGGGCAGAAAACTCTGGACAGCAGGATCCAGGTCAGCAAGGCACCAGCCGGGATGTTGGACCCCACATGTCTGCCCGTCCCGTCCTGTACGTCCCTGTTCCACCTCCACACCCTTTCCTCCACTACCAGTGGCCCATGCCCTTCTCCTATAACCCCTTTACTGGCTTTCCAGGCATGGGTAAGTCTGTGTTTTGACATGTTCAAGTGATGGTTTGATTCAGGTGGTAGAAAACTGAATTTTCTACCTCCTATCTTGAGTCAAGTTCAAATGACCAATACTGTCCGCACTCTGATCATCAGATATCAGTCAAATCCAGCGGTCCTGAGACATGGAACAGGCCAAACTGTGTTCTGATTCTGTCTTTATATTCATGTCAGTTCAGCTGTAGTCTAGAAACAGCTCAATGGAACTTTTTTTCCTTCAAATCTAATAATTTTTGATCTCTGCTAACATCCTTTAGTTCAGCGTAGTGTTGACTTGTGTAGAGTGTGGAGCTGTAGTATTGAGTTGGAGCAGCTTGTCCAGGTGTTCATAATGTTCTGGTAGCTCAGTGTATGTATCCCAGAACATCACACATCACTACTGTTTGACTATACACAGACATAAAGCCAGATGCAGTCCTCAGTCTATCTTCATAGAGTTCAGGTCTAGAGCTGGTACCAGTGTTGTTCTAGATCATGTTTCCAATGAGTTTCTTGTTTCCAAGGTTGAACCTGTTTTATCCTGTATTTGTGAAGGCAGTGATGGGCTGTTTTATTGAGGAGCCCATGCAGTGATTCTCACTCCAGAGTCATGTCTGTTTTGATGCAGTGCTGCCTGAGACTCGAAGACCAGAGCCATCCAGTGGTGGTTCTTAGTCTTGTTTCTTTCAATGATATCATGGACTGTAGATGATGAAACCCTCATGAATTCTCATTTTGATTCTTTGTCATTGAATGCCGGCAAACATGCTTGTATTGGACTATTTGCTCTGGCAGTCTTTCCACACAGGGTGGTGAATCTCTGAGACTGACCCTGTGTGAGTCTTTTGTGTGTGAACTCTTCAGAGGATCCTCAGAATCACCAAATACATTCAAGCACAGTGGTTCTCAAGTCCAGTCCTCGAGGCCCACTGTCCTGCATGTTTTGGATGTTTCCCTGCTCCAACACACCTGATTCAAATGATCAGCTCGTTATCAAGCTCTGTAATGGCTTACTAACGAGCTGATCATTTGAATCAGGTGTGTTGGAGCAGGGAAACATCCAAAACATGCAGGACAGTGGGCCTTGAGGACTGGACTTGAGAACCCCTGTTCTAGCAGAATGAAAATGTTCATCCTCAACCTTGATTTCTCTTCATTTCAACAATATATTTATTTTTATCCACCAGGCTACGGTATGGTGATGCCCCCCATCCCCCCTCCTCTCCCCTTCATGGAGGCTCCAGCCTACGTTTTGCCTCATCCTCACATCCAGCCGCTGGACGCTAGACGCTTTCCCTACCCCTCAGTCCCTGTTTCTGCTGCACCCTATCGGTACTCAAACCAGACTCGCAGAGTCCGTCCTCCTCATGCTTCTCCTGTTAGAGAAACCACGAACTCTGGGGTCCAGACAGACCCCAGACAGAGAAGCTCAGGGGCTTATGGTGAGGTCAGCCCACTCATCAGCTCAGACTCTGGGTGTGGAAACACCTCAAACAACGTGTCCCCCTTCAGCTCCCACAAACAAGACCAGGCAGAGGCTGAAACCCTTACAGAGGATTTCCAGGTTAACAAGAACTGTTCAAGGACCATCGTCAATCAGGGATTCAACAATCTTCATCATCCTGCAGGAACAGAGATGGTCCAGTCCTGCTCCAGAAAAACGGCAGAAACCCAGAACAAGGCTGTTCAGGAGAAGGTAGCTCCCTGCAGACATGGCCCCCGCAGCATGTGGTCAGTGGACTCTCCTGGTGAGGTGGTTCCTGTGTGCAGCTCCTCTCAACAAGAGGATCCAACCATTCCAGAGAGACGTGTCTCCGTTCCCGACATCCTCTTAAGCTGGAGGGGTGGCACACCGCAGGGACTCATGCTGAAGACGTCTGACAAAGTGCTTCCCATGAATGACCAGCAGCTGCTGTCTGATGAAGCCCGAGTAGAGAAAGATGAGTCGGTTCAGCAGAGTCCAGCTGAGACCAGTCCTGTGAAGTCTGACAGAGCAGCTCTTAACAATGATGAAGATGAGGGTACACAAAGTCTTCAAGACACTGACCTCCTTTTCAAGATCCTCAGACTGCCTCTGGGTCCTCAGGACCTCCTCTCAGAGTCAGATCTGCTGCATTTCTGTGACAACTATCAAGACCCCGACACAGAGACAAATCCACATGCAGACAGCTCGGGGATCCCTGTCCCTCAGATGATGGTGGATAGTTTTCAGATGAAGAGAAAAATGAACGAGTCAATCTGGTCTGTGGAGTCTTTAGCCCCCTTCATCCCCAATAAAGAGGTGCCGCAGCAGAGCAGCACCTTTGAGCCTGAAGTCATTGCTGAGATGGTGGAGCAGGATGAGAATGATGGACTTTTAACTCTGAACAATAACTCTGTTTTTAAAGCTTGTAAAGAGAGACGGCACAGCCGCAGGATTTCCTCCTCTGACTCAGTTCCAGTATCAGACGGCTTGCTTGTTTTCAGTACTCCAGCTGTGAAGCAAAGTCAATCCCAGAAGCTGAGGACAGAGAATGAAACTGATGTCTTTGAAACAAAAGAATCACAGCAGGGCCAGAGCACCACTCCCTCAGCTAAAGTCCCCTCAGCTTCCTCACCTCAACTTCAGAGTAGAATCATTTTATCTCCTCCTACTAGAGAGGAGGCAGATAGAAGTTGGTCTTCTGAACCAGAGGCTGATCGAAGCCCAAACCAGGAATCTTCTCTTGTCGTTGAGCAAAAGGAGAAAAGTCCCTGCTCCTTTGAGCAGAGGGAAACTCTGCTCTTGAACTCTGCAGAGGAGGAGAAAATGTCCCCTCCATGTCAGCTGCTCCTCAAAGATGAAGTGCACAGGAAATCAGACGATGGAGCCGGAGACATCTCTGAAGTGGATCCACCAAAAACCCAGCATCTGAGCATCCCAGGAACTGTCCAGATGATGCCTGATGTGTCTCCATCAAAGGGACACCTAGTGGACTGTGGCGTCCAGTGTTCAGTGATGGAGGATCACAAGTGTCCATGTGATGAGAGGAGCCGCTGTGGACCAAACAAAAGGCATCATTTGAAACCTTCAGGTAGTCTGCTTTTTGACTCCTCCACATTTGACTGAAATAAAGACAAACTTGTTCTTTTAATATAACCTTTTTTGGTAGATGTGAGAAACGGCTTTAAGGGGGAGGAATTCGGCCCGAATGGACAGATGCCAAAGAACCAGAGAAGAAACGGTTCATGGAGGCACAGAGGTCAAGGTAATGCAGCTTCTTATAAATGGATGAAAGTGAAAAGACCCAAAACAAGTCCAGATACAAACTGTTTTCAGAGCACCAAAAGGCCCAAAACAGCAAATCTGATTTTAAGTCTGTCTTACTGTCAACAAAGGAAAACAAGTTTCTGCCTGAGTGGATTCAGACTTTTATAACCATGTATAAATGTTGAGTTTTCATTGAGCTTGCTCAGTTTGGTTTAAAATCAACTGAATAAGCAAACTCTTAAAAAAAAAAAAAGAGGACTGAAGGGTTCCTTTTTAATAAATCACAGCTGACCAGGCTAGAGCTATAGTTCCAAGTTTTCATCTAAACATGTTCATCCCTGACTAAAAAACAAGATGCACTGACTGAGATGTCAAACTGAGGCTTTAAAGCGTTTGATTAGAAATGCACACTAAAACAATCTGAGATGTTTGAACCTGAACACTCGGGATAAGAAGCTGACAGAGAGAAACATCTTCTTCTGTTTGTCCACAGAGAAGCTGAACGGACAGACGGATAAATACAGTGGATACTGTGGAAAAGCTGGAAGATCCCATGGTAAGAATCCAAACTCCTGAGATACTAACCTGCCTGTGGGGGAGGGTGATCATGTGGGCCCTGGTTTTAGCAAGGCTTTGGTGTCAAATAGAACAGAAGGAGATTCAAAGTGGGTAGTGTTGGCCTGGAGGTTGAAGCCTGTCTTCTACTCTCTCTGCTGCCTTGTAATAGATCAGTTAGGAGCAATAACTTTAGGCACAACACGCTGTTGACCTTGTAGTAATGAGAAAATAAAATGACGCTTAAAGCCACTTCTGTTGTAAGAGATCAGACAATCACAACCCAGAGAGCAGACAGTGAACTATGTCTCAGCAGACTAGCATCAGTACACAGGTTAAAGGTCCTTTCTCACTGGGAGCTTTTTTATTTGCGCAATTATTTTGGACGTCAGTATTTTTTTCGAACCCGTATCCTGTCAATACAAGCGTTCACATCAGCGACGTTTTCCCGTCCTGCGATATTGTGGCATTTATTTTTATGGATCATGGTCAATTTTTCTAAAGTTTTGTAAACTGTGTGTCCACTTCTGACCAATCAGATTGCGTGTTGTTGCGACATCAGATTCACAGGTATATCCAACATGGCCAACCGGCTGATTGTTTACATGTCAGAACAGAGTGCTTTTTGATAAAAGACACAAATATTACAAAGATAACAACCTGAAGGACAACTTGTAGAGAGTCATAGCGTCGGATTTCTCAAATGACGATGGTTTGTGTGCTTTAACAGTTTGCTAAACGTCTTTGTTTTAACTTTCATCTGTGCTAAGTAACTTTAGCTCGAAAGCTAACCTGTTCAGATACAACATACCATATGTATTTTCACTGTCTCAAACTCAATCGCGTTGCTGTCACAGCACCATTAGGTCTCGGTTGTTACCTTATGTTTATGGATTATAGTTTAATGTAGTTTATCTGGTACTGGCCTCGACTCAGTACATGCTATCATGACAGACAGTCATCTCAACACTAGTATCTAATCAGAACTGAAAAACAGTCAGTCTGCTGTTGTGTCAGTCTTCTCGCTTCCACCTGGGACACGTTTTTTTTTTTTTTTTTTTTTCCCCCAGAAAGTCGCAAAATCGCATTGTGCTTGATGTGTATAGTCAGGTGCGTCAAAATTTGCCTCAGAATATTTTCTAATTTCACATCGCTCCCAGCGTGTAAGGACCTTAAATTGGCAGAGGGCACTATCTTACCATCTGTATGTAGTACCAGTCCAAAAAAATGAGAAATATCTGAACAAAAGAAGAATTTAGGATTATTATATGAAAATCAGTTTAAAAGGGACTAGAGGCTTTTTTCTTTTTTTTTTCCTGGACAAAGGTTAACATCCTCATCATGCTGAGGGCAGAGTCAATGCATTTCTCCTCTGGTTTTGTCTCTCAGAATGGTCTATCAGCAAAATCCATGTTCAATGTATGTATAGTCTACAGCATGTACTTTTAATGTTTACTTTTTTCTTCAGGAAGGAATCACCGGTACTAAGCCCTGACTGTGTTCTCTTCAGGACATAACTCGTTTTTAACTCGTTTGATATTGAAATGTCATTAAATGAAAAGTCATATTATGGCTCAATAAATATTTTGTATATCTAATAAAACCTGTAGTTTTTCTTTCTTTTTTTTTTTTTTTGCTGGTTTTAACGCAGAGTTTTCGGTTCTTTTATGTGGACAAAATGTAGGTTTTCAGTCTTCTTTCTGTTTTTAAAGAGAACCTGCTCACCTGGCAGCAGATGGTCTGAGCTCAGGCTACAGGAAGTTTAAAATTATCTCCAAAATGACCATAGCATACTAAAGAGACTTGTACTAAATTATTTTATGCACAGTCTGCTTTATGCTCACACTGAACCAAAACTCATCAGCTGCCCCTGCTCTGCTGTCATTCAGAAGAGTTTGTATACTTTACTGTAGCCTTGTGTTTTCCAGTAACATCAACTATGTACTTCCTGATTGCTTTTTTTTTTCTTTTTTTAATGGTATCTCCTGTTATATGGCAGTGAACCTACCAACCATCCTGTCAATGTGTTAAGAAACCTCAATTTCCCAGTGTCTCAATCTGAGAAGGTAGTTCTATCAGATTAACTGCGATAGCCCCATCATTGCCACTGAGAGAGGGTTTACAGACATTATCTTCTTCTTTATCTGATCTCGTAATTATGGGATCTTTTTTTCATAAGTGAGATCCTGATCTTGTAAATAAACTGGACTCTCATGTTACACCAGTGGAGGACAAACTAGGAACAAAGTGTCTTGCCCAAGGACACAACAAACAGGGATAGGGATAGGGGGGAATCGAACTGCCAACCTTCCAGTTATTGGATGACTGCTCTACCTCTGGAGCTACTTCCGCCCTGGCACCTACCACTTGTAGGTTGCTTTGGTTTCACTCTTGAGTCCAGTTTATCCCAAACCAGCTCGATGGGGTTGAAGTCTGGAGACAGTGCTGGCCACTCCATGTTTTCAAGCTGACCATCTCGATCTTTTTGCTTAAGGTAGTTCTGGCATAGCTTGGACTTATGTTCTGGGTCATTATCTTGCTGTAGGATGAACCCCTGACCAACTAGGCGCATCCCAGAGGTTACTGCATGGCGCTGCAGAATGCTATGGTAGCCGTTTTGGTTCAGGGTGCCTTTCATTGTATACAAATTGACGACCCTGGATCCAGCAAACAACCCCAACATCCTCCACCATGACTGATGGTTGACATCACACACTGAGGAACCATCCTTTTGCCTACTCGACGGCGTACAAAAATCCTGCCTGATGAACCGGAGATTTTAAATTTTGACTCGTCAGTCCATAACACCTTCTTCCAGTCTTCAGTAGTTCATTGGCGGTGTTTCATGGCCCAGGCAAGCCTCTTTTTCTTACTCCGAAGTCTCAGCAATGGCTTTCTTACTGCAACTTGACCCGTCAAACCTGCAACTGGAAGTCTTCTCTTCACAGTTAAAACTGAGACTTGCTTACTGCGACCACTATTAAGCTGTGCTTGAAGCTGTTGTCCTGTGAGTCGCCCATCACACAAGCTGTTGACTCTAAGAAACTTGTCTTCTGATGCTGTTGTAGCTTTGGGTCTGCCAGACCTCTGCCTGTCAGCATCTCTCCCAGTTTCTGAGTGCCTTTTGATGGTAAAGGAAACTGTACTCACTGACACCTTGACTCTCTTGGCAATTTCTCTAGAGGAAAGACTTACATTTTGAAGTGTCATGATATTCTATCCCTCTTCTATCGTTAATTGCCTTTTCCTCACCATTTTTATCGTAACACACTACTTTCTGCAGTACACTATTGTTCAAACAATGCTCACAATGGTATGGTACCACGGTGTGTTGCAGCACTACTTTAATGCAGACAGAGGGGGTTGTAAATGATCAAGAAAAGTTGGGACACCTGTAAGAATTGGTAGCACCAACGTTCAAGGCTCGATCAACCTCTGTTGCTACAGAACTGCTGTAAGTTGTTAACCCATTTCTTGTTCCCTGAAAAAGGCATTTTTTGTGTCATTCTGAACTGTACATTATTTTTAAGTTTTGGTTAACCTTACCTTTTTTTTATTTAATTCTGGCAGTTCACTTACCTTTGTACCCTTTCAAACTGTTCATTGGACTTGAACCGCTTGAATTTCAATGAAAAATTAGAAAAACTGGGGTGTTCTAAAACTTCTGACCGGTAGTCTACACCAGTACCTGAGAACAGGGAGAAATAATCATGAGGGTGATCAGATTGTGCTTCTACTTCAAGAGCACTTACTAGAATGAGGAAAACACACCATCATCTCCCCGCTATGCAGGCAGAGACCAAAGAAACCACACACAGATTACTGTGACTCAGACTACTTGTAATGTAAGAAGCATGTAAAAGTGCAGGAGGTGGTTGACAACCTGGAACTCCCGGAATAAAGTGGGGATCAGAGTCAAAGTGCAGGGCCAGTGGTTAAAAGCCAGATGCTAGGTGCTAATGTATGTGTGTACTGCACATGATTGTCAAGGTGTTGTGTAAACTGTTCCATTGCCCAAGGCCTGTTAATTCATGGTGCAAGTGTGATTGCACATCACCCTGTTGCACAACATTAATGTGACAGAGCTGATACTGAAACTACTGTAACCCTCCTATTCTCCTCAAATACTACACATTTTACCATTGGGGTCAAACTGACCCAGGTATATTTGCCTCCAGAAAATGATCTACATGCATTTGTTGACCAAGTGCACATTCATGACTCTCACAGAATAAACCATACTGATTATTTTGCATGAACTACCAATGTATATACCCCACCCTACGAAGGAAATATCTGTCTTACTTCGACATGTGTGAGTACAGCAGATCACTCATACACACACACACACCTTCATGCCCATGGTGCAGGAAAGTTCTCATGAAAATATTGTTTCCTCCTCTCCCATGCCACAGTAGCACCAAGAATAGAGAATTATGGTCCCTCTACTGACTTTAACAACAATGTAGACGTGCTGCTCTGAGTGTGTCTTACCAGACACACAGTCCCCCATGTTAAAAATGCTCATTATTCGGGCTCTTCGTATAACCATCAATTGAAAATACTGTATTGAGATGATCATTTCAGAGGTATTTGTAGTTGGAAAGACTTGGATGTGATCAACTTGCACGCCTACAGTGACTTCCTCATTTTGGCAGGAGCTCACAAGTCAAGTTGTGTCCCACATGTCCGCACCACGAGAAGTATCAAAGTTCTGGAGGCAAAAGTTGTTTTCTCCACTTCCCTGTTATGTATCAACTCAAAAGTATCAACTCTGCACCTGCAGATATGGGGATGTTAGGTCACACACACAGACAGGCAAGTTTTACACAGCCAAAACAGCTTGGGGTCAAATCGACCCCAGAGGAACACCGATGCGTGCAATATGTGTACAGCACATAAAAAAAATATCATCATGATAATTTTATGCTAAATCAGTTGTCCCCATCAAATTAGGAAAAGTCATGAAATATGAAGCAAAAAAACAATTGTCAACTATTATTTTTTAAATGATAAACATTGAATGGTGTCAAATTGACCCCAAGGATAATAGGAGGGTTAACCAACTAAAACTCTTGTTCATTTTGTTCAATGAGTTATACATTTGAAATCATGTCAAATACATGTTGGGAGGCTTTAGTACTTGCAGCTGAAAAGTCTACATTTTCTCTCTCTCTTTACACACACAAACACACACACACACACACACACACACATATATATATATATATATACATATATAATTTTGATTTAAACAGAGTACATCTTTGTGATTCCATTGTATAATTTCACAGAAATTTTAATGTTGAACATTTAGGAGGAGAGTCAGAGATGAGATAGAGCACAGCAGCATTTATATTATCAAGTGGTCAAGATTTTCTTAATAAGAGAAAAGAGAGTTTTATGGCATACTCTGTCAGCTTCTTTATTTGATTTTTTTTACTTTTAAAATCATGTAAAAATCATGTTGAAGTTCATTGTGGATGGAAGTGATTTGCTGCCATCTTGTGACTCAGTATGAGACAGCAGAGACGCTTCACTGCCTCTCGGTTCATTTTCTGTAAGACATCACAGATACATAACAGAAGTTTGTCAGACCACAATATGAACTTTTTGGGGGTGTCAAAACCAGCCCCCTCAGGTAAACTGACTTATTAGTTGGCATCGCTGCTTAATAACTTTGATTTTAAAGGCTGCATCCCTTTGTACCGCCTTTTCATCAGTATAGTGAGCACAGGAAATTTCCATTCGTTCAGAAACCAAACTCTGAAACACTGTTTATTAAGATAGAAATTCTACTTTTTATTCATTATACATCAAACTCTGCCCCTAAATTGTACTTTTACTCAGAGTTTGCTACCAGAGACTTGTGTCATGATGCATTTATTTAGTTGAAGTATACCTGCTCTTCATGGCTTAAATCTCGGTTCACACTGACTCTTGATTTTAGCTCGAGATGTTCTATGCCTGAGCATGTAATGATGGTGTCTCAGCCTTTTTCTGAGTTTGAATTAAGCTTTTGCCTTCATTTTCATGTCCAGACATACTGAGCCTCTGCTCACAGTGGGATAAAAACACTGTTTTCACTCATTTCTCTACTTTGTTCAGATGGGTTTGGGCTTTGACTGCAAATACTGTCAAGATCTGTATAAAACCCACTGATCCCTCATGAGATGAGTAAACTCAGAGCATGATGGGAAAATCTCTCATGAGCATCATAAACAAACTTGAACAAGTGTGCATGTTTGTGCAGGTTAACATCCATATGTGCAGAGTGGTACAGCATACTGCAGAGTGAGGAAGGGCCTGTTCACAGCAAACAGGAGGATGAACCGGTTTCATGAGAGGCTTGGAGAGAAAAACACGATGTGGGGATTAAAAGTACATGATAAACCCAAATCTCTTAGTAAACAAACATGTTTACTGAGTAAAAATAGGTATCCAGGCTCCAAAACATAGAATATCCAAACTGGAGAGAAGCTGGATGGAACACAAATGTTGTTGATGATGAGAGTAATGGTTGATATTTTGGATTATTTTCATGGTTGCATTCATTCATTCAAAAATCATCAGGATATTCTTTGTTAAAACCCTCTGAGGTTGAAGGCATTTACCCCTATAT